AAAACGCCCCCATTGCCTGCACGTCAATATCGCCGCTCTCCTACTTAATTCTCTTCTCTACCTCCCCCTGTTTGATTATCACCACAACGTCAAACGTCTCTCTGCCTCGCCCTCCACGCCCGCTTGCCTAAGCAAAATCCGTCATACTCCACAGCATCCCTACATACAAGATGTACACAATCCCCGCATAGTCCACTCCTGTCCCAAGCGCGGACGTAGCCACAATTAGCCCTCCCTGCTCTACCCACTCCTGCAGCCGCTCTCCTCGCTCCTCTACGTCAGCGTGATAGTGCGCACAGCCAACCTCCCCCGCTATCCACTCACACTGCGCCTTGCTCAGATAGTACACTACCCCCTTCTGCCCTATCCGCTCTAGCTTTTCAGCCTATCGCTTGCATACCACTACCGCCGTGTCCTCTAATACCTTGCGTTAACACCACAACACAAAGTAGCGCGCGTTTGGTTGTACTGTGCTTGCCCGGATATACGTTGCGTTGCGCACCAGCATGCTTGCCTCAAGCTCCCCTTCCTGCACCAGCGGCAGCGTTGCCGTTAACAACACAATCGGGCATCCAAGCAGTCGCAAGTTCTTTACCTTAAGCAAATTTGCCCGCCAGTGCCGCGCTGTAAAGAGCAGATGACACTCATCCACCACAACTCGTTGCAGCAGCCCCTTGTCCTTTATTAGCCGAGCGTACCCTAGAAAGTTGCCGTTGCTCGTAATGTCGCCTGCTACGTCTGCGCTAACAACCACCACAGACGCCGGGTTGCTCTCGCCGTGCTTCCACTCCATGCAGTCTATACCACAGTTGCGAATCCGGCTCACCAAGTCCTCGATCAACGCTCAGTACGGCACAACGACAACTGTCACCCCGCTCTCCTCTATGCATGCCGGCAGCGTAAATAGCAAGCTCTTGCCCCCTCCTGTTAGAAGCACAATAACAAGCGGCGTTATCTTGTCCAGCACTGCGTACAGAGCCTGCTCCTGCTCCATTAAGCGAAACCCGACGTCCTGCTTCCCTAGCACCTGCTGTAGCGCCCAACGCACAGCCGCAGTTCGCGCATCTTTTACATAAACAGCCTTTGCTTTCAGAAGCATCAGAAGCCCTAAGATACTCTCTCGCATCGGCCTTTTCCGCTGCAGTCGGCGCTCCTTAGGCGCTTTAGCCTGTCCGTCTACACCTAAAAAGCAGTGCCAAGCAGTACTAAGCGCCCGGAACGCATCAATAAACCGCGTGCTTAGATGCTTAACAATATTAATCAACACGCTATAGTTGCCTACTCCCATAACCGTCGTTCGCGAGTTCTGCAGCTCAATTAAGTCCTCCTCCTCCTCGTCTACCTCTGCTTCATCTATCTCGCCAACCTCGTCTTAATACCCCTTGCCAAACAACTCCCCCACCTTCACCCGCCCGATTCCGACAGCCGTGTGACGGTAGCCTAGCGTACTCAGCTTGACGCCAAGTCGCTTACCCATCTTACGCCGCAGCACCTTTATAAGTCAATCTATACCCCATACGCCTTGCTTATTGCTCTAGATGTAGTTGTCCAACCCGCCCCTAAGCACAGTTGCTACAAGATACTCTCAAAACAGCTACAAGTAGCTTAAGTACAACACTATCACCTGCCCTAATCGCGGCGGCAGAAAGCGCGGAACTACCTTTGGCTTGTCCCACTAAGACTGTAACTTATAATACCGCACAACAGTTATAACAGCACCATCTACAACAAAAACATTACAGTCCTGTAGCAGCCTATTGCAGTGCCGCATCGTGATAATCTTAGAGCCTCAAGCCAGCTGTCCCAATTCCATGTGCACACAGCCTAGCAGTAGCGCTAAGAAGCGATCTACCTCCCGTAGATACTCCCGCACCTTTTTACTTCTCCACCAGCCATTAGACGTCTGTAGCCGCATGCCGCTCTCTATGCTCCGCGCCCTTTTAAGCATCTAAGCTAGCCCATCCAACAAATAGTTACCCGGGGTAGTAACAAACAACCTGCCCCAAGTCGTAAATATAACGTTGTCTTGAATCTGCGCTAGATCCACTGTAAAGCGGTTAGCTATACAATCAACCCAGCACATCTACCAAAACGTGTCCTCTACCTCCACTTCTATGCTCTACGCCATTACGCGGAAACGCTCTATCACAATCGGCCAGCTACTTAGATAAAACACCTTCTTGTCAAGGGACTAGTATGCGTTGCCAGCATTGCCCTCGTTCAGCGCTGCGTGCTTGCCATACGCAAGAAGACTAAGCATAATGCTCATCAGACTATACAAGCTATCCGCTAGATACTGCTTGCGCATCTCTAAGAATCGCTCGCAGTCTTCTTCCGTCTAATTGTCGCGCTCGGCTGCGGGCAGAATCTTTTCCGCTGCTAGTACGCGAACGCAGTAGACCACGCCAGCAAGCATGTACAAGAAGTTCTTTGCTATACGCAAGCAGTTTGTCTGCGTGTTAATACCCAGCACAGCTAGATACTGCACCAGACCACTCAAAAACTTATCGCTGCCATAGCCTATAAGAATAAACGAAGCTAGCAAGTTAAGCAGCGCGTTTGTCTAAGCAGCTACGTCGCAGTTACCTAGCGTAAGCCATAGCTAGATTGCTAGCGCCTTCTAATTATCCTTCCACGTAAACAGCTCGCGCGCATCCTTCATCTTGTTAGCCTGTACAACGCGACGCGGTTACCGCGGTAGCACAACACCGTTGTTGTTGTTGCTGTCAACAGTGCCTTCCATGTCGCTGTCGTCGTACTCGCTCTCTGTGCCAGCATCCTCGTCGCTTACACTATCCACGCCAACAGCTTAATCCCGCTATGCTACATATTTATCTACTCAACGCTCTTCGTCTGCAACAATGCGGAGATAGAAGCAGACAAATCAAACTATATAGCTAGTGTACGTTGCCTAACTCTTAGGGTTCTACAGTCGCGCTAGCGGCCGTTAATTAATTTCCGTCTACTGCGCACTACAAAGCCAGCGTCGTGTTTCCTGTAGAAGCGTTGCCAAGCCACGAACAGATTTTTCAATTAGTTCTTCTATCAGCTTAGCAGCCAGCTACAGCTTTACTTCGTTTTGGTCGGGCAAGCGGGCTTAATAGCCTAGATAAGCCAGATTTCGGCCCTGCAGAAACAACAACCACCCAGTTCTCTTAAACCAGCTAGTTTTGTCTGTCTTTGCAGCCTCGGCCATCACTTGCATGTCTTCTTCAAGCTGCTGTCGCACGGTCTGCCATCCGCTAAGTTGCTGCTGAACAACCTGATCTTAATCAAGTTTTTCTCTATTTTCCCCAATGCCCAAATCAACAACAAAATATTTCTGCAACCCCCTACCACAGAAAAACGTCTGAACTTTGACAGAATCAAACAGCTCGCTCTTCTCTCCCTTCCATGCTTGTTAGTAATTTTTTTTCAAGTGTTTCCGCAACACGCTCTTGTCTACTATAAGAAAAGAGCATGTCTTGCAACAGAGCCTATCCAGCAGCGTCCCTAGCTCTTCAATCGGTTAAGCAGGTTGCTCAGGAAGCTTAACATCCTTCGGATCTAACCTCTCGCAACGCACAAATCGCTAAAGAATCTCCTTTCGCACATTAGCGGGCGTCGCGTATCGCTCTAAGAGATGTTTGTCTAAATTAACTACGCTGCTGCAGTACTGCTTGCAGACTAGCACACAAAAATTAGCTAAAAAGCAGAGAATATCAGCATAGTTGTCTAGCGAAACTGCCTGCAGCTTACTGCGTACAGGCAGGCTACTATTGCTGCTCTCTGCGTTCTGCGATGCGGGCGCGCGAGTGTTCTAGACGGGCAGCTCCATTATTAGATAACCCTAACCCTAAGCTAGATCCTACAACGTAAATCTACCTGCAACAAGTAGAAACTTTGCAGACACGCTTGTTAAGTATGCGCAAGAAACTTTTGTATGCGAATGTAGTGCTAATAACCGCTGTAGCGTAATAGTTTGGGGGGGGTCGGAATTCGCAGTTCAGGGGGTGCAAATCGCTTAATCAGGACACGTAACCCTAACGCTAAGCCTATTGTAGCGCGGTTCGGGGTCCAAACCGCGCCTTATATTAGTTAGGCTACACTTAGCCTTTATAGAAATACACCTAGTATAGTAACTAGTCGCAGTGTCTATAAAATAATAAAGATTCTTCTTCTTATACTACTTATAGTAGAAAGACATCTTTAGACCTTACTCTTTTATATAATTAGCGTAAGCACGTTGTTTAGAAGTTAAGCTCTAGAGATAGACGCGATAAGAAGATAGAACCTTAGGTATAGTTAGAGACACTAGAAGTAGAAAGAGGTAGCTATAATAGTCTAAGGCCTACTAACCTTATATGCGGCTAATGCCTTAACGCGCGGCATAGAAAAATAATAATCTAGGGTATTAGAATAATATGCCTAAGAGAGGAGATAATGTTATAAGTAACAAAGAAGAATTCTCTTCTTATTAGAGGTAGAGGGTTAAAAACTAACTAGAACCTCTAATAGAAGGCAATAATTATTGCAGAGCTAGAGATTACGTAATATACTATTCTGCTAAGGCTAACTATTAGAGATAGTAGTATATAAAGAGATAGCACTGCTATTATAGACATTCTATAAAAATAGAATAGATAGAATAGTAGGACCTAAGGTAATAGGTATAAGAATGTGTTAGATTTTATTATTATACTTATTATAGTTAACTTAAATAGTTTATCTCATATATAGATTATTAACTAGTTATTCTATTGTTTATAGAATTAGATTGTCTTTACCTATAGTTATTCTACGATAACTCTTTTCTATAGAATCGCTAGACAAATCTTATAGACTACTGCTTTAGTCTACCTCGCCTTAGTACGGACTAAGCCTAGAGAAGTATAGCCTAACCCTGTGTAACATTAGAGTTTTCTCGCGAGAAGTAGAAAACTCTAGCGCTAAGCTACTTTAAGCGAATGTAAGGCCTTACACCTAGCCTTATATTAGTTAGGTAAGATTGTGTTTATACCTTACATGTTGTCTCCAGCAACTATATTAAATCCCTGCAGTCCCTCGATATTAGCCCGACATTTTGTCTCGTAGTGCTTGATGCCGGCGATATACGCCATTATTTCCTTCTTCTTGCCCGGGACGTCAGCTCCATTCCACCAGCTATCGGTATAAGGGAACAGAGTCCCTTCCACCAATGCATTCAGGTGCGTCTTCCACTCAATCTCCGCACTCCTGGTAGCCTCGATCGATTTGGCGCCGGCTCGTTCCACCTTCATAATGATATCTACTGCTAATTCCACCTGGGCTTCGATAATAGGTATAGCATTGGTAAATGGCGTCGGAGCTTGGGGGGAATACGGAATGAACATATTAGGGAACCCTGAAACTGTGATGCCCATGTACGTGGTTATCCCATCGGCCCAAACATCCTTCAGGTCGACTCCATACCTGTTCTTGACCCCCACACGGGTGATGGAGCCGGTTATCGAGTCAAAGCCTGTCGCTAATGCCACGGCGTCGAGTTCATATTCTGTCCCATCGGACATGAGCAGACCCTTCTTCGTGAATGACTCCAAAGACGTCTTGTTAAGATCGTGAATGTGCACATTGCTCTGATTGAGGACCTCGTAGTAATCCTGTTCAAGAGGTATTCGCTTGGTGAGAAAATAGTATGGCTTGTGCTCCGGGGCCATGATCTCGAGTTTCGCAGGATCTGTTAGACGTGCCGCGACCCTGCTTCTCCAGTACTGGTATGTAGCTTCGTTCGCCTCTTTACTACGGAACAGGTCTGTGTAAGCCAGCATGCCATAAGAGAAACCCCCCTGGTCCCATGTGTAAGACCAATGCCGTTCCCTTTCTTCTGGTGATGCATCATTGAGGGCTTTGTCATTGCCTATGACCGGGAAGCCGGCATGTGATTCTCGAGCGGCTTTCAGCATGACCGGATAGAAGCGCTTCATCACATGTTGCTCATGCGTCGTCAAAGAGCGTTGTCCCAAGGCGCAGCAGTAGCTCGGACGGCGCACGAAGACGGTGAGTTCATCCGCTATCTTGCCGAGCGATTCGGTGAGTTGTACCCCGGTTGATCCCGCGCCAATGATTCCAATCTTCTTACCCTTGGCGCTGAAGTCTGCATCCCATGCGGCGGAGTGGAAAACCTGACCCTGGTACTCGCTTAGACTGGGGAAGTCGGGAACGTTGGCGCGGTGGAGTAGGCCGGCACCCAGAATCAAGTACTTGGCAGATGCTACATGACCTTGTTGGGTCTTGATGGTCCACCGGTTTGTGGACTGGTCCCAGGAAGCGTCCTTGACTCGAGCGTGGAAATAGGTATCTCGTCTCAAATCGAGAATCTTGTCCACGTGAGCAATGTACTTTCGCAGCTCGTCGTGTCCTGGAAAGCGCTCCTGAAATTTCCAATCACGATATACTTCAGGTATGTTAAGCTGGTAGAAGGGCACCTCGCTGTCTACACGAGCGCCAGGGTATCTACAGCATCGTTAGCATGGCCTACATTCACATTGCAGAGGTGTGACTAGTACCGATGGAAGTTCCATACTCCGCCAAAATCACCGCTCGCTTCCATACATTTGACCGTCAATCCTGCTTTTCGAAGGCGATGGATAGCTGTGATACCCGAAAAGCCGGCCCCGACGACCAGAGCGTCGACTTCAATCAAGGTGCTGGGCCCGTTGGGCTGGCCAAAGTCATCTGCTTCTTTTCCAGGCATCTCGTTAACATGTACTGTAATGGTCTCGTGGGCAGTAATGTCACGAAAAGATATCTTAGATGAGAAAGACACATTCTGGCGGGAGTAAGCTATTCAAAAAGGAATTTCCTCAGCCGCGATAACTCCATAATCCGCACTCGTTGGGCAGGTCACAGTGGTTCGATGATCGCAACATGTTGGAGACTCTACGCTGGTAAGACAGAACTAACATGTGACATCTGCAGGATTAGTGCTTACGGATCATGCATCACATGTAAGGTGTTAACACGCCCGACGGGTATTCCCAAGGACCTCAACGTTATTGCTCTTACCATTTTAGATTGTGGTCGCTTTGTCATTCTTGGCTATAATAGAGATTATTTTACTTTGACAATCACCTTTCGTAAGGGCAGTGAATGGTATCACCAGATTTCAGGTGATATAGTTGGGTTGTATTACAAAGTCAGTGAAGTACGGAAGAGAGTGCCAAGATGCCTCCAACCCCCACCCTCCAATGTGTTATACCCGGTGGCCCGTGCAACGGGACGTTCCGGTCCGAGGAGAACATCAAAAGTCCAAACCACCTGCATGATAGGCCGTCAGCACTAGAAGGGGTTGCAACTGAGCGGTTCTGTTGACGAGGAGAATAGCGTCGGCTTGGGGCTGCTGGTGTGAGGTTCGTATCGTGAGGACTATTGGTTTTGTGCTTTGGTGTACAGTATGTCCGAGCGGACGACAGCATGCTGCTTAGCACAAGACATGTTTTTGGTGGCAATGTGTAGTAGTGCAGTAGCGTCATTAAGTTGTTGCGTTCAGCCAGCCGGCTTGGCGGGTTATGTCTGACAAATCCGTGGGGCTGGTGAATCCTGATAAAGGTCAGACTCCGGTTCGGTGCGCTTACCCATCATCACGACCTGAATCCTTATCAACAACTTGCTGACAGAACCACGAGCACGGACCCTCGTTAAAGAAACATTTCGCTCGTCAATGATGGTCCGAGTGGAGGATCACGACCATTCGACTCACTCGACTCGCATCTCGATCATCGGAAGAAAAATGCCGCCAATCTCACCTGAGATAGAACGACGGCATAAGATGATTTATTATCTCGAAGGCAAAGAAAGCGAAATTTCACCGTCATCGTATGGGGCAGCTCTGTAGGCACACGCGGCCTTCCTGCCGTCATATCGCTAGAATCGGTCGTATACGTCGAAGAATGCCTATCGCAAAGATGATCAACACTAGGAGGGGATACAGGCGACATATCTACGCCCTATACATGACCTTCGTAAGCCAAGAGGGAAGAGCTGTTAATCGCCGAGAATTGAACGGTACACGTCTGAGCTATCAGAGTCCAAATAAAGTCTTACATAGCAGAAGCGTATGGTCACACTTGCAGAAACAGCTGAAGGATGAGGTATTTAGTGCTGATTCTATGTAAGGCATAGTAAGAACCCATCCCTGTAGGTAACGGCATTCGAGCTGTATGGTATATAGACGGCTATGAACTTGCTCATATCTACAGCACGATCGTGAGACATACAGAGAAAGACGCAAACATGTCTAACAAGGAATTCAAAGCTGAGCCCATTGCCATTGTGGGCGTCGGCTGTCGCTTCTCAGGCTCGGCGACCAACCCAGAGGGCCTTTGGGACATGCTCAGCAAAGGCACCACTGGATGGACCAAAACCGCAAGTCATCGCTTCAATCTGAATGCCTTTTGGCATCCCAACGGTGACAACAAGGGCACGGTAGGTCTTGCAAACAACGAGGATTCTTATGGCTTTCGAGATCTGACTTGACTATAGTTCAACACCAAAGGCTTCCATCTTCTCAAACAAAACCCAGCCTTGTTTGACAATGACTTCTTCGGCATCGGCGGCCTGGAAGCCAAGGCTATGGACCCTCAGCAACGCATTTTGCTAGAAGTCGCCTATGAGGCTTTCGAAAATGCAGGCCTCTCCATGGACGAGCTAAGAGGTTCACAGACAGGCGTCTGGTGTTCAGTTTCAAACGCCGATTACGAATCGATTCTTGCTCGTGACCCCGATATTTCTCCCGGATACAGAATGACCGGAACTGGTAATGCAATCGTTTCGAACCGTATCTCTTACCTGTTCGACCTTCGAGGTCCCAGCATGACAATCGACACCTTCTGCTCTAGCACTCTGGTTGGGCTTGATGCAGCTGTCAAATCGATCCGAGCAGGTACAGTCAAGCAAGCCTTCGTTGGTGGATCCAACCTATGTCTGGATCCTGAGAGAACTGGAGTTCTTTCCTCCATGTCATTCACATCGCCAGATGGCCGCTGTTATGCCTTTGACCCGCGCGCTAACGGATATGGTCGTGGAGAGGGTGTAGCGGCAGTCATCCTGAAACCACTCAGTGCCGCTTTGGCTGATGGTGACTCTATCAGAGCTGTGATACGAGGCACAGGCGTAAGCTCTGACGGTAAAACAAACGGAATTACACTACCATCGGATTGGGGCCAGAAGCAAGCTTTACGAATGGCGTATGAGGATGCGGGTTTGCGTCCACAAGATACATATTTCGTGGAGGCACACGGTACGTACCAACAGTCACAGTGATTTCTGAAGACGATTCTAATTGTACCTTACAAGGAACGGGAACAAAGGCTGGTGATCGAACAGAAGCCACTGTCTGGATGGATACCTTTCTGCGCGGCCGAGCGAAAGATCTGCCACTAGTTATCGGTTCTGTGAAGGCAAATCTAGGCCATACCGAGCCCACGGCTGGACTTGCCGGGCTTTTGAAAGCCATCCTAGTTCTCGAACAGGGAATTATTCCGGCTACACCCACACACAAGTCTCTCAGCCCAGACGTCGCTGATGTACTTGGGGATTCCCTTGTCCAGATTCCTATGAAGAACACACCTTGGCCCAAGGGTATGCTCAAAAGAATCTCGGTCAACACAACCGGATATGGTGGCACAGATGCCCATGTTGTCGTTGATCATTTAGATGAAGTTATCCCGCCGGTTCAGAACGCGACGTCCTCTACCGCTGTCAGCACAACTCCCAAGATTTTCGCCATCTCCCATCGTCGTGCAGATGCATTGAAGGAGACGGCACATGCACTACGCCGCTCCTTGACCCAGAAGTGGGCTCGGAAGAGCGAGACGCTCCTGTCCGATCTGGCTTTCACACTGTCTCGGCGATCTCACTGGGATTATCGAATATCGTTCTCCGCTTCGACGCAGTCAGAACTCCTTGAAAACCTTGACCAGATAGCCAAGGGTGTTAATCGCTTGGACATTGCAGGATCCCAGCCCGCTCTTTGCTTTGCTTTCACTGGTCAGGGCGCCCAATGGCCGCAGATGGGGTTGGACCTGATGCCACAGTACCCACTTTTTGCAGAGTCCATGCAAAGATCGGAAGCCGAGTTTTTGCGCTTAGGTTCGGGCTGGCACCTGCTGGAGGAACTAGGTAAGACTGGAGACGAATCGTCAATCAATCAAGCCTGGCTTTCTCAGCCATGTTGTACAGCTGTTCAGGTGGCCTTGCTTGACCTCCTCAGTTCCTGGGGGATAGAGCCACAGGTTGTTTGCGGTCACTCGAGTGGTGAAATCGCTGCTGCATATGCTGCGGGAGTCTTGACTGCCAGTGAAGCCTTGCAGATTGCCTACTTCCGTGGCTTCCACGTTGAAGCTCTCAAGAATTCAAGGCCGGATCTGAAGGGAGCTATGCTGGCAGTCGGCATCTCAGCTGAAGACGCGCTCGCATATATCGAACCAGACGACAAGGTTACCGTGGCATGCTACAACAGTCCCCAGAGCGCTACTCTGTCCGGTAATGTGGATGGAATCATCCGTGTCAAGGCCAGGCTCGATGCCCAAGGCGTTTTCGCTCGCAAGCTGGATGTTGACGTGGCATATCACTCAGCCCACATGAAACTCGCCGAGGCAAATTACCACGCAGCGATGAACAACATACGCCCAAAGCGCTGCAAAGATAGCGTCCGACTGTACTCTTCCGTGACGGAGGAGCTCTTGGACGGCACGGAGATGGACGCGTCATATTGGACACAGAACCTGATCTCACCCGTGCGCTTCGCTCAAGCTCTCGGCCAAATCCTTACACAGCAGGTTAATTGGCTGAATCCTGGTCTTTCTGGAAAAACCATGGTCATCGAAGTCGGGCCACATGCCGCTTTGAAGGGTCCCATCACGCAAATCATCAAAGCTGCTGGCACACCAGGCCCTACAATCTACCAGAATGTACTAAAACGAGGCGAGAGCGGCTCGAAAGTGCTGTTACAACTTTCTGGGCAGTTATTTCAGCGCGGCAGTGTGGTCAACTTCCGAGCAATCAATGAGCTAGCCTTGAGTGGCCCGAAGCCCAAGCTACTCGTTGCGCTGCCAACGTACTTGTGGCATCATGAAAGAGACCATTGGGTGGAATCCCGGCGGAGTGCTGCATACAGATTCCGTGCGTTCCCCAAGCATGATATCTTGGGCGCGCCTACCATGGACAGCATCCCTGACGAGCCCACCTGGAGAGTGTATCTCCGCAGCTCAGCCATTCCATGGGTCAAGGGGCACGTCATCCAGGATCAGGTAGTCTACCCAGGGGCTGCATACGTTTCTATGATTGTTGAAGCCCTGAAAGAACGGTACATGGTCCAGAAGCGTCGATGGAAAGGTCTCACGCTTCACTTCCGTGACGTCCAGTTCACTCGAGTGCTGATCGTTCCGGATACGGAGAACGGAATTGAGACCATTACGTCATTGAAATCTCTGACTCCTACGGCTCGAGACTCTTCTGTGTCTTGGTATGAGTTTCGCGTCTTCACGCTTGCACCAGACGGGGAAGCGTCTACCGATCATTGTCGTGGTATGGTCTCTATTAGCTCGACGCCGATCGCAAACAAGCTTCCAGAAATCAACATTCCACGCGACCTTAAGAGATTCTCATCGGAGAGCCTCTATCGCGAGTTGCACTCTCTCGGAGCTAAATACACTGAACATGTTGCGCAATTGAATGACATCCAAGGCGCACATGGATTTGCGAGATGTGAATTTTCCATTCCAAACACCAGCATTGATATGCCAGGAGGCATTGAGCAACCATGTCTGGTTCATCCCTTGACCCTTGAGGCAGCTTTCCAATCACCCTTTGCGGCGCTAAAGCTGGACGACAAATTGAAGACAATCTATCTTCTCGAGAGCATAGACGAGCTTTACATCTCCACCGACATTCCATCTCAACCAGAGACCACGCTGAGGGCCGAGACGGAGGTAGTAGATTTCGGCATCTTGAAGGCACGAGCCGGAGTAACGATCACCGACCCAACCAAGTCTTCCCAACCAGCGTATATCAGAGCCAGTGGTGTTCGTTATGCCGGGCTTGAGCAAGAAGAGAAGACTCCGGAAGGACTAGATGAAGAAGCCATCTGTCATTGGATCGACTGGGTTCTTGACCCGCTACATTCAACGCCAAAAGCCTTAGTCAAGTGGATTCGTCAAACAGCCGCCACAGTCGATCTAACCATAGGCAAGACCGACTCGATCGTCGAAAGATACTGTCAAGGTGCTGTCAAGCATTTGCAAATGGCATGCCCAGAACCCGACACCAGGAACGAGAACTTTCACGATCGCCTGACGCAATTGAGCAAATACCTAGAGCTAGTTGCGGTACTTGAAATGAGTCTGGATCTGCAACAGAACCTGTTGGGCACAGGACCACTAGGTAAGGCCATGCTAGAGGTGTTCATTCAAGTCGCGAAAGGTGGCGACAGCGGATTACGCTCGCCAACTCGAGGAAGCCTGATGAAGAGCATTTCCCACGGGAATGTCGCACTTCAACGTTCCTTCCATCACATTGCTTCATATCTCAGGATCCTGCGGTTGAAGAGACCGAAACTTCGGATCTTAACCATCGGTTCCGACTATGAGGAGCTGAAATCCATCGTCGATCGCCTGTTGATATCATCTGATTTCGCAAACGGTCTGAAAGACGAAGATTTGAGCTGCACTTATGCTGTCACACAGCCAGCTAGCATGGCAACCATCTCTGAGCCTGACGGTTCCGACGATCCGTCAGAATACGTGAAGCTAGATCTCATGGATTCGTGTGCATCCCACAAACTCCAGCCAGGAACGTTCGATGTGCTGCTTATCCCCTCGTTCTTGAGTCATTCGGTTCCAGACCTGGCCGTCGCACTACCCCGGCTCAGATCTCTATTGGAAGATCAAGGCGCCATGGTTTTTGTGGAGGTCACCGAGCCAACGATCAAGTGGGAACTGATCTCGACCAGTCTCTCTAATGAGGACTCCAGACTTGCCCATGCCAAGTTCATGACAGCCCCCCAATGGGAAGAGACGTTGATCAAAAGTGGTTTCACTGATCTGGCTGAAGTACAAGATCTTGAGACGGATGAAGAACACAAAACGAGTGTTCTGATCGCCCGAGCACTTCCTTCCAGCTCCATAACGAACGGGTCCGTCACTGTTCTTCTCCCATCAGAGGAACCAAACGAATTAGCTCTGAACATTGTGTCCCAACTTCGACTCCAAGCCGGGGACGCCTCGATTGCGGCAGCTCCGCTCGAAGGCGCTGTCGTAAAGGCTGACACCTTGATCGTTCTGCTAGAAGCATCCGATCCATTCTTGGAACGCATAACACCGGAAGCATGGGAGATACTGCGAGACCTCATCACTAGCGCCAGTCGCATTTTGTGGATCACCAACGACGGAGCTCTGGATGATTCGAATCCGGCTATGAGTCTATCCCGCGGTTTCACTCGGAGTCTCAGGGTCGAGTATCCTAACTTACAGCTCGTTACGCTAGATATCGACGGTGCCTCCAAATCTCAAACGCAGAATGCCGAAAGCATCTACAATCTCTATGTTGCGCTTCTCGAAAGCAATAGATCGACCTCCAAGTGGACCGAGTTGGAGTGGGAGTTCGCGGAACGAAACGGCGCCGTCTTTGTGCAGCGTGCTTTCGCCCATGCTGCTGCGACCAAATTTATTGAGAACTCCATCTCGTCTTACCACCCGAAACTCGAAGCACAAGGTGAGGACGCTCGGGCTCTCGGTTTGAGAATCCGCACAGCAGGCATGCTCAGTACTTTGCACTGGGTGGATAGGGCAGAACACAGCAAAGTCGTCGGCGGTCATGAGCTTCGGGTCATGATGAAAGCCTTCTGTACCAGTCCCCTTGACTTGAGAACGATCAACGGCGAGTCGACTGGACAACCCAATCTTCTCACTCAAGGAGTCGGCATGGTTGTAGAGAAGGGGTCATATGCAACAGACTTCTCAATTGGCGACATTGTATATGCCTATGAACCAGATGGACTGGCACTTTACAGCAACATCGATACCCACAAAGCCGTTAAGATTCCCCAGGGAATGTGCATTGAGGAAGCTGTCTCCGTACCCATTACATACGGAATTGGCCTTTTCTGCCTCAGTTACCTAGCTGGTATGGAAGCTGGACAGACGGTTCTGATTCATCAGGCAGCGAATACTGTCGGACAAGCGGCAATTGCACTGTCGAGACATTTGGGAGCAGGAAACATCTTTCTCACTGCAAGCACGCCAGATGAGCGTATATCGCTCCAGAAGCGGTGGAATATCCCGGCAGCCAACATCTTCTCAGCAGAAGATCTGCAGGGCGCACCCGAAATGTTCACCAAGGCCATTGGAAACGGCGTTGATATCGCTCTCAATTGTGTTCCTGGTCCAGCGACTGATGAGATTTCTTCCCTTGTCGCACCTTTTGGTCACTTGATCGATATCGGTAGCCAGGATACGCGTCGAACTGGAAGGGTGAAGAGCAAAAATAATGCATCATACACTTATGCCAACTTGGCAATTTTGGCAATGGCTAAACCTGCATTGCTAAAAGAGATCTTCGCAACGGTGCTTGACCTAGTCAACTCGTCTAAGGTCCAAGGCTTGGAACCTCCCAGTGTACATTCCCTTACGGAAGCCCAGGAAGTCTTCCAATCCTTGTTATTGGGCTCGAAGCAAGAGAAGAAAATTCTGAAAGTTGATTCGAACATGTCGTTGATGACCCAGCCACCTCGTCCCACGCCAGTCAAGCTCAATCAAGATGCGTCTTACTTTGTGGTAGGTGGCACTGGTGGTCTCGGCAGGGTTATTATCCGCTTCCTGGTTCAATTGGGCGCCAGAAGCATCATCACGCTTTCACCCTCTGGAAACGACAAAATAGAAGCCAAACAGCTTGCTGAGGAACTTCAGCAGCAAGGCGTAGACCTTGTCAATGTCAAGGGAACGGCTAGCGATATTGAGAAACTCAAAGCAATCGCTCAGGAATCTGGCTCACGATCTGTGCGTGGAGTGATCCACGCAGGCACCGTCTTTGAGGTAGGTCTTGAACTATTGCACACGCTCCGAGGACTAGAATACTAATGAATGTACAGGATGGTCCCTTCGAAGCGACGACACACGAGCAATGGACGCGTGGAATCGAAGCAAAGGTGGCCGGAACGATCAATCTCCACGCGGTCTTTGGCAAAACGGTCGATTTCTTCACGATGCTCAGCAGTGTTGTTGGCGTCCAGGGAACCTACGCGCAAAACGCCTACAACACTGGTAACGCCTTCCAAGATGCATTCGCACGATCCTGCGCTGCTAAAGGACTGCCCGCCCGATCACTCGATCTCAGCATGGTGGCGGGTGAAGGCCGGGGTGCATCGGCGGAATCGACTGAGTTCTTGCGCCGTCACGGATTGCGCCAAGTTGATATTGATACTGTCACAACCGCTATCAGCTTCTCTATCTGCCATCCCATTGCTGCTAGTCCTGCTGAAGGACAGATTCTCGTTGGGTTCAGACAAGAACATCCCGATTCAGGATCGAAAATCGCCGCCTTGCAGCGTCCTGATGCACGCTTCTCCCACATTTGGTTCAAACCTGCTGGCAGCCAAGCCGCGACTGTGAAGGAAGGAGAATTTGACGTGCATTCCGCACTCAAAGAAGCTACAACGGCTGAGGAAGCCATCAATGCCACGTTCACATCCCTGAAAGGATTGGTGTCGCAGCTGTTAGACGTAGAGGAGTCAACAGTTCTGCCAGAACGAAGTTTCATTAGTTACGGTTTGGATTCACTCACAGCTATGGAGCTGAGGAAGCACGTGAGCTCGGTCTTAGTCAGTTCGGTGCAGATGTTAGAGATCATGAACCCTATGCCACTTCAGCAGTTCGCTGAATTGGTCGCAGGTCGGTCTGCTCTTGCCGGTGATGGTCTGTTTGGGAAGAAGGAATAAGGCGACGACTGCGTTGTAAACAGTAGTGTAGTTCGGGGAAATGCTATTGTTGTTGACAACGTATTATTACCTTGTTTATTGTCTGAAGCCCTTCAAGGACGCGATCATACTAACTTCTACGTGCCTGGTGTTCATTAGTCATCTCAACCCTAACCCTAATTCTTCCAACTGTGCGGAATAGGGATCAACGGTGTAAGCTCCAGTCAGCGGGTTGTTCATATCTGCGGTATATCTGATTGAAAAGTACCTTTGCGTACATGTATGGTATTTGTTGCGATGATGATAAGTAGCTAGCTCGTCGCTTCTGCGTCATCGCAGTATCTTGTTCTAGTCAGCGGGGAGGTGCTGTCAGCAATCAGGCTGACTTTGACTAGCTCTCTTAACACATCCCTCGCTGTCAGCTGTGAGATTTCCAATGATATAAATATTCCATTTCTTCTGCTTTCTTTCGTTTCTTCTCGTTCACTCACATCACATTCACCTCTCGGTCACGTTTGTATCTACCATGAACACTACGAAGACGTTGGTTCGTCCCACCGACCCATCTTTGGGGGACCCCGATGATTTGTCTCCTCTCGATCAGTACATGATTCGGATCATCATTCCAATCATGTGTGCATTCAAAATCGAACGAGATGACCAGCGTTCGACCATTGTGGAAAACCTAAAGGCCGGGTTGGCGCTCACTATCAATGAAATGCCTTTCATTGCTTCGGTAATAGTCCCCGACGATGAAGAGCGTGGGACGTACAAACTGCACTTTGACGAGGAAGCTACGGGTGTCTGGTTTCACGAGCAGGATTGCCTTGAATATTCTTTCGATGAAATGGAGAAGCGAAGATTCTCCTTTTCTTGTTTCCCTATCACCACCTTCGTGCCGGAACCAAGAGGACACTCTGAAAAATGTCCGGTTGTCACGGTTCTGGCTACCTTCATCAAGGGTGGCCTTGTGGTCACGTATAACGGACATCACGGGATTATGGATGCTCAATCTCTGGGCACATTTGCCTCCGTCTGGTCCCGGAACGTTCTGGCCGTGTCTGAAGGCTATACCATACCTATGAGCGAACAATACAAAGCTGAAGACCTTGACCGCACCGGTTTCCACATGGCCTTCAGCCCGCGTCCCTTGTCCGAATTCCACACCTATCGACCTGGCAAAGAGACCAACCTCACTGTGGAACGCAACGAGATTCTGCGTCTCAGCTCGGGTGGAGACCACCTAAAACTCCATGAGCTAGTACCAATCTCGCACTGGTTCATGACGCAGGAGACGGTCGACCTCTTGAACCAAAGCGTCCGAGATGCTTTCCCTAATGAACCAGGTGTGACTGAAGCTGCCTTGTTCAGCGCCCTGATCTGGAAGTCTACTGCCCAGGCTCGCGATCTCGCCCACCGTGGCATTGAAGAGTGTGCGCTCTTCACGTCAACGAATGTCCGCCGGATGGTTGATCCTGAGCTCTCTATGATGTATCCGGGTAATGCCATCGCCTTAGCCCGAGCCGATGCGAAAACCGAAGAACTCTACTCTAACGACGAGCTCAAAGCACTTTACAGGCTGGCAAGAAAGACATCAGACTCCATAGAGGAGTGGACCGCTGATGAACTCTATGATTTGATGGGAGTGGTTCAAGAATCTGACGACGTGGTAAACTTGATGCTGCCAAATCTCGATCATAGCTTCTACATCAGTCAACCTGCCCGATTCGGCAATCTCTTGGGCAAGTCGCAGTGGGGAAGTGAGATGGGTGCCATCAAAGCGTTTCGCTTTGCATTCCCACCGCCAGTGAACGGGTTCGCATGCCCATTACCGGCCTTGGGTGGTGGCATGGACTTGATGATATGGATCAACGAAGAGGTACAGGCAAAGCTGAAGACGTTGGAATCGTGGACCAAGTGGGTAGAACCTGTCATCTAGAGATCATCACATACGTTCGATACCCTAAACCATGGCTCTCAGCTGGAACGTCTAGTTGAGGACTAATTTGCAACTTGCCGCTTCGAGATGTGTTTCCTATCCAGGTATCCTACCTAGGTTCATATAAGCTTATCTACGTACTTTGATAGAGACCGGATAAATTGGACAGATTTTACCCGGCTCAATGGTCATCCTGCCCGGCCCGTGCCGCATGAATTGCGTTGTGATGACGTAGGTGGCGTCTCAGATTAGGCAGGCAGGGCGGGGAGAATTCGTAACGTGAGATCAGGTGAGGGGCATCAACTTCGATTGATAACAACTGTGTCCGGTCCTCGACGTTTCCAAGCTACGGGGCTTATCTTGCATAGCTCGAAGTTTAGATCCCCGAATCTAAACCACAAATAAACAGGGCGCACGGGTGTAAATGAGAACCTTGAAAGTACTGCAACAACGACTAGACTATCGCTCACAACATCTTCCCGGTATTACCAGCCTGTACATCGCAACACACATTTTACGATCATGGCAGAGCTCGATGATCAAACCGAGTCGCTGGTGCAACAGCTCTACGAAGCGTGGAGTACTAATGCGGATCCAACTTCTTACCTCAACCTTCGCGACCAACTCCTATGCCGACGTGAACGGGTCGATACATGCATAGCAACCCTGAAGACCGTCATTACTGTGGTGTGTCCCCAGATCAATGATACGGAACGCTACTTTGATCCGAAATGGGAAGAGTTATTCGCTCTGGCGGAGTCCATTGAATCGAGTGCTAAGGAAGACGATGGAAACCTTGGCAAACGAAAGCGCGGATACAACGAAGTTCACCGCCTGCGCAATCTTGCTGTAGTCTCCGCGTTGTGGTCGCCTAGCGTGGTCCGTCACTATGGGTGGAACAGTGCCGCTCAAGGCTGTATGCGACTTTTGAAGACCTGCGCTTTGCGATTCCCAGACTTCAGCAAACAATTCTGCCCCCACCTCAACCGTGTTCTACTCGACAGACATTGCGAGGCCATTCTGTCTGGTCATCTGAAGACTCTCAACGAAGCCCGATTACAATGCTACACGGACCTGAACATCGTGGTCGGGGGCGGTGTCGTCCTCAATCCGGAGATTGAAGAATTGTGGGTAACGAGCTCGGATGGAGCGGTACCTGTTGATTCAAATGGTCGTCTCCTCAAAGATTTGAGACCGTATCATATCCACCAGCACCTCTTGCGTCGCGACTGCTACGGCATGCTTATCGCGAGGGGAGAGTGCCAAGATATTCCGGCGAAAACTCATCAACAGTCTGACCTTTCACACGCGCCTTCAGTGTATGGAGGATTCCTTACACATGACAATGGTGTTCTTGCATCCGTCCCCGAATTCACGTTTTCTCCAATGTTCACGCCATTAGGGGTAGACGCGTCGCTCGATAGCTTTGCGTTCAATTACCAGGCTGAGCCTCTACCTTATGGCCTAAATGATGCTTCCACTATCACTTTTTCCAGCAACAATGCCGTTAATTTGGGGTTGAACACGGACGAAGTGCCCATCTCGGACCTAACCTTCAGCTCAGACGTACCTGAGCAACGTCATGCAGATAATGATAACACATCTAATGCAAGCACGGCGACTAGAAGGAGTATCAGAAGGCAGTCGCAAGAGGAAAGTGTTGCCAGCGTGGCCAGAACTACAAGAGCAGCACGGTTTGCAGCTAGCCCTTCAAACCCTTATGCCCGAACTGGCACACCTTCAAGCCTACCAGAGAGGAAGTCGACGATAGAAGATGAGTTGCGTAACAGACACCACCAGAGATTGTCGAATTATGTCCAACGACTGAGTGATGAAGCGCTACCAGGCTACACTCAGCGGCGAGTACGATCACAATGGCTCACGTCAGACACCAGATGGGCAAGAATATGGTCAATTCCTGGATCTAACAGCATGCCACCTGGTACTGCAACTTCTAAAGCCGATTGCGATATTCTGTATTGTTCTGCGGATGGAATACTTGAAGCAGCACAATCTGGCGAAGTTTTCCAGAAGCCTGTGGTCATCAAGGAATCGTTTTCTGATGCGGGCATGCACAACTACGAGGGCTTCTTGTCGTTGCTCGAGGATGCTTCTAACTCGGAGGAACAGGTAGAAGTTCGCTGTATCGACATTGAAGAGCCCATGCGCGAAGCCCTTGGAAAATTCACCGCCTATTTGCGCTCGCACCCTGGAGATACGGATGGATTCTGGATGTCGACAGCTCGCAGTGTGGCTAACTGTCATCGTCCGCTCTTTACGATGCTGAATCGTTTTCGGCTCTTGGAAAGTGTAACTGCAGGTCTCCACGACCATCGCTCTAATCCAGCGTCCTCACCTTTGGGGAAGGCTATGTCTGTCAATTCTAACACCATCTCCTTTCCCGGTGCTTTCTCTGGTGCGTACCTCAATACTGCAGCAGGTAGCTGGCATCGTAATCTGTCTGGTGTAAAACTTTGGGTCTTTGTGCCAGAGACTGAAGTGCTTCTCGGCGAGCTTGCTAGCCTAGCGAATGAAGAGGACGGTTGGCCGCCGCGAGGGAAGCAGCGCTTGGTCGTCTTGGAAGAAAATGATGTCCTTTTTGTTCCTCCCGGGCTGCGACTGGTGCAGGCTTGGCACACGCCAACGACTTGCTTGACCGAGCAAGGAATGTTGTGGGATGATCTCAGTGTCTTGTCGATCTTGGAAAGCATGTCCCTAGGTCCCGAGAATCAGGCTGTGCAAGACGATCGTACTGCACAGCAGCTCTTTCGCATGATAAATAACCTTGACTGCTTAATCACAGAGCAACCTGATCGATTCAGAAGAAGCATGGCACAGGACGAATTCATGGCTCGTTTCCGCGAAGCCAGTCAGTCATGGCTTGGGTCTTGTCCAAATGGGGTTAGAACACAATAAAGTACTTCGAGGGTGTGATCAGCATGTTCAGGTAGCATGTAAAATATCCATGAGTTCAGCGATCTTAGTTGAGCTGCTCTAAGCATGGATGTTTGTCAATATATCTTGTTTTGAAACACTTTAACGAAGATGCAGTGAAACACCATGTGGGAATTGCACTCATGCCTAGACAACGGGCCGGCCGGTGTCTATCAGTGGACAGCGAGGCTAGCATTGCATTCGAACCGAGACGGGCGCACACGTACGGACCTGTGGTGCTACGTGATGTGCTTTCGCCCAATGTCGTTCTCAAAACCCAGCATTCCCTTGGAATGATAGCGCGATTTGACCTCGCAGTGCTTTATTACAGCAATATATGCCATGGTCTCCACCTCGGCTGTCTGTGATGTCTCCAGGATGGCCATGTGGCGTGTACAAACAAGCTTGCCTTCATGCTCTCTTGGCGAGAGGCCTGGTTTATCGTTCGGCGCGCTGGAGATGAACGTGAAGAAATGATCTTCTTGCGACTGGACTAAGGTCAGACACTAGCTTTGACGTTGTGGGCTGATGGCGCTCGCCCGTCTTGCCTGGGCTTGGTAGGAACACCCCTTCTGGTTTGGACAACACCATTGTGAACCAGACCTCACAGTCACATCTGTCGTCGACCAAAAGCTACTCTAGGCATCATCTTGTACATCTGAGAGCCAAAGATTATCGTCAGAGATGACGTATACAGTCAGCCAAGGTGCCCTGCTCTTTCCCGATATGCATTCAGCGCCATCTCTTGCTAGACCCGCAGCCTCGCCTGCATCTCAACCCTATTGTGCATGCAGCCGGTGTTCATGCAAATTGGTTAGTCATTCTGCTTACTAACCCTGTTGTGTATGGAGCCGATATTTGTGCAAATCAGTCAGCCACTCTGCTTACTTGCAAATCTCGTTTGTTAAGACATAGTCTGCGTGTCAGCCTTCACCTCAGTCGACGGGACAGGCCTAGCGCGGCGTTAACCCTTGTGCGGTCTTTACGCTAACGCCACACCAGAACCTTGCTTGTTTTGCGACGGCAGCGGAAATTAATGACTGACAAAGCGACGTTCACTTCATTGAAGGTTCGGCTACATGCGCTTAGCTACCCTTTTCTCGTTGTTCCTGATCTACTCGACGACTTCGCACTCCAGTTCATCCAACTCTCAACTGCGTTTCCACCCACTCATAACAACTAGAACCTGCCACCGTCGCCAAAAGATGTCCAGATTCATCCACGACACCAGCTTTGGCAAGCTCGTTCGATTGATAACGCGCAATCAAGTTCTGCGATTTCCAGAAGAGCGACCTGATTTCCAGCTGCAAGATTCCTACGTCAAGCTCCTTGAAGCAGCCGAGCTACGCTCGAATAACGAATTCTTGTCTACCAGCTCGCAAAGCAACAAGAACCATGGCACTCCTTCGGATCATCCTTCGGATCCTGCCCTGCCAGACGACAAGGGCGCCGCGGAAGCCAAAGAGAAAGCACAGAATGACGACCCATTCGAGCCCAAAGTGTTGGGCGACGGCACCATAATCGTCAACTGGTACGGTCCGGACGACGCTGCAAACCCACAGAATTGGACGTCTGGTCAAAAGTTGGTGCCGACGCTGATTGTGGATACCTACACCTTTGCTGTCTATCTTGGCTCCTCGATCATTACTGGAAGCTACGCCGGCATAATGCGCCAGTTTGGTGTTTCTCAACAAGCTGTTTCTCTCACGCTCTCCATGTATGTTCTGGCCTACGGAATCGGACCTTTGCTCTGGTCACCACTCTCTGAGATCCCTTCCCTTGGTCGAAACTCGCTATACATCTTCACCTTTGCGATGTTCATCATTCTCCTCATACCTACAGCGCTGGTGAACAACTTCCCGGGCTTGGTTGTCCTACGGTTTCTCCTAGGATTCTTTGGAAGCCCTTGCCTCGCTACTGGTCCAGCGACTTTAGGCGACATGTATGCCTTTGGCAAGCTTCCATACGCATTGTCGACCTGGGCTGTCGTCGCTACAAGCGGTCCCGCGGTTGGTCCTCTGCTTTCTGGCTACAGTGTGCCGGCCACTAGTTGGCGATGGTCTACCTGGGAGTTGTTGTGGCTGAGTGGTCCGCTCTTCATAGCCTTCTTCCTCCTGGTTCCAGAAACATCACCTTCCAACATTCTGCTTCGACGTGCTCAACGATTGCGCAAACGTACTGGCCACTCTTGCTTCAGGAGCCAGGGCGAGATCGATCAATCCCAGCACCACCCTCGAGAGGTTATCACTGAAGCACTTTGGCGACCAGTCCAGACTATGATCCTCGATCCGTCTATCGGGTTCACAGCACTTTACGTTGCTCTCATTTACGGCATCTATTACTCATTCTTCGAGTGTTTCCCTATCGTCTACGAAGGCGTATATGGAATGTCGCTCGGGTCGCAAGGTCTTGTCTACCTGTCCATCGCCGTTGGAATCACTGTGGGTCTCGCAATGTACCTGACCTGGATTCGCATTACCTGGGAGCCCGCCATGCGCACTGGGAACATTGGAGCCCCGGAACGCCGCCTTATTCCGGCGCTCTTCGCATCGTTCTTGCTTCCCATAGGACTCTTCCTCTTCGCGTGGACAGCAATTTCGGATATTCACTGGATCGTTCCGACCATTGGGGTCACTATCTTGAGTGGCGGCATCTTCATGATCATGCAATCCATCTTCCTGTACCTTCCTCTCAGTTATCCGAAATACGCAGCATCTGTATTCGCTGGAAATACCGTCGCTCGATCTGTACTTGCTGCCGCCATCGTCCATTGCTCCCAACCCTTATACTTCGATCTCGGGGTAAGCAGAGGCGTCAGTCTGCTGGGAGGGTTCACCGTTGGTTGCATCGCTGGTATCTTCGCCCTGTACTATTATGGTCCATCGCTACGGGCAAGATCCAAGTTCGCTCCGTGAATACAGCAAGACGAGTCAAGAACTGAGACGAGCGGTTCTACGTTCTAGAGCTGTCTCGCTTATCATGTGAGGGGATCTTGACTCGTCTGACAAGCGAGCTATGAACTCGATTCGCGCTCCCTTGTTTGCCGGATGAGAAAGAGGATAGGAAAGGTGCGCAGATAGAACCTGTAACTAATATCAATTGAATGAGTGAGCCAACCAGAAGTTTGTGTCTACATTTCCGTGTTCCCTGGGAGATGATCGCAAGGATTGGCGCACGGATCCTCGTCGACAAGCGCTTGGATTTTCTACAATGATGGTTCGTGCGTGGACTAGGTACGGTGGGCGCATAGACCATGTGTGAAGCCGACCCTTCAACCACCACTTCAGCCGCCAGCAACGTCAGTCTCGTTGAAATCAACCGACGACGCATTGATCAACATGACAAACACTATCAAATGGTGTTCTGGTGGAGATCTTGGTGTTATTGTTGATGTAATGGAGCTCGAGCCCGTTCTACTATCAAGATTTCTGACGACTGACGCGATCCAGTATTGGTCAAGTGCACATGAAGAGGAAGAGATGGTTTATGTTCAAGTATCCGACAAAGAAAAACTCGCCTTGATGTACTTGCCAAGATGCACAAGCGCACGCGATTTTACCGTGGTAGATAACAAAGCATGAGGGAAAAAGTACCTTGGTAAGGACCGAGAGTGTGATGGGAAGAGCGCACCTCAGTCGAGACCAAGGATGTGAACGACAAGAAAGCAACTTGTGAAGAGACTTACCTTGGTAGGACCAAGGTATGGGACGCCGGTAACAGGATAGTTCAAGCCCCACACATTCACGCAGCCGAGCAAGCAAGTCCTCGAAAGCTTCCTTTTTCTTCAACCTGCCCGTCTTCCGTGTTCCAAAACTCGACTGCTGCGCCCCGAGGAGCTAGAGCAATGCTGAATTTCGGTTCCGATGATGAATCGTACGCGTCGTTGCAGGTGCAAGGCGGGTGCGCATCAGGCGAAACCTTGGCCTTGCGCGACACGAGAGCGACACCGTTCCTGAGCATTGCCGAGCTCTACGCGTTCCGAAGGAATCTGATCGATGTATGCAATGAAAGCTTCCAAATGTATAGCCAAAGATCAATACCCGCGGTCTTGCTCTTCGTGATCTTACCACCCTGTGCAGTATATGAGAGACCATACGTCTCGCGCGTCATTTTCCGGATGGTGCAGTAGTTGAGGTTGGTGACCAGGAGGCTCTTCGGTGAGCGATTGACGACTGCGAGGATGAGATTGTGATACGCTGGATCGTTGGGACGCGCATGTGGTGTCGATTTACGACAAGCGTTCGTAGTCGGCGGCTTGCGATTGCGGTGATGCCACCATAGTCGGGTTGGCAATCGGCGGACCGTTCCCCTCCTAGTCAACATCAGCATGTACATAGCTTTGGCGTCTGTTGAGTGCCTACATGAACGTCTGCAGCAGGTTTCTCGACGATGGCATGGGTAGTAGCCTGGGTCTCTTCTGCTTATATCCTTCCGGGTAGAGTGCGAGTCGCACCCTTGAGACGAACCACTAATCGATTGTATTTCACGCATGCCTTCTGGGCCTCTGCGAACTTCTCGGTGAGGACGGTGTCTTCATCGTTCGTCTTACATATGTCATCTTCGAGTACCGATTCGCGTCATATGCTGAATCCGAGCTTGCCAATCAGCGTGTCGATTTTGGGCTGGAGGTTCGTGTTCGTGTTTGTGTTCGACATGCGTTTATCGGATGCTTGTTTCGAGGCAGCTTCCCTTGCCGTGGGGTCGGCCACTTGTGGCAGTGCCTCATGGCTGCGACGAAACGTGACAATGTAGTCCTTGAATCGATTGGTCTCGTCGCCGATACTACACATGGAGTTTTGGCGATTGACTTGCGCTTTGGGGATCGCGCATCGCACCACTGCGATGTGTTGCTGGCAATTGGTGGTGTCAAGGCTGCGTTGCAGAGCATATATGCAGAGGCGTAAGTACACAGGAATGTGACAAGTAGATGGCGTCGATAGGGGTGGCATCGTGATTATCTGACGCTCCGTTCGTGCCAGTTGAGACGCAATGGCAATGAATCGGTCTCGTCTTCTGGCTTACACATTGGGCTCATTGTAGGCTGGACGCATCGCCCATGATGCGATTAAGCAATGATGGGATCGGTATCTACCGACATGATGCTGACGAAGGCGATGGTCAAATAGTGCGGATGGTGTAAATAATGCGCTGGCTCGAGAAGGTGGAGGTGCCTTAGTGCTGGACCGGTGACAAGAACGCGCTACAGTGCACGGTCACTCAACGCCCCACCTACAACACAACAGCTTCATGAGTATTGCAGCTGTAAGGCCTCAACAAATCGTGATAATATTGCGCAAAAGTAGTTTCATACTATATACAAGCCTGCGAAGACTTTGCGCTGGTCAGAATGCTTTTTTTGGGCGGCGGATTACCTGCATTTTGTTGATTTTGGGTGGAACTGGCTGTGCAACTACCCGGCCTCCCACAGAAGCTGTAGCAACCCCAACACGTTTCTGACGCTTTGTAGCTGGCTTATGAGCTTTTGAAGCTTTGCGCTTACCCTTTTGGGGCAGTTGTATAGCCTTTTCAGAGTCGCGGAGCCTCTTCTGGTGTTGTTTGTCAGCCAGTTCTGCAGCCACCTGCTCGCTCAACACGCTTATCTTTTTGTAATTGAAGCTTGCAGAGGCGAGCTTGCTTGTTCATCTCAACTTTCTCGGCTTTTATAAGCTGTTGTCATACTGCTTGTTGTTTTCGTGATACCTGATCATCCCGAGCTTGTTTTACACGCTTGGGTGACCACAAAATAGCCCCGCCTATGATACCCCTGATCGCTTTCAAGCTGGAGGGTGTAGAACTTCTTGTTCTGTCTCTTTTTGATGGATAGGGACTGCCTGAGGCCCCTGACCTCTTCACGGAGGATGCTGTCTTGAGCTGCAATGTGGTGCAAACTTCGTTGAAGGTTCTTTACGTCCTTGTCGCTCTGGTCCTTCACTGTACGGCGTACAATTGACTTGAGCTTGAGCCAATCTTCTTCTGATAGTACTGACTGGCTGCTGTCAGAATTTGAAGCTTTCTTGGCAAAATCCTTGAGTACAGCGTCTGGGTTGCCTGGCTGTATACCAGTGGCTTCAAAAGACCTCTTGATGAGTGGAGGTTTGAATACGTTACCCTAAGCCCTCCAGAAGAACGGGAAGAAGTCTCCTTTGTTCAAATTGAGTAACCCCTGACTGTCCCGGAGGTATCCAGCCAACTCAGCTGAGTAAGCGTTCGAGAGAGGTTTGAACATCTTAACGTCAAAGGGTTGAAGCGTGTAGGTAGCGTGAGGGGGAAACACAGCCAATATGATCTTTTTGTGGTTGATAAAATCCATTGTTACATGGGATCCGTGGCCGTCAAGGAGTAGTAATCGATACCCAGTCGAAGCGTGTCGTCTGGTCTCTCTTCCAAACATCTGTTTGAGCCAGGCTAGTCCTATATCGTTGTTGCTCAAGCTAGAGGGAGATGCGGTTACAAATACCGAGTGCTCCCCTGCTTGTATAGCATCAACCCAGCTTGATTGAACAACTCCGTTAGCTCCCTGGAAGGTGAGTGAAGGACTCAAAGCTTTCCCATCCGAACAAATACAAGCTGCCACTGTCATCCGCTCACTTGGGCCATCTTGATGCGCTTGTCTTACTCCTTTTTGATCCCAGAGTCTCTTGTCAAAGATACGATTCATTCTGCCAACTCGTCCGAGTTAAAACCCTTTCTCGTCCATATTAAATATATGAATCGGCTGTACGTTGTACTCCTCTATCTTTTCATGGAGAAGCTTGAAATACAAGCTGTACATCGCCCCTGTATCAGCTTTCTGCCTTTGCTTGGTCATGCCTTTGCTGGAGCGAGAGATGAGGTAAGACACAACTTATATATATACTAAGAAGATAAACTAGAAGTCTCGAATTAATTTAGTCTACTCTTAACATTGCTGTAAAGCTGTGTATAGCTAAGGTTTAAGTAGAGTCTTAGTAAAAGCTAGCTACCTACTTATTCTAGCTACTCGCTTATTACCTACGTTACGCAGAATAATAAAACAAGTCGCTAACCTAACTATAATAAAGCTATAGTATAACATAGTAAAATAAGTTATAGACGCCTTATTAACGTAGCACCTACAGAATTAACTCTACTATAAGCTATGTAGCCTATAGTCACGTAGTAAATATTAAAATTAAGCCTATACCTTTACACCTACATAACTTTTTACTACAACTAGCTATTAATATACTAAGCGCGCTATTGAATTTGTATAGTAAATCTGTATAAAATAGCTTTCTTGAAAATGGTATCTTATTTTAAATAGCTAAATCTAAGTCGCTTAGAGCTACTCTCTTAAGCTTACTCTCTTTATTTCTTATTATCCTTATCGCCCTTACCTAAATTCGCTTGGGGCTAGTGGCCCTAAGGACATCCTCTCGGGTAGGTGCCGTGTTACACCTATTGCCGTTCAATATCACTTGTTGGGACGCTTACTTAGCCACGTGATGTTTAAATCGCTCAGCCCACTTTGCACTGCCCTCTACCCCGCTATCGTCCCTAACTTGCTTCTTTGGACTGTTCTTCTATAAACCTTCCAGCCAGCACAAGCTAAAGTTCCTTAACTGTTCGACCTATATACGTCTTGCCTACAGTTATTCTAATGTTTCCCGTGGCTAGGGCTCCCTAGCAAACCTCTCCTTATGCGTCTTTTGCGGCTTGACGAACCCGACAAATTTAGCCTAGTCGAACACAATGGCAAGAGCACTCCACCCTATGCTATCCTTTCGCACACATGGGGCGCGGATAATGAAGAGGTTACATTCAAAGACCTAACAGAGGGTGTCGGCAAGAGCAAAGCTGGCTACAAAAAGATTCTTTTCTGCGGAACACAAGCTGCTAGTGATGGCCTACAATTCTTCTGGGTGGACACTTGCTGCATCGACAAATCAAGCAGCGCCGACCTTTCAGAAGCCATCAACTCCATGTTCCGTTGGTATCAGGATGCAGCCAAATGCTACGTATATCTCGCCAAATTCTCGATTGATGGCTCCGTCAGGAACAACCTGCCCTCTCAGCAGACATGGAAACCAGACTTTCGGCAGAATAAATGGTTTACTCGGGGCTGGACGCTCCAAGAACTTCTTGCTCCGACGTCTGTGGAATTCTTTTCCGAAGATGGCGAGCGACTTGGCGATAAATCTTCACTTCTACAAGAGATCCATGACGCCACAGGAATTTCCGTTCAAGCTCTCCAAGGAAGACCTCTTTCTCGATTCAGTGTCGGCGAGCGAATGGCTTGGACAGAGTGCCGGGACACAAAACGCGAAGAGGACGCGGCATACTCTTTGCTAGGCATTTTTGACATCTCCATGCCGGCTATATACGGAGAGGGACGAAAGAAAGCGTTCGTTCGGTTACAGAAAGAGATTGAAGAGCTCTCGAGACGGGAAAAGGAGGGTCACGATATGCCACGAGTTCCCAATACCTGTACGTCATCAGGGCCGTCCGCCATAGTCTATGACAACAAGATCTATTGCTTTCACCAAGGCGGTAGTGATAATGGCGAGCTCTGGTACAATGTGTTTGACCGGACAGACGGGGTTGGCTGGACAGGTGACGTCCGAGTTTCTCGCACCGGCATCTCATCAGGACCATCCGCTACAGTTTATAACAACAAGATCTATTGCTTTCATCAGGGCCTTGGAAAAAACACTGAGCTCTGGTATAATGTGCTTGACGGGAAGCGCTGGGCAGGCGACATCCGAGTTTCCAACATCAACATTTGTTTCAAGCCATCCGTCATAGTCTACAAGAACAAGATATTCTGCTTTTATCATGGTCGTGGGAAGAACGGCCAGCTATGGTACAATGTGTTTGATGGGACTAGCTGGGCGAGCAAAAAGCGAGTTACCAACACCGGTTTGTCATCAGGACCTTCCGCCACAGTCTATAAAGATAAGATCTATTGCTTTCACCAAGGTGGTGGGAACAATGGTGAACTTTGGTACAACGTGTTTGATGGGACTGACTGGCGGGGCGATGCCCGAGTCCCCAACACTGGCTTATCATCCAAGCCGTTTGCTACAGTCTACGAAGACAAGATTTATTGCTTCCATCAAGGCTGTGGGTGGAACGGTGAGCTTTGGTGCAACGTATATGACGGGACTGACTGGGCGGGCGACGCCCGAGCAGTCAGCACTGGCCTGTCGTCAGGGCCATCCGCCACAGTATACAACGAGAAAATTCATTTGTTTTTTCAGGGCTATGGGAAGAGTGGTGAGCTTCGGTACGTATCTGATTGGAGTAATTAGGCATAGTTATGATCACGCATGCATGGTGGAAAGTAATCTGAAGAGGACTTTGAGTAGATCTGTTGTTATGCTATTATATTCATTTACATGTTCTAGGACCTGTTGTGTACCGTGCTGTGCCAATATGAGCCAGCGCGGACTTTCAGGCAAGAAAAACGACCCCCGCAGCCCAAACCATGGACAAAGCGGCTTGCAGTATGTAGGGAAGACGCCATGACATGTTGCCAGCAATATGTATACTCCCATAATACGAAAAGTAGCCCACACATACTCCCAGCGCAGCGCCGAACTGCGGAAGCGACACAAACTTACCACGGCTCCGACTCGGCGCGATTTCACAGATATACACTCCAATATTGGTGAGCGCGAAGCCTTGACCGATTCCCATCAATGCGCGGCCCACAAGGAAGAGACTGAGATGGGAGGCTGCGCATTCGAGGACACAGCCGATGGTGCACAAGATCGCGCCGACGATGATGATGCGGAGGCGGCCGAAGCGGTCTGCGAAGTGGCCGGCGATTGTTGCTGGGATGGCGCCGCAGAGCATGATTAGAGAGACGGTGAAACCGCGCATGGTGGGTGATAGGTGGCCGAATGTTTGGGTGAAGGATGGCATTTCGGTGACGGCGCCGACGGAGCCTGTGTCGAATCTGTGGTCATGTTAGTGAAGATATCTCCGCTGGGCAAGATGCGCGACATGTCACGAGAGATGGAACACATCCACAACATACCCATTGAGTATACCGCCGAGCGCGACAAATGTGGACGCGAGCGCGTAGCCTGGTATCTTGCTGGGAAAGAGCTTCATCACTGTCAACATTCCATCGGTCGAGAGAGATTCGAGTGGGAAGTGATTACTCTTCGACGAAAGCGGGTGAGTGCATAAATACTTCACGCTTGATATTTCCCCGCATCCAGAGATAATGGCTTATAGAAGACCATTGGCTGACGCGAGTCGCAGTGATAGCTATTTACCTTGTCAGCGTTAGAGTGAAGGATGCGCGTAAGCAATGAAGTCGCGATGATGTAGGTGGTCGCCAATCTCACCCTTGCTTAACGGCCAAGGAGGGTTATGATGCGAGTTGGTAAGAGAGGGACACTACTGTAGCCGATGGCCCGACCGATGACAAATCCGAAAGCATGAAATGTCGTGATTGTCCATCGTTCACCGCTGAGATGATGGCTGCAATCTGGAGATACGGAATAGGATGTACGGGAGCTGTCGAGTTGTAATGTGTGTTGAGTGTTTTACTAACCATATGTGTGGTCAACGATGCCCCAGAGTTCACTCAGTCGTCAGCGATACCGGCGCTGTGTTGCTGCGAATGCTATCAAAGGATGTAAGCAGCCGAAGCCATCTAGCACATAGTAAAAGAACCATCGATCAGGAAAACTCATCGTAAGTAGCAAGCATACCACGTCGCCATGGCAATGTAACTGGGTATCAATCTTCAGCTCGTATCTCGTCTATCCAAACAAGAAGGAAATCCTTCTTCACTTCATGCGCTTCGTCAAACGTATCGACATCCAAAGTCCACGGAGAGAGAAACCAAACGCCAATGATGCAATCTATCGTAATCCAAACCCAAAGGAGATAGATGGTAAGAGATATTTCATATGTAAAGATTCTTCTTTTACACACGCGCTGTTGTAATGTTCATGTCGGGGATCTATGAAGCCTCAGCCAGGGCCTCACCAAGCGCATCCGCGTCGTAATCCTGGACCACAACTTTCGCCGGCGCATCGGGAACCTCGTCGAAGAAGCCCCATATGGGTCCATTTTGGTTCACGCCACTAGGCCTCAGCTTGGGCTTGTCCTTTTTCTTCGAGCCGTCCGCATTCGTGGTAGTGGTGCCTTCGCTAGACTGCGTGTCCTGCGTGGACTGCGTTTCCTGGCTAAGGATCGAAGGCGCGCGGGTAGCCGTCGGCGAAGTGACAGGAGCAGGCGATGAGCCCCATTTGCCAAAGACCCAGCCTCCGACCTTCTTTGTAAGACCGGGTCCGCTGGAGGGCTGGGGGCCGTCACTCTTCCGAGGTCCGCGTTTTTGGTTCGCGATGCTGGAGTAGAGGAAGTCGCGGTTGGCCATGCTGCTTTGCGATGTCTTGTTCGAAAGCGTGCCGTGCGCGGTAGCGGTCCATGGCGTGAGTTCGGGGCCGACGGAGCCAGAACTGCCAGGCGTTGCAAATCGCGCCGCGTTAGAGTATAAGAGTTGTGAGGGCCGTGACTGCAGTGTGTGGATGTCCATCCCGGAGACTGAGATGAGAGATTCGTGGGAAGCGTGGCGACGTAATGCGGGTCGCATTGCGGTCATGGGCGAGACAAGATCATCAGGCTCGAAATCGCCGTTGGATGTCATCAACGATGGCTCGGCCGTCGACAGCGAGGAATCTTCGCTCTCCTCCGGAATGGCAGCCTGAGGCTCCGGCTGGAGGTAGGGCGAGAGCGTAAAGCTGGCATCCGAGAAGGAGTTGGCGGGGCTGACAGCCGATATGACAGCCGTCGCAGGACTGCTCTTAGCAGTAAGGGCGATCGGTGTGCTCGAGCTGCGCATTGTCGAGAGGCTTGGTGGCATGAGGCCGCGAGACTTCCGTCGCAGATGCTTGTTTCCGCCCTTAGCGACCTCAAGAGTGCCAGATGACCGTCGTAGCATCGGCGGCAACGCATCTGGGTCGGAGCTGTAGTCGTTCGATTTGACGGGCCCGAACATGGGAGATTGGAAGTCGATGGAATCGGGAGGACTGGTGGGTCGCGATGAGTCGTAGGCCTCGCTGAAGACGCGGTCGTACATGGACCCACGGTGGGAGTCTGAGACGGGTGAACCCGCGAAAGACCCCGGCGTGAGGGTTGATGCTTGAGACCATCTGTGCGAATTAGGCACAGTGACTGCGGTGTGTTCCAGTATTGTAGCCGTGGACGAGCGGTCGAGGGTCGGAGGCGGGTCGAAATGTGTCGGGGTAAGAGAGAAGCGCTTCTTCTTGGGCCGTCGCTGCGCCGGTGGCTTGGGCACGTTCCTGGTAACCTTCGGGCCGTGGTAATGGTGGTGTATGTGCAATTCCTGCTGTAGCGAAGCTTCTTGTTCCATTTCCAGTTCCTTCTGTAGCGACGGACTCGTGACGTCTTCATCGGGTCGGGGTGATGTCGAGACGGGCTGATGGACCTTGAGCTGGTCTCGGAGACGCTCGACTTCTTCATTCGAATTGCCTAGTAGCTCGCGCAGTTCCAGTATGCCGTGTTGCAGATTCGCGTTATCGAGTAGGATGTCCTTAACAAAGTGGGAGACGACGTTGGGGCCGCCCTTGTCAGTCCCAGCTTTGGCCTTGAGTCTGCCGGCAGCGGTGTGAAGTTCGCCCTCGACGACCATCCTCCGCTCCATGCGAGCCACGACCTCCATGTGTCGCTGACGCTCGGCGCGGGACTCCTTCTCGATGCGGTCGATCTGGTCTTGGAGATCTCCTATAGTCCGCTCGGCCACCTTCCACCGCTGTATGGCTGTTCGCTCGTCGACAATCTTGGCGTCCAGGCTGCTCTGAATCTGCGACTGCTCTCTTTCGAGGTCAATCAGCTGGCGCTCGAGCAGCTGCGTGCGTGCGGCCAGGGAGCTGAGGCGGTCAATCTCGTCTTCGGTGGAGCGCAAGGTGTCCTCCAGCGCCCGTATGTGGGCATCTGACTCGGCGACGGCGTTGTTGAGCTGCTCGAGCTGGTCCAGGAGGTCGCGGTTCGCCTTGATCGTCTGCGCATTCTTGGCTTCGAGCTCGATCTTGTCCTTCTCGAGCCCTTCGATAGTGTTGATCATCTCCTTCCGTTCGCGCTCCGAGTCGGCGACGTAGGCTTCATGGCGGACGAGCAGGGCCTGCAGGGCAAAGGTTAGCGGCATGCGCGGTAGTAAGAGCCGCTGCTACGCTGCAGGGCAGCCAAACAGGCGGGACAGTGAGCGACGTACCTGGCCCAGCTGTGCAGCCTTGGAGACATCTCTCTCCAGACCCTCTAAAAGTCTTCCGTTGTGGGCGAGGAAAGCGCAGTCATGGCTCCCACAACAGCACCGAGGCCCTGGCATGGCACCAAGGCCGGCCGAGTCCATGTGTACGACCCCTCCGTTCGCGTAAACAAGTCGTCAACAGCCGGCGGGAGCTGTGTGGTGAGTTAAAAATGCGTCGCAGTGTCGTGGATGGTGTCGCTCATGCTCGAATTAATTATGAGCGGGTAGGAGCTACATAGGAGGGAGAGAGCGGTGGCAGGAAAAGCAAGCGTAGAGGGAATGAAGCGTCGTCGTGGTCGCTAGTCGGGCGCGTCGAGGGCTGATTTGTTGTTCCTGACTATGCCGGCAGGCGGACCACGCTCCACTCAACCAGGTGTCCCTGCCAGCTCACACTCCCCGCCCAACCACCTGCCACCGCCTTTTTGACGACCCCATTCCCTGTTTCTCCTACAAACACACTTCCTCCGGATCCGCACGCGCATGTGATGTTCTACTTTGCGCGCATCCTTCACTTCTCCCCCCAGGCATCGTGGACGGATTTCTCTCTCCAGGCCGTCGACGTCAACGGCGCTCGGACGCACCGTTTTCGATACCCCTGCGCAAAATCTAAGATTGCACATGCGAACGCCAATATCTCGCAATCTTAAGCCCAAAACGAACATGACAGTCTTGGCATCTGCCTCCGTGATGAATTCGCGCTGACTTCGACACATTCGGTCACGAGAAGGCGAAGAGGGTGAGTATATAGAATGCATGTCTGTGGCTGTCAGGTAGGTCGTGAATTCTCACACCAAGTCATTTCAATCATCTTGTCAATTGCGCGTCACGTGAACCTCTCCAGCCTGCTCCCTAGCTGCAATGGCTCACCGAATGATCTTGAAGATTACGAAGATGCGCATCACTCGTCCGATACGGAACTCTTCTCATTTCCAGGATTCGGTATCTGCTCCAGTTCTCAATATCCGCCGCCGCCTCCACACCCCAGCGGCTTCCACCAAAGACCACGTCCCCTCAGCCCCAAGACCAACCCAACAAGCCGAGAACCCATCGCTTCCCTCCTTCAACCTCTTTAAGCTGGTCCACGAAGCCAAGCCAGCAGTACGGTACACCGTCTACGCCGGTCTCGGCTTGATGGCCACGGTCGAGACGACCTTCTGGTTCCACGTGTTGCGAGCCAAGTCCTTCCCGCGGGCGTCAGCAGAGGAACAGGAGAAGGCTGATGCGCTACTCCAACGCCTGAACGAGGCAATGAAGAACTATCGTCATGTCTATATGGCGAACTACGGCAGGTACTACGGTGCACATGTGTGGGGATTGGGTTATGGTGGGCTTGATGGACTGGAGACATAACGGGTGTTGGACTTGGCTTCATGCATATCACAGACTGCATCGTGCATAACGAGGCGCGGTTTATCAGCAAGTCTTTCGTGCCTCGCGTTTGCCATTACCGCGCGGCTTACAGAAGCTGTGAATTAAAGTTAACCTTGGCTACTGCTAGTATAATTCTTTTATACCATTAGCTGAAAGTACATACATATGCAATCTTTACTCCCTTCATTTCCACTACAGCCGTCGAACGCAGACATGCCGACTCAAGAAGTACGATGATGAGCGGAAAGACAGGGCGACAACGCGATTGGTTGGCACCTCGGTGGCTGCACCGGTCAGCGAAGACTGCATCCTTCTGCTTGCGCGATCATGCATGTGTTGGCTAAGGCTTGGATACGTAACTCTGGTTGGCCCAGCGCTTGTTGCATGTTAGTCCTAGGTATATACATGGCCCGCCTTCTATGTATAAAGGTAGCCTGGTTGCCTGTCTCGGGCTTTCTATCGCGATCACAAGCTGCGACATGGCGACTACCAAATTTTGCAAAGTCAGCGAACTCCCTCCGTGCGAGGTGTACGTTGGTGAGGATCTGCCTGAGGACCATCCATCAGTGCTGGAAGCGGTATGTTGACATCGAAACGACTAGCACGATATCTGTGGTTACTAATTGCGCTCGATGTCAAGGGCTACGGTAGAGCGATAGTGAACAAATTCAAAGGCATTCCCCCATGTGTGTGGATTCGAAATGCACGTAGCGAACCAGTCACTGTGGTACTCTCACCGTCTCGACCGCATCGACTAGTAACGGGCGGCAGTATTAAAGCTTCAGACACAGGCGCAGAACTTAGTCTTGAGACGGCTGTAAGTGTCTCTAATTTGTTCTATTGTACATCCGTCATCGACACACGATTCGTTACTTACCGATCAACCACAGCTGTACCACCCACTCTCAGCAGCCAGTTTCGCTTCTCCGGGTGAAACCTACGTATTCGGAATATCACGCAAAGACCAATATGCATACATAACGATATACGACTCCAATTCTGGGACGATTGTGTATCATAAGAACTATCAGCTACCAGCCGGTGCGAAAGCGGTTTCCAAGGCAAATAGTGATCTTGTGGTATATCTGTGGAACAAAGAGCTTATGACAAACCCCGAATCTGAGCAGTTTGTACCTCAATCTCATTTGTATTTGTAGTCGCTTAGGGTGCATTAATATTGCAGTTATAGCATAGACTCTGTCTGACCAAAGATGCTCGTGAACCAAAACACGTATGTAATGTGCCAGCCTCTGACCTTTCCCTCGCCTATGACCTTTTTCGTGACATCGTCTCCGATACAACGACCTTTTTGGCCTGGCAGCGGCGCCTCCTGCCAGTCCGTGAAGCGATACCAATTTCCGTCGTAATATCCCACGATCCGGTGCGCGAGAGGGTCGGTTTCACCCGGTATGAGCACACCAACTGCGAAGCTCTGTCTTTGAGGTACACCATTCTCACTTAGTTCGGTGTAACTCCCGTCGATTTCTTTGTCTGTGACGTTCCCTAGCGTCCTTGCAGCCTTCAGAAGACTAGTCTGTGACATTGATCCTTTTGGCACTTTTATGTTCTTCTCTTTCAGGCGGGCATATAGCATCTCCGTCGTCATTCGGTCGCCGTCTGCGAGCAGTGCGGCAACGCTGACCCAGGTGCAGTTCTCCTCGCTACCTTCTGTGTTGATCAGAGGATAGTGATTCTGCGCCCTTTGTGTTTCAGCTAGCATCACAAAGGTAGTTATCGCGACGTATACCTCGGTAGCTCCGTCACGTCTGACAGTGATGACGGTCCGTCGTCGCTCGCTTCCACCGGTACTCTCAGGCCCGAATATTCGTAAACCCAGCAGGTCTGATCATACGACAAGCGGAAGCGTTCTTGCCTTGCGGCGTTCCACATCCACACATGGTCGACGTTGTTTTGCATAGCTGTCTCTTGTGACGCAATGTAGGATAATGAGTGATGCCTGAGCAGACGACTACATACCCCGCGCATGAGCTGACAGTGCTTGATGCGACGTGACGTAGGCGGCTTAGCCATGCGGAGTTGTCCATGATAGCATCGGGCCCTGAGGTCTGATCGGCCGGTGTAGTGCTGACTGAACTCAGACAATCGTTCCGACTCTGCACAACGGCGCTCGCGTTGAAACCACCTGCCTAGGTGACGACAGGTGTATCTGGAATGCTGCACCCTGCAATGGCGCAACCTTCGGCCGAAACCACGAGTTGTGCAGGCACCACGCCTCCAAGCACGACGTGCGCAACGCGCGCTTCTGGTGTCCGATCGATGAATGCCACAGGAGCAAGACGGAAGGAGGTCGAGCTTTCCCGCGCAATGACAAAATGGTCGATCGTTTGGTGAGGGTCTCTGGTGATCTGGTTGGTTCTGTGGGGTGAAAACGATGTTGATGTGTAGGTGTAGCTTTGTGGGATGTAGTTTTGATATGCTTGAAGGATGTTTCGCTTCCACTCCGCTATCATTCGGTGTCGCCCTGCACCCCTCAAAGTCTCTTTCCTGTATCCTTGTCCTCTACATGACCGTGACCGTGTAATTCCCATGATCATCTTCTTCTTGGAAGAGATTGCGGGCGACTGGCCTCCGATATGCCTCGAACTGAGCTTTAACCATGTTGGAGTTTACTTCCACCTCACTGTAGAAGAACTTGGTAGCAACGACGATACCGGCTCGTACATACACTCCATTCTGAGCTCCGGGCAGCGCATATAAGAGCAGGCACATTACATTACCTACTTGGACGCCGTCTTCGCCCAAGAAGGGTGCTATACAACACGTTATCGGTGCGATAACAATGCTTTCCAGGAACGATCGTGTATCCTGAGTAGTATGGTGTGGATGTGAAGCCGAGGTCGATACAATGCTGCTCGTGTGCTCTTCAATAGTCGTGGCGAACCATTGGTCTGGGCTGAATTCGAACTTGAAATCACACTCGTCCAGTCCCACGAAGAGTCCATCTAGTCGATGTGCGCTATCCGCGATTTGACCAAGAGAGTAGTGGGCTGGACAGATTAGAAGTATCCCGCTGAGCCGTAGTCGGGGAGTCTCTAGGTGTTGAACCACTCCAATACTGGTGCAGTGAGTCAACTTTTGATGCCGTACTCGATCGTACCAAGTCACTGGCTTATCCAAAGATGCCCATGACCAACTTGGTATGTACTGCCATGTTGGCAAGACTCTAGTGCCTCGTAGTTCGGGTATGTCATCTGACTGGTAGAACAGTATACCACGATGTATGTCGCTTGACCATAGTCCATACACGTGGCCATCTTCAAGACACTTCTCGAATTCCTTGGTGATACCGGCTAACGCGGGAAGCCGGTCTGTAGCAAAGGTGAGGCGTCGAGCTGAATACACCGAAACGATATCGAACCAGCTGTTGTATATACAGGTCTACGATCAGTCAGTTTGGGTGTACTAGTTTAGATATTTCTTCGATTTGGGTCGGACTAACGCTATCGCTCGGCACGCTTTCAATCTTGAAGAGCCAACTGCTATCGGTTCTTTCACGGAAGCGTCTTTCGAATGGCGTGTTCACCCAACCACAGGGCCAAACCTCATTTGCGACAGTCGATTTGCATTCCCAGTACACTTGGTTGTCATCGAAATGTACCGTACGTTTCGCCTGTCAATATCGTTACGACATTGATCTTGCCGTTCATTAGGCTACTCACGAGTAGTTGCTCTTGCAACGTCCAGGCTCGACGAAAGATTGGGCCTTCTCTCATTTCTTCCCATGGGAATGCACATGTCAAGTAATGCGTATCGCCGAACAGGTTCTGGGTAGCCGCGCGGGCGAGACTAACAGCGACTAGAGTCGGATCAATACGGCGCTCATCAAGTATAAAGCCTTCCCCTCCATCAGAAAAGCCAGAAGCGGAGATGTTGCAAATGGCGTTCCTATAGATCTCATACATAGAATGCGATTCTCTTTTCCAGTCCTCGGGGTCATCTTGCACAATGCAGAGGGAATCGATCCAAAGATACCGGAAGCCCAGCTCCAACGTGGCAAGAAGAGCGTCTTGGAAGGTTCTAGACAAGTTGTCGATAGGAAGCGAGCATTCGTATGCGCTTAGGGTCGCACGTGTAGTAGTCAGAAACTCAATTTCACCCCAGCAGTGAGAAAGAGTGAGGTATGGTGTATCCTTTGGCAGTAAATTACCGCGACAAATATTCGCCCTTATCTTTGAATTTGTGCCAGCTGGGTAGACGCATATAAGTCGGGTCGGCAGCTCGTTAGGGTTTGTCGAAGATCGACATTCGACATGGTGTGAACAGCAATCATTGATCCATCGTTTGACCAAGGAGAATGTTTCTCCTGACCTCATTGACGGAGCTAACCTTGTTTGAAAGACCGTCAGATGTAGATCTGTCTTAGTCAGCTATCAGTCAAGATTGTTGAATCAATTCTCAGGCCGAATACCTGCAATGGCTAGTCTAAAGAGCCAGAATATGCGCCAACTCTGGAACCTCCCACTCTTAGCATGGACGTGAATAGAGAGCCTGGCCTCCCCTCGTTCGGCAGATTGCTCGCGCTCGAGTGTACCTGTGATATACCACTTGTAAGTTGTACGATGAAGAGGTTCACACGCACGGTAATTATCTTCCTTCGTACGTTTGTGCTCTCTCCAAATCATACTACAGATGTAACAGCCTCTTTCGACTGCATTGTGAAAATCTTCGCTGCTAGCATGATGATCTTTTCTGTCTTTGCTTTCGTTTGGTCCTGCTGATAGAATGGCAAGGCACTTAGTACACAGTCTGGTTTCGGCCATGGCCGCTGCCGGTATATAATACACGCGCCTTCAACCATAAGCAACAGTGTGTGTGAGCGTTCGATAGCGATGTCGTCGAGGAGAAAGATCCGGTCTGGTTGTTAGAAAGCCCAGGACGAACCAGTCGCCCGAGGTACTCAGTCAGACCCGTGGACGCGTCGGATTGTTGTGGGTGCACCTCATACAAGGAAAGAAGTAAACAGGTCTGCAGCGTACATGAGGATAAGAATGCGTAAAGTTAGTAGCTCAACGTTAACGTAGGCTCTAGAGTGTTTGATTTGGTCCTTGTATGAGTGTGGAGGCTGATTCGGCGATGCGCTGCGGGCTATGAAGGAAGGCGGGGGCGACGTCAGCCGCGCTGATTGCGATAAGCAACGCTAACCCACCACCAGGCAGGTACACACTGTGCGCCACTTTTCCGCGCTTTGTCTCTGATCTAGGGTTTCTTTCGTATGCTTGTAGGCAAGTGTTTATTGAAATGGACGCTCTACGCGTGCAGTTTACGCGTAGTCGTCTTCGCAGAAGCTCGCAGTCCCCACCGCGAACTACATCGTCATCGAACCCCCGCACCTCCGCTGTGCGAAGCCTCAATAGATATCCACCACAAAGCTCCACCAATATTCGGGACTGGATCTGGACCACTACGCATCCTTCGATAGGTAGGGAATATGTGCTGCAATTATGGTGCTTGGCGGCGACAGTCGTGATGCGTCAGATCCCAATTGTTTGATGTTGATGGAGCACGTACAAATGGCGAGAAAGCGCATGCGACTGGCATCCGCCCTTCCATCGTCTATCCCCGCACATACTTTGATGGCGAGAGCGTAGGTGTAATACCAGCAGAGAGGACACTGGGTTCACACAATCAACAGTATATCGCTAGCACGCGTATATACTGCTATTGTAGCTGATAACGTGTGCTTGAAAACGGAGCGTCCATATTGGTGATGTCAATCACCACATATGTTGTGATGGTGGCATCATACGCTTCAAAAAAGTATCTGACATCGAGCTCAGCAAAGCTTGTGAAGAAACTTCAGTCGCGACAGAAGCATATCCAAAAACAAGTCAGTTTAAAAAGGTGTATTGTGTGTACTCAAAAGACAGGGTATCAACATGTACCTCCCAGCATCGTGTACGCCTAGGCAAATAGTACTGCTAATACCACAAAGGAAATCGCAACGCACTCCAGAATATGCCGAAAAGATAATTGCCAGCGAAGAATTGACGAAACACCGAGAAAAGAAAAGAAGAACACGTTGGGTATACACAGGAAAAGTCGTAAAGTTACAAGAAACGAAACAAGGAAACATCAAAGAACGCTTACAATCCATCCATCATCTTCGTCAACGCCAACCAATCCGCCAACTCCCCATTACTTTCCCTCTGACTCTCCCTCTTACACCCTACCTTCGGACTCGTCAACTTCTCATTCACCTTCTCTAGATCCAATATACCCATCACACTACTACTACTGCGCCTCTCACTCAACCCGCTATCAACCCGCGCCGCAGTCGTCCGCCGCTGTATAGCCGCCGGCAGCGCGATAACAGGCCGTGGATCCATCATGTTGTTGAACTCTGTGCTGAAGAAGTCGGGGCTGGCGAGGATGTGGGGGGAGGGGATGGCGCGGTTGGGGATGACGGGGGGTCCGAGGTCTGAGTTGGGGTGGGGTTGTTGTTTGGTGGGTGGTGTGTTGATGCGGAGACGAAGCATGGATGTTTGCTTTGGTTTGGGGAGGGTGTCGGATTGGAGGGTCGGGGTCGTGACTTTTGACTTGTTGAAGAAGAGCGAGGTCTTTCGGGATAGGAAGGAGGGTTTGCGGGTAGTGGGTAGTGGTGGGGATGTGGGCATTGGGGCAGGGAGGGACTGTTGTTGCTGTTGTTGTTGTTGTTGTTGGGGAAGACGTTGAGCTGCGGCCTCTTCGTTGGCCTTTTGGATGCGAGCTTTTGCGTCTTGTTCTTTTTGTAGTTTCGCTTTCGCTTCGTCATCCTTCAGCTGCTGGATCTTGGCTTCGTGTGCGGCGGTTGCTTCGATGCGTTTCCGTTGGTCCTTCTCGTCTTTCTCCTCCTTCTCTTCGGCATCTTTGAGCATGGCTACGATGAGGCTTCTCCCTTCCTCTGAATAGTTGTCGCCTACACACGCCATTGGTGTCAGGCCGGCCACGTTCTTCACGTTCGCTTTAGCGCCTTCAAGGAGGAGCGAGGAGGCAATGTTCTCATTGCCACCGACAGCTGCGGCATGCAAGGGCGTGTTGTTCTCGACATCGAGCGTGTCCATGCTGGCGCCGCTGCGAAGCAACAAGTTCAAGATCTCCCAATCCCCACCTTCAGCGGCCATGAAGAGTGGTGTTCGTCCCTTGTTATCGAGACTGTTCACGTCCGCCCCGTGCAGCAGGAAGTCCTGCACCACGTCAAAGCGATGCGCCACGACTGCTGAGTGCAGTGGTAAGCGGCCATTGGAAAACGGAGACGCGATAGTAAGTTGGGCACCCTTTGCTACCAGCAGTGTCAGAACATCCAATGCGACGTCAGGGCACTCCTCAAGTAAAAAGGTGATTGGATGCTGGTTCAAGACCGAGGTCTGCGTTGCCTCTGACGCAGACTGTGGTGATGGTGAACGCCTTGAGCTCCGGGGGATGCCCGCATTCGGGTTAGCGCCTCCGTCCAGGACAACATTGAGTATATCCAAAATGTACTCCGCTGGCATTGGCGGTTGTAGTGTAATATGGCGTAGGACCGCGCATATTAAAGAGACCCCCAGTGCTGATCGCGGTAAAGCATTAACGTCCAAACCCATCGCGATCATCTGCTCAAGGTCCTTAACAGGCAACGTCGTGGAAAAGGACGAAACTTCAGCGACTGGATTGCTGGGCCGTCTTCGCAATGCCCCGGCCCGCTTCATCCACTCGTACTGTGCGAAGAGCTTGAGAATCTGCTTATCGGCCTCGACCGAAGGCTGCAACTGGCTGGTTCCAGGTACCCAATCTTCAAAGTCGAACGTAGCACCGTGCTTGAGCAACGCATCTACGAAGACGGGTTTGCCTGTCGTCACCGCGTAGAACAGCGCATCTTGCTTTTGGTGGTCTTCGTGGTTGACGCAGTTCCGACTCGCTTTACGGTCTGCCTTCTGTGCTAGTAGAGCCTCGATCACAGGTAGGCCGTCCTCTGGAAGTGTTTTGATAGCAAGAATAAGCGGTGTTGCACCTGATCGCTCGCGCGTAGTTCTGCTGACGCCGCGTTCGCAGAAGGGGCCAACAATGGCAGCGATGTCGTTCCATGTCGCCGGCGCTTTGGGTATGGTGCAAGCAATGAGATGAAGAGGACTCATGCCGTCCTCATCCCAAGAGTTGATGCTCGGTGGTATCGTGAGCAGTGGTACGATGGACCATTGGTGATGCTTTACGGCGAGAAGAAGCGGCGTGTTCTTGTCCTTGTCGCCGATGGCTGTGTTCGCGCGAGCTTGTAGTAACGACTGTACCGTCCTCTCCAGTCCATTGGTTGCGGCGAGATGTAAAGCTGTTTGTCCGTTGATGTTGGTCTTACGTAGGTCAGATGCTTTGATGAGAGACTCCAGATCTGGCTCCTGGTCCTTTGTACTGTTCGTTGTAGCGTTGAGCAAAGGCGTAAGTTCTTCAGCATTAGTAAGATCAGCGTTTGCTTCTTGTCTTAGCAACAGCTCTGTGCAGACTCTGTTGTGCGTTGCGAGATGTAGAGGTGTATCGCCGTCTTGGTCCCTTGCATTGACCTCTGCGCCAGCGTCGATGAGCTGAAGCGCGATTTTGGGGTGGCTGAACCGTGGAGATACGGCGTGATGGAGCAGTGTCTTGCCGTCCGGATAAGTCACTGTAGCATCCGCGCCCTGCTCCAGCAATGCACCCAGGATGATAGACATAGTCTCTTTCTCCTGAGCCAATGGACTTTCGAAAGTGGCCTGAAGTACAGTGAGGTCCTTGCGGTCGCGAATGGTAAGATCAGGATTGCGCTTCAGGAGTGCGGTGATTACCGGCGCTCCAGCGCACTCCAATGCCACGAAGATGGGGCGGAGGCCGTTGGCGGTCTCGCGATCTGGATCCGAGCCTTTCTCCAAGAACATCTCCACCAAACTCGCGTCATCCCTCTTGATGGCCTCCACAAGAACGTTGGACTCCGAATCGCAAGCTGCAGCGAAGATGTCCGCGATGAGGTCATTGCCTACCGAGAAACGGCCCTGTGTCTTCTTCACGTGCTTCAGCAGCATCTCCCTCTCCTTCTCGAGCTTGTTACGCTTTCCATGTGCGGCATTGATGATTGCTACGGCGCCCTGGATGTTATTGGCGTGTAGAGCGGCTTCTGCTGGCGTCTCACCGCGAGCGTTGGGGGCTTCGTAGCTAGCGCCATGCTTGAGCAAGGTCATGACTGTGGCTAAGGATCCGGACTTCGAAGCTGCGTAATGAAGAGGGGTCTCGCCAGATTCGTTTGTTTTCGTCTCGAGGTTAGGTCCGTATGGGATCAAAAGTTCGATGAGATCGCTGCGGCCATTCTTGACGGCTATGTGAAGGGCTGTTTCGCCGCTGGCCTTGATTGCAGCATCGGCTTCTGCGCCGGCGTCCAGAAGTACTCTCGCGAGGCTGGCGTAGCCGTTGGCAATGGCGATGCATAGCGGTGGTAGTCCCAAGCCAGCGACATCATTCGGCGTTGCGCCAGCGCGTAGGAAATGTGAAAGCGCTGCCTCTCGTTGGTGGTAGACAGCATAGTATATCGGTGTCCAGTCTTTCGATGGCTTGAACTCGCCATTACCCTCCGGTGAACCCGCTGGCTTCCCAAACTTGCATCTCATAACCTCCACCGACGTTTGGAGTGTTGAGCCCTTGCGTTTCAACGCAGTCGGCCTCGTCGTGTCCCGATCTAGGTCAAGGTCGATATTGCGGGGAATTGGGGGCTCCATGTCGCTTGAGTATCTGCTAGTAAGACAACTGCAGGACTTAGATTTCATGCTCGCAACCTGACATCAAGGCCTGATAAAGCAGACAATCAGGGTTCAGGACACCGACAAAAGGAAATATGCAGGGTAGAGAAAAGCATCTGTATACCCACAGCAGAAGAAAGCTACAAGAGCGGCAGGAGCTTGACAAGTACGCTCCCGACCTTTCCCGTTCTTTTGCCAAATTGGAGGAGCTGAAAAGGTGGCGCGCCCACGAATCAAGTCATTCTCGTCGCGGTTGTCGTGCTATTTCGCCTTGCTTACCGCTAGAAGCCATGGTTCAATTACCAATAACGGGTTACTTGTCGTGCTACAAACCTAATCGCGCCTCTGTAGTCCCAAAACGGGTAGCTAGGTGCCTGGATGCAGTCGACGGCAGATGTACGACTCGCATTTTCGCGGAACGGTACGCCTGGGACGATCGCCGCAGCGCTTCCTTGCAGCGCCTGCTGTCAATCATCTCAGAAGGAATCCCAGAGGCGTTGTACAGTTGTCTTTTCGCTTGGCTTGCTCGCGACGGTCCGCGAATGACGGTGACGCTACTAACTATAGAGGGGCAATGGCGCAGTGCAGATCTTGCTGTTGGAAGCTGCAAGCCAATGCGTCGTGACGGCGACGGACGCGAGGCGTGACAACAAGCAAATTCAATGGCGACGGAGGACGCGATACTTTCGCGCTCGATATTCGGAGGGAGGTGCGCCCGGTGCTGCTTGCGGCGTTTCGCTAGCCGACCCACGTGTTTGTAGCTGGATTGGCTCAGGGGTAAAGTGGCCTTCATTCTTCGCTATTGCGCGCCGTCGTCCTTGGCCAAGCTGACGGCGCCAATGCTACGGGTACAATGTTTCCGGGATAATGTTGTCGAGTGTGCAGGCGTTTATTGAGTGGAGATTGGACGAAAAGTCGGATTCTAGCCGCGGTAATGCATGGGGATTTCCAGGCAAGGGAATTACAGCTGCGGTGGCTGCTCCGAATAGCGGGAGATCATCCGCCAGCTCGGTATCACGTTGAAACTCAAAATCGGGAGCCGGTTTGCTAAGATCATGTGCAAGAAAGAGTGGTTATTCTTCGTGTACTATGCCCGCGAAGATCGTCCTAAAATCAAGTAAAGAGTGTAAGAGGACGCGAAACCGCCGTCCACAGTCAAGCACGCAAGTGCGCAAAAGCAATCCACGCCTTCTTTTTCCAATCTGTATCCCCTCCCTATTGCATCATCCTCCTGTTACAGCGATCGATTCGCATCCCAGCGGCAGCGAAGAGTACGCTGGCGAGTCGCTGCACGTTCAATCTCCCCGCAAGCCCACGTGGCCGCCGACACCACCCCTCAAAACTTCACACCCAACTTCCAACCAACTTGGAGTGCGCGACTCCACACAAAGCAAAGTGAAGCCACAATATAGCAAGCTGCAGTCCAGATGACCACTCCCCAGTAGTGTCCACCTGTCGCCTGGATGATAGCACCCGCAATAGGAATACCGGTAAGGGTACTGAAGCTGACAACGGTGTAACAGGTAGCGTAGTACCTGCCATAGACATTCGTATCGCAAAGCTGGCCTACGCAGACTGGTGTCAACGAGATGTTGGAGCCAGATGCGAAACCGAACAACACCGCGTAGACAATGGAGAGTGCTTTGATAGCCATAGCTTCGGCCGCGGTGGTGGGGGTGAGTAGCGATGCGGGCAGCCAGAAGACTAGCGATGTAGCTGAGCAAATGGCCAGTGCCGCAATCATGCTATTGAAGCGCCCGAGCTTATCAGCTAAGAAGCCTGGAACCCAGCGACCGAGACAACTTCCCGCGTTGAAGATGGCGATGAGCTGGTACGAGAAAGACGGGCTGAATGCGCCGGTACTGACCGCAAAGGTGGTAAGGTACGTAATCGGAATGAAGAGTGCCCACTCCATCATGAAGATGCCGACCGTGAGCAGGAAGTAGCTCTTGTGGCGGAAGATTCGGAAATCGGGCCATACTGATTGTCCAGCTTTGGGTGGTAGGCGAGAGCGAATGAGGAAGCAGGCACCAATGCAGCAGAAGAGTGTGATGAAGCCGATGATGCGAGTCGCCCAAGGGAAGCCGACCTTGGGTAGCAGCTTCTCTAGCGCCAGCGGGAATATGACACCACCGAGCGATCCTCCAGCCGCAGCAATACCCGTTGCATTGCCTCGCTTCTGTAGGAAGAAGTGGCTGACTGCGGCGAAGGCGGGCGTGAAGATCAGCGACGTACCGAGACCCCCGAGCACGCCGAAGACGAGGAAAAAGTGCCAGTACAGTGTGCATACACCGAGCAGGAAGTTCGACAAGCAAAGCAAGATGCTACCTGCCAGTACCAACAGCTTCGGGCCGTGCGCATCGAAGATGGGTCCAATCTGGAGTCCGCAGAAGAACGACAGGAAGACGTACATGCTGAAGATCCATGAGATGGTCGACTCGGTGTAGTCTGCGAGATAGTGCTCGGCAATGTAGGCATGATAAATACCGACCGTGTTCATCATACCCAGTGAGGCGATGAGACCAAGGAATGATCCCAGGACGACAGACCAGGCACCTAGGCCCCCTTCCGGATAGGTTACTTCGTCATTGGCAATAGACGTTGATCGAGATTCCTCATCGAGAGGTCGGTGGGCTTTCTCATCTCCAGTTGCAGTGTTGCTTGGGCGATTCTCCTTGGAGTTGGCCGATGCCGGGGCATCGGCGTTGTGAGTTTGGGCACTTGGGCATGGTGACAGCGTGTCCGATGGCGGGATGGTAAATTCAGCGTGCGGATAAGTATTGACTCTGGTCAAATTGTTGTGTGGGCTAAGTGATCCTGGCGTGCTGCCTTTTGGTTCGCTGCTCATACGAAGGATCGAGTTTGTCTTGGGGAAGTTTCGTCTAATATGTATGACGATGCGCGTTATTGCGCGGGCAAGTTCGTGTCGAAGTCGTGAGATGTCGCAAAGCTCCTGCACAGTCCCCAATAAAGCGTCCTCGCAGCCCTGAAGTACCTCCCAATCGATGATGCGCGCCGAAATTGAATCGTAGTTGTGGTTCCCCGAACGGTTTGGTGCTGCATAGTCGAGCTCTCCGACCGGTATAAGTACGTTGGATGCCACAGGAGGGGTAAAGAGCCATGACCAATAGACCCACTCTGCCGCTTCGGCAACCACTCGCAATGCGGTATCGCCCGCTGCCGACGAAGGGTTTTCAGCACACCTCTTTTCCGACCCGGTGCATGATTCGCCCAAGACGCCGAGGACCAAGACTGTGCTGGATATTGGCGGTGAAGTCAGCATCGCGGTCTGGACGACATTCCCTCCGGACATAGTAATTCTCGGAATTCGACTCGGAGTTGAGCGTCATCGGCATCGGAAAACTTCTTGTGGGGGTTTCCGACCTGCTCAATGATGTCGACAGCTTTGTTCTCGTGCGAGATGTACCCTAGAAGCTGTTGTGCCATTGGTGTGATCTTTTGGGTGTCGTCGGTGGCTTCAAGAACGGATAGCCACAGCTGCGCGGGAGACGGTTTGTGTGCGGGCGTGGGAACATCGCCGAACATGGAGTCATAGCGATCATGCTCGCTGTCATGCCGGGCATACGGTGCCGCTGGCATTCTGCTGACTCTGGGTGTAGGTAGTCGAACCTGTTCGGTGCTTTGGCTTAGCATCTCCAGAAGCATTGCATTCTCACTGGCTCCATTCGTGCGGACTCTGGAGGCAGTATCGCTCTCGTCCGAACGACATCCTTGGATGGCTCTGTGAAGCACTAGCCAACTACCGCGGAATCTCCAACGGTCTTCGTGCGACATGTTACGATCGCGAGAAGCATATGTAGCTCTGAGTCTGCTTTCTAGGAGGCCGTAGAGTGTACCAAAGCACTCCTCGCTGCTGGTCTGGGGAGTCTCGGGACCATCTTGAAGTGCTTTGGAGTACACACTGCTTTGGTCGGCATGCTGTGGCGGCAGTCTGCTGCACTGAACACTTTCCAGCACTTGCGATACGTTCTCGGTGCAAGCCTGTTTATGCGTCGAAGTGCTTCTCGCAACATCCACAGGCCCGCGTTGGTGCTTCGATCTTGTAGTGTACTTCGCCCGGATATTCTGTACATCGCGAAGGAGGAGCTTGGCTGTCCAGCGGACGTCATACGGCAACCAAGAGCGCATCATGACGAAGAGTATAGCTATCAACGTGACTGACTGCATCCATGTTAGTTGAAATTGCAGAGTGAGGGTTCATCTGGTGCACACTCACCAATATCAACATGCGTTTGAGTGGCATGCGCTTGATGTTATGTGCTGAGGTAGAGGCTGACTGAATGTGAAAATAGCAATGCAATCGAGTGAAGATAATGTGGTTGAAGTTGAGCGTGCGCGCGGTAACCAAACCAGATGTTGCTAGACTGAGAGCAAAGCGACAGCAAAGTGACGATAAGGGTCTAATCATACGTGGTTTGCACTCGTGCGCGCTTTCAAGGCAACTGCACTTAGGCAGTGTAAACAAACGCACAGCAGGCGCGCTTTTCACTTCCCTACGCTTCGAAGGGGAACCATCGGCGCTCGCTCCTCAACCCTCTCTACAAGAGATGAGATGATGCGTAGCTTAGCCAAACACAGTGCACCCCCATACCCACACCTACACCGTCCACTCCACCACCTCCCCCAACCTCCAATCCACATCCTCCATCCAAGCGCCCACACTCCACGCACCCAGTCCCCTTGGCCACCAATTCTTTCCCCTCTCTTCCAAAACCTCACTCTCCTTCTTCTCATGCACTTCCACCCAGCATCCCCTCGCTCTCGGCGTAACCGCCGCGATATCGAACGCCCGCCACTTCTGCGTACCCACTAGCACCGCTTCCATCTTCTTGACATCCGTGTCATAGTCGTCTACTTTTAGGCCTTCTTGAACCTCTTTAACCGCTTGTTCATATCCCGAGGCGGATGGGAGGGGAGGTTGCGCGGCGGCCATGCTGAGTGGAAGGTATTTCGTGTTCAACGGCATTGGAGGAACCCATTGCCAGGGTTTGAGAGTACAAGCGAAGAAGGGTGCTCCACCGTCGCCTTCTTTGGTGCCAGGCGGGAAGACTTGCACTGTGAGAGTGGATGGAGGCGAGGCGCCGGGCGCAGTAGGTGGTGCGGAGAAGGAAAATCGTGCGAGCTGTTTGGGGATGTTCCAGTTTAGACGGCCGTTGTAGGTCGTTGTGCGTTGAGACACGTAGATGCGGGATATGCGTTGGGCTTTCTTTGGGATTTTGATGTGGGGCTGGCCAGATGGGGTGGTCGTGGGTTGTGGGACGGTGAAGTTGCCGGGGACGAGCAGGAGTTCGTCGTAGGGGCCTGTGATGAGGTTAGAGATGTTTCCATAGGTATTCTCGTTTCATGTTGTCTTCGAGTATGTTCTTCCTGCTCTTCCCTACCCCTCAAAAGAAGTCGCGCTCAGCGTTCATCCGCACTAAGTCTTCGATCCACATGCATTTACTCCTTCAACTCTCCTTTTCGTTTCTTCTTATTCGACAAAGAGACACCACACATACCAACAGGCGTATCCCTATACCTCACAATAACCACCGTCCCCAACCCCCCATCAAACTTCCCCATCATCTTATCATCCCACCCACCCTCTTTCCCCTCAAGCTCACTGTGCACGCCCTCCGGCAACCCCTTCAACATATGAAACAGCATATAAACTTCTGCCGTGAGTTTCCATGGTGCGGGCGCACGCGCGACGGGATGGAAAGACGGTTCTTCGGGGTTCGATGTAGACATGGCGAGTTATCATAAAAAGTGACCAGTCGCAAAAAGAAGTGTGATTCAGAAAGCACAACACTCAATAGATGAAGCTGGCGATAGCCGTTTGTTGTAGTAATACCAGCTACCGGGTAACATTGTTGCGATCTGGCATGTGATGAGCAACGTATCCGGCTCAGCCGCGGCTGCACTCTGCATCTCTTGACATCCCTTGCAATATTACTCGGTAAACTACCCAGTGTCTACTATGTGGCACAGCAGCTTACATCGCATCATGTAAACCGCCAAGGTGCTTCGTGTTCATCAGTAAGCGCGCGTCGACATCGTACTAATGGTGATGAATGTATACAAGTAATGTGAAGATATTGCGCGAGGAAAGAGCGGAGTTGGATGAGGAGAAGCGCGGTGGCCTGAGCGCTCTGTGTGGTTGATCACCCCTCTCACGATCCCTAGACGGGACACGGCATGAAATTATGAACATGGCGATAAGGTGGAATGTATCATCTCTACTACACACGACGATAATCTAGTATCCCGCCCACCTCACCTTTTTCTCACATCACGCAGACGACACCAAAACAATCAACAAACTGCCGCGCAAAACCACTGCCATTGCTACTATACTATACCCAACAAGTCCCAACTACAGTATGTCGCCCCGCCTCGCCAAAATTCTGACAACCACCACACCAACACGCACATGCACTCCTGCCCATCGCGCGCGCACCTAAAATGCGAACCAAAATGTCTTGCATCCCACCCATCCACCCATCACATGTCCACTTCTTCGCAAAGCATCTCCACTTGCTTCCATCCGTCCATTGCAGATGCATACTTCCTTGCACACCGCTACTGATGTGCCGTTCTAAATCCCTTAGTTCCCTTCAAACCTTCTCGGCGGCTAACACTCCTGCGTAGAAGAACCTAAGAACACCTTTCAATATTTTAGCATGGGGTTCTGTCCGTCTAGTCACCGTGCTTTACTGCTTGCTTAACTGGAAGTGGAGTTATCTGGGGGTAATGGAAACCATCCTGCCCCGCTTTAAAGTCAGTAGCTCGCGGGTGTTACTGGGGCTATCGTGAGCATGTTTTTGTTAGTTAGTTAGTTTGGAATGTGTGTGGGATGGATCGAGCGGGTGCCGAGAGCTGCATAGTCAAGGTGCGAACGGAGATTAAAGACGGAAGTGCTCATGCATGTGTAAATGCATTTGGCAAAGACTCGTGTGCGCCGTACGTCAATTTGCGTCGTAACTTTGTAGGATCGCTGAAGAAGGAAAAGGGTTCACAGTGCGCACCACGCAACCCCACAGCTTGATCAACGATTCGCTGCGTCGATTATCCAAATCGCCGGTAACGCGGCTCTGCGTCGATCATCATATGTCAGCTCACTGTCCAGACCCTTCCCTTGTTCCCAACCAATTCAAGCATTACCATCTCGTTCCTTCTCGTTCTTTTCTTACACACGAATAGTTTCCCCAGTCGTTGGAGCATTGTCTCGTGGCAACGCGTCTATTGGCTGCGAGTCGGCATTCGGCTAACTACGGCGTGCGCGTCCACAGTAGCCAACGGCTGTCGAAACCAAAACCAATAGACCAGGAACCTTAGGTCATGCGGCTCTGCACCTACCCTTCGTCTTAAACTAGGCGCGGGCTGACATTGTCAATGCTCACGTACCAGGCTTGTCTACAAACAGCAGTCCGCTTGCATGACGCGCAGCAGAACGACGATGGAGCGGCCTGTGGCGGGACAAAGCGTTGCTTGGCGGCTGAGGCGGCGGGCGAGTCAGAACACCATGGCACGTGGCATGGAAGCTGTGACCCAGAGGACCTGGCGTTTCGCCCGGTGAGTGGCAATACATCGGCATGTGATGGCTGGTACGTAGCGGGATGCTGTAATCTTGGCACGACGGTACCTCGTGGTTGTTGTGGGCAAGGGAACCCATTGTACGGATGCGGTGTTGTATCTCATGGCTACCCTGCAAAGCCCTCGGTACGCAGTAGTGTAAGTCGGTGGCAAGAACCAAACGGCGCGCTACACCGAACAGGCGATGGGCCCGGCTGGTAGTGAAGGTAGCCAGATTAGCGACGTTTGGATGCGGCTTGAAAGGGCGCATGTCCGATGGATGAGCGTCATCACAACATAGTCCGGAGATGAACGATGAGGTTGAAGGAGATACCAGATAGTAGTGTGTGAAGTATGTAGAGTGTGGTATTACGACTCGTCGAGAAAGCCGTCATGTCTATCAACTATCTCAGAAAATGGAAAAACGCCTTTGGACCTCGAGGATCAAGGTCCTGTTTTGAATAACTTTTTGTTTGCTCTGTGATAGAGGAACGCCGTGAGAAATAAGAAAAAGAGACCCAAGTCTAGCAAGCTCAGGGGGATATTCCGCGTAGAAAAAGACGATTGAAGCAAGATAGCCAACTCATAACACCTCTGTAATGCACATCGAATTCGTCGTACCAAGCGCTGCTGTACCGCCGCCGATTCAAAAGGAAGATGTACAATCTCGAGAGGATGTACAAGAGAGCGAAATACGTAAGCGGAGCCAAAAACGTCTCTTTATCCAAGATATCAGGCCTGGCTGGTTGGTTGGGTAGAGGAATACTCCAGTCCAAGTAACGCCAGGTAGATGCAAGAACAAGGGACGGACGAGTCATGACTTTTCGTGTTGTTGCTGAACAACATCAGCCGATAAAGAAACAAAATGTCTATGGCGAAGCTACAAGCGTCGTCGCGGATATCGAAGATCGGGGTATTGGGAGAAGAGTAGAAGGTTGGGAGACGCATTGAGAGCGATCCGAAGAAGTAAAGTTCTAGAACATGGAGGGGTCGATGCCCATTCCAGCACCAGCGACATTCGCGTTCTGAAGATTTTGCAGATTCGAGGTGAGACCAAGTTTCTGCATCGCCAACTCGGGGTTGCAGTGGGGAGCGTGGGAGCGGTGGTACTTGAGACCGTTGAGGTTCTTGTATCGCTTGCCGCATACTTCGCAACGATATGGCTTCTCCTTCTCCATGCCGACAGTTCCCGGGTAGGGAATGGACGTGAGAGGGTCGACAATCGAAAAGGTACCGTCGTCATTCTCCTTGAGTTGCTGGTTCTGGTGACCGTGCTGCTTGTGGTACTTGAGACCGTTCTGGTTCTTGTATGCCTTTTCGCAGCCAATGACTGGGCATCGGAACGGCTTGACCTCCTCGGGGAAGGGGAATTGGGGTATGCTCGCGCCGTTGATGAGCTGTTGTTCGCGTAATCTCCTGGCCATCTCGCTCTGGTCGTTTCCGCTGAGCTGGTAGTTCTTGAGCGCAGCTTGCAGCTGAGCCTGGTTGAGACCACTGCTTTGCTTGCTGAACAGACGCTTGCCGGGCTGGTCGATGGTGCCGTTGTTGTCAAATGCGCCCATGCCGAAGTTGCCGTTGCCGTTGGCGAAGTTCATGCCCATGTTCATGTTCATGTCCATGCCCATCATTGGGTTGAAACCGCCAAAGTCCATGTCGAGCTCAGCCGGAGTACCCGGGTGTGAGGACTCGGGCGATGTCAAGTTGTGATTTTGCATAGGCATGGTGCCCATTGTGGGGGTGTTGACCGACGAGACGGTGGGATTGTTCTGAAGGTTGAACTGCTGCGAGGCAGACGGAGTGGTGGGTGTCGATGTGCGCATGCCCTGGTGATTTTGCATGTTGTTCGCGAGGTTGACATTGACGTTGAGCTGGGGCTGCTGGTTCTGGTTCTGGTTGAACTGGTTCTGGACGGGGAATTGCTGCATGTTCTGCTGCTCTTCAATGGGGCCGAGGTTGTCAAAGTTGATGTCGTCCATGTCCATGTCGTCCAGCGTGTCCATGTCCTGCACAGTCGACAAGTTGGAGCGGCTGACAGAGCCGATGCGCTGGCGGGGTGCGCCTATTGAGCCGGAGCGCGACTGGAAACCGTTTTGTGTGTTAAAGGCCGGGTCGCCCTGTGTCTGGCTCGGTGCAATGGAGCTGGTCGGGGCACCGGATGTGGCTGTGAAGCCGTTCTGGGGCTGCTGCTGCTGCTGCTGTGGGCGGGCAGCGGGCGCGTTGGCGTGCGTCTCCTCGAAGTGCTGCAGGAGGTCGTGCAGGGAGGCGAGGGTGAGGCCGCAGCATGTGAAGTCCTTCATGAAGGCAGCTTCCATCTTGGGTAGATAGGACGACGAGTGGAAGGAGGGCGAGTTCTGGACAAAGGGCGCGGGTGAGGTACCCATCATGATGCTGGGCGGTGGTTAGTTTGGGCTGTTACAACTGGGGATAAGTGGATACTTACTCGTCGCGGATCCAGGACCCGACTGAGTGGCCGCCCCAGCTCATGCCACCTGCGAAGCTACCCATGTTGGTGCTCTCGCGGCGCCCACGGTCCTTCATGGTGATGGGGCGGGCGCCGCTGTTGCCGTAGAAAGAAGAGCCGAGCATGCTGATGGAGGGGTGGCGCTCGCCGATGCTTGGGCGGCCATTGTTGAACTCGAAGTTGTTCGGGTTGAGCAAGCCGGGCGTCGTGGCCATGTCGGGCTGGGCCTCAGCCTGGCGCAGGGCCGACGTCAGGTTGGACGTCTGGTTCTGGGGCGAGTTGGAGCCATAGCGCGGGGGCGTCTGGATGTCGATGGGCGAGGCGGTGGCCATGTCTGCGAAGCCGCTGTGGACTTGCGGCTCCTCGGGGAAGAGGGGGAAGCTGCAGTCGCCCGCGTCTTCGAATAGCACGTCCTCGTCGGGCTGGCGGCGGGCCACAAGCTCCTGGGGCTTGCGGTGCCAGAGGTGGTGGAGGCCGGCGCTCGGGTCCTTGTTCCCACGCCCAAAATGCGGCGATGCGGGCTGCTCGACAGGCGTGGAGATGGGCGTGCTCGCTGCGGTGGATTCGCGCGGCGAGTGGGAGAGGGGTGGCGGGTGCTCGTAGGAATCCAGCTTCACGGTGGGCGAGGGTGAAGGGTGTCGAGGTGGCAGTGGGGAACGAATGCTAGTGGAACGGCGACTCGTTAGGCGCAGTTTCAGATGACTGTGCGGTTGGTGTGTGTGGCGTCGGTAATCGTCAACGTTAGAACACGCAAAAGTAATGCGTGTTTAGGATGTCTGAAATAGTCGGATATGCTGAGTATAATGCCAGTAATGCCAGTGAATTTAGTTGGAATAGCCGTGCCGGGGCGCGGTAGATTATATGCGCAAGTGGGAGCGGTGACGACGAGGGTTAGTATGGGCAGAGCGGCCGACCTCGAGGATCCCTGCAATGTGGGTGGATACGGCCAATTGCGGGCTGGCGCTACTGTGCTCTGTATGCGTCGCTTCTGCCAGAAATGCAACTGTGACGAAGGGCGATCTCGGATTATGCGATGCGGGTGACGACGGCGGGCGATGTGCGAGATGCAGCGATGCAACGGCTGCCCGTCTGAGATATACTTCGTTTGTCTCTCGGCCTGGCCCAGTCGCCGGCTTGGTGATTGAGAATACGGCACTGCCGGCCGAGGCAACTCTGGGAGAGAAGGCGCACGGCCACATGGTTTCTGGTACGCGCCCCTACTAGAGCCGGAGCATGGAGACGACTCCAAGCGTCTGCCTCTGCGTGTGCTCTCACGCCGCCGTCCAACGCAGGCTTCCCTGGCCCAGTGCAGTAGCATCGCCAACAACTTCTTCTAGAAGCCGTGGCGCCCTGGCCAGCTGGAAAGTACCGTCGCTCGCCCTTGCCCGTGGCGCAGGCAACACCACCGTAGCCTTCGCCGTGAACCATCCTATACCCGAGTCTGCTCCGGGCCAGCTCTTGGCCAGCTCTACACTCCCTACCGGCGCGTGAATGCTTCTCTTCGTGCGAACCGCCGCTGACGCCCATGCACACTCACTTGCAGTCTGCCACCTGCCCTGCAATTCCACCTGCTCCGCACACTAATATGACTAACATGGCTCTGCTCCGCTGCGACTCAAAGGGTCTTGGTCTGCATCGCGCCCAACATGCTTCATCCCTACCCGCCTGGCTAGCCACACCAGCCCGCCCACGAGCATCCCCAGCGATGGACATCGTCGTTTCGAACCGTCACCCAGTCACTCGGCCAGGTCGGCGGAATGCATCTGCTTGGCCGGACTGCGCTCGGCTGTTTGACTGCCTTGGGCTCTCTTACACACGCACTCAACTAACCCGCCGCCGCTGCTGCTATTAGCCTGCGCTACATGCGGTATGTACTCTGCTGTTGGGACGACAAGATGCCTTCGCGTATTAATGCTCTACATGTAGTGTAGTTCTAATCTCTATCACAAAGTTACTGCACCCTCTAGCGCTGTGATCTCTAACCACCGCAACAATACTCGGCAGGTCTTGCCTTGCTTTTTACCCCATGGTCTTGCTGTCTGGGGTAACGAGTCTGTCGCTTACCCGTCTGCATCACTGACTGCCTTACTGCTATAGTTGAAGGTACCGACGACCCGAAATGTCGTGCTCGTCCACCAACCACGACACGATAGCATACACCAACCCCCCACGGCCGCCTCACAAGCCTCATTTCCTGCTCCTGACTTCCCTCAGTTGCATATTCGAAACATGCAGCCCGTCCCGTGACGGGCATCCGAGCACCGGAGTCTTCTCATACCGCAACTATGTCTGCCCTACTCAAGTCCAGCCATCCTTGTAAACGTCACGCCCGGGTCGCTTCACGTCGTGAGCGCTCGTTTCATTGGACCCTGCAGCAGCTCATCCTCCCACGTCGTGCTCAATGAGGGATCCCGCCCTTCGACCAGTCCCAATTTCATCCCACTTGCTGTGTCACTCTAGACACCTCATCACCGCCCCGTCAAAACACTTACGAAAGACGTCGTCCCGTGGATTACGACGTCTTCGAAATATTACCGACGGTACGCGCCTGCACTCGTCATGCTTATGCTGACTGGCCTCTTCGGCGAGGGCGGAATCCGTTGGGGCGCGGCTCTCCCGCTGTCGCTTGTTCAGCAACACTGCCAAGCGCCATTGGCGGAAGGCACAACCGGTGCAACTTCCGACTTGCGAGCCAGACACATGGCTGGGTGGCGACGTCACTCACTCTGCTCATCCATCGCCGAACGGCCCCAAGCCTGGGATGCACTTCGTCTCAGCTCTCGTCGCCAGCCACCAATCCAACGTTCCTCCACCACGCACGGTACCCTCAGCTGAATCGTTGCTTCCGAACCGATACGCAGCGCATCTTGGTGCAACTCTTGCAGTAAGTGTGGCGAGCGAGGCATCGTCAGATTCACAATGTCCCAAGATCGCACCAGGACTCCAGCCCCAATCCTGGCTAGCATCCTTCACCGCTAACTGCCGCCGTGACGTACCCGGTATAACAACGTCTGCTATCCGGTAGCGCACGACAGTGCATCATCTCCTAGGCTGCTTCCAGATGTATTGCATCTTCCGATTCCATCAATGTCTAACTTGCAACATGGCCCTTTTCCGCTGGTTCACAGTACCATGGGATGACACTCTGGGGTAACGGCTACAACTCCAGACGAGAACACTATCATGCCAATTGCGGGGTAAAAAGTACTCTGGTAAGGAAGCACAGCGACATAGACTGACCCGAACATTGAGCCAACGTTTTCTACCAACTTCTGAGTAGACTCCAACAAACAAGCATGAAGCCGGTGCATGACATGCCCAAACGCCCCAAACGCTCTCGGAATCGGGACCATCAGTGTCCAACGTTGCGACTGCACTACGTGGTCAGAAACGGCCCTTCATCATGTTCACAATATGCGCGTCATTGGTTTTGGCGTCAGGCACGCCTACCCCAGGGACGAATGGCAGACCAGAGCGAAGCCGTGCTACCATCGTCTAACGTCGGTAGTCTAAATCACCTCGCTTAAAGGCTCAGCTCTCGCTGTCACGTTGTCGACAATGCAACACCAAGCAACGTGGATAATGACTTATCCCACTCGGTAGTCGCAATTTTCTTGAAATTGTCCGAAACATGATCGCTTGTGGCGCCTCACACGATGTCTCGAACCCACACTGCACCGTCTAATACGTTGTATCCGCCATCTCCACACCTCCACCTGCAGCGCCATGCATGATTTCAAGCTTCAGCGCTAGAATCTCTAGCGCGGACACGGTCCTTTCTTGGGTCACGTTATCGGGCCGCTACCATACACGTAGAGCACATGCGGCAACTGCCAGAGATCAAATGTCGACTTCAACAGATGTGCAGCATGGATTGACATCGGAATACCGATTCTAGATTCTCCGACCATGCCACCAAAGGATTGTGTCCCTGGACAGCTGAGACGTTGTGATGTTGTCTTTCGGTCAAATACATCATCTTCGGCCCTACATCCATGGACAACACGAGCGCACGATCAGCCTTGTGACGTCAACCACGACAGGATGAATCGTTCCTCTAGGCAGCTGGACCTAAACGTTGGCGAACTGCTCCGCGAACGATGTCGTTGCTAGAGTCGATGGGATCGAGAATGCGCCGACCTTATCTACCTGATCGGCAGTATGCTAGCAATAGCTTCCTCCCGCACTTCGGGATAACTCCATCCAGCGTTGTTGACATGCGAAACCGCGCGTCACCGTCGCGCATGTGTGCGGCGTGGCATATGTCATCCCGCCAAACCCTGGCTTTTGTGACGAAAGATGCAGCACTCATCAGTCGATGCCCCTCGGAGCCGCAATCACATTTCTGAGGGACTGACCTTCCAAAAAGGTATTGTATGGGGATTTGAGCTTGACGATCGTTCAGGCGTAATGTGGCAGGTCCGGCTTGCTTTACCCGGTGGGATGCATTTTGGCAGTGAATCATTTGTATTGAACGATCGTCGATATCGTCAGGCTTCGTGAGTAATGCTGAGTCCATGACTTCTTTCGCTCACCTTGATGGTCACGGACTTTCCTCGACATCAGAAGACACGTGTGCGCATTACGATACTCGATTACCTCTTGCCCTTCGATCCGTCAACGACGACAAACTGAGATGCCCATCTATGTGGAACTTTCACATCCAAGAGACCCATCACGACCGAAGTACTGCCTGGCAGCAATGCCACAACAACGATGAGAGTGTGTCATGTGGACATGTCTTCATTTCAATGTAGGGGTATCTTCTCAGTATCGATGCATGACATTCCGCATATCCGAGCTTCGAAATACGGCCGACGTCTTTCAGCCTCATTATCTCGAAACCACTGCGACAACTCGTCTCTGCAGCATCTCATCACCGCACAGTCTCGTTGAGTACTCGTTACGGGTGCCTAGAATGTGCAAGACTGGACAAGACTGGACAAGATACTTTAAGGCGAATTGCACTCGACTACAAACATACATGTGCATTATTATCTTATCTCCGCAAAGGCGATAAACACGAAATACTGCGATAACTTGACTTCAGACGTCATCTGGTATTCTTCAACGCATGGCTCTACGGTGGTGATGTGGTGAGCATCAAAACAACGCTTTCCAAACTCTATCAACAAATACAACACTACCTCACTTCAACGATCCGGATCAGAGTCCTCAATCTCCTCCCTCACCTTCCCCTTGCCCTTCCTCTTTATCTTCTCTGGTTCCTCTCGAATCTCATGAGTCTTCTCCACAGCCCCAGTACCAGTACCAGAAGCGCTCGCCCTCTCAGCTATCCTTTGGATAAAGGCCTCCCTCGCTTCCGCCTTCTCCCTCCTTTCCTTCCCCAACCAGTCAAACACACCCTCCACATCCGTAAACTGCATGAAACCACCCTCTCTCCACGCATCGCCGTGTATCTTCTTCTCAGTCTCGTTATCCATCAAAGCAGCTTTTTGCATGCTAAGCGCCCGTCCCCAGCGACAATACACCAACCCTTGCGTAAGCACCCTTACGCGTATACCCATATTCTTATACTCTCTCTTCCCATACACCGGTCCACCCTCACCACTCACATCACTCGATCCAACTTCCCATCCGCCTTTCCGATACGCAGTAATCCCACCAAGACACAAAATCTACGTCAACGCCGTATCATCCCTCGCACGCGTCTTCTCCGTCTCACTCAACGTGTCGCGGCGCTTCTGTTCTTCGCCTTCGACTTCTGCGTATTTGTTATGCATGTTGCGTTGTCTCATGGAAGCATCGTTGTAGCATTCCATAACTGAGGAATCGTAGTTGTCTTCCTTGAAGAGGGGGACGTGGTGGTAGGCTGTGTGAGGGTCGAGGTGCATGTGTAGGGAGAGGAGGGCGGCGGAAGTGGTGAGGCGGCGGAGGGGTTTGAAGATGGATGAGAGGGTTGGTGGGTCGCTGGGTGTGGTAGGAGAGGAAGGCGGGTGGACTAGTGAGAGGATAGGGGAGAGGTGCACCCATAGTGCTCCGATGATGGTGTGACGTGGCCGTTGAAGTTCTTAGGGAGGAATGTCGGTGCAGGTAGGTGGGCGCGGATAGTCGCTGCGTAGCGGGCGTTGCAATCGAAACCTATGTTCACGTCAGTTCAGTCTCATTCTCATTCTCACTCCCATCAGATGGATAGAATGTCTACTCACTATCCTCATCCTTCCCCTCCCTGTGCACCGCCCCGCCACAACCCTAACCCCCTCCTCCGTCCTCCCCCCCCCCCCCCCCCAAGAATCCATGCTGCAACACCTGCTCACTCAACACATTCCCAATCACCCCACAAACAAGCGCTTGCAATTTCTCTATATCGACAAAGAGATTGTGCCATCCCCACAATCCACTTGGACCTCCACTCGCCACACAATTAATTAACTTCGCCGTCTCCAGCGTCAATGACTTGAAGAACTTGTTGTGCATCATGACATCCCCGTTCTTATCCTTGAACGTGAAAGAGGTGTGCGCGCCGGAAGGGAAATGTTCTTTGGAGAAGTCCTCGATCGAGGTCGTGAGATGGCATAGTCCATCCCTTATCTCAGCGTCGCGGAACGCGTATTCTGGTTCTGACGGTGATTCGGCGCGGATTGACTTAGGGTTTGAGGAAAGTTCGCGGGCGCGTAGGTTGGGCTTTGTAGAACATTTCTGCTCGGGCGTCTTTTCATGTCATTCTGGTGGGTATTTGAAGCTTGAGGAATGGGCGGGAGTGATGGGTGAGGTCATGGTTAGTTAAGATGGTGATGGTGTTGGTGGTGTGATGGGTCTAGTTGCTGTAGATCGGGTGGTGATTGGTCTGCTGGCGCCAGTTCGCGGTCTGGGTTGTTTGCTAATGGGGGTTTGTTTGAGTTGGTCTACTATGATCGCGTTGGTGCTAGTCATGACTGGGTTGGCGGACGATGTGGTGGGGGAGAATGATAGATGTAGGTCGTCGTCGCTGGGCCAATCCATGTCATCGTTTACTTCGTCTTCTTCGTTATCGGTCTCACTGCCCGTACATATTGATGGCGAGACCGTTACCCTGGTGCTTGTACCAGCCAACGCCCTCTCTGCCTCGCCGTGCTTCTCTGTCCTATCAGCCCTACTACCCGAACCGCGCGCTTCAATAGCAGTGTATAAATCGCGAGAAAGTTTGCGAACAGATTTCGGAGTCACGTACGGCCGAGCATCGTCATCTTCGTCATCGTCTTCAATCTCAACTTCAGCTTCGGCTTGCAATTGATGCGCTGCTGCTTCCTCCTCATCCAATACAAACACATCATCTCCGTTCACCCGCGCCGTACCAGCACCAGCATAAACAGCATTCTGGTATTGTTCCGGGTCGTACGCATCCCTCTTTCTCTTCTCACCCGAGCGCGAACTCGGCGTATCTAGGACATTGCGCTTCTTAGCGAGCGAGGATGTGGCGGGCGAACTGAAGAGGTTTTGGAGGAAAGACATCGCGCGCGATCGGAGTTACGTTGGTAAAGTGAAGATGCGCGCTGTATGATCAGCGTGATACCTTGGCCGTGAGATGGGGTCACTCGCATACATGCTATGTCTTGTGTCACCTGCTCTTGTATGCTCACCGCGGTCGCTTTGTCTTTGTTGGTGCGCGACCGCATCCAGCAGTTCGTGGGAGCGTGCAGCCGGATGGAGGTTTGCGATTGTTTTGCGCAGGAGTAACAAAGACACCAAAAGCTCTTACTGTGATATCTTTGCGATGGAGCGCAACAATGGATGTCTTTAATGTGGTAATTGTCTATTGTGTTGCGAAGTTAGAGCGGGACCTGGTGAGGGTAAATGCATGCATCGTATCGTTCTGGCTCACTCATACAGCCATCAGGTTAGGAGAAGAAATGCACCAAGGAATCGTGAACCTCGTTGGAGGAAGAACCACTATCATTACCTCTGTGTAGAGTAAAACCCACTATGCTAGTTACGCCTGGCTCGATAAGTAAATGTAGAGCGATGATGCAAGGAAACGCTAGATGACAACAATAGACAAAGAAACTTGGATTGAGTTTTATGACTTGGGCGGAGGTGTAAAGTTCTTGTAGAAACAGGAACACAACGTGCTCTCACTCTGAGCCTTGAGCTTGACGTCGTCGCCTGACGAACTTGTGCAAGCTGGTACTCCCTGCCCACCTGCTACGCTTTGTTCGATCTTTACGGCTATTTCAAGTTAGTTGTTGTATGTAGGATGAGAGCTGCCAGTCATGCTTACCGTATGGCCACGCCTTGTTAGCGACCTTTCCAACTGCGATTGTGTCGTCTGGGTATGTCTGCTGCATTTTGGTGTATAAGATGCCCTGCATATTGGTCGCACCGTAGTCGCAGTCAAAGTCGCCTTTCTTTCCTCCAAGGCTTCCCGTCATATTAACAGTCTTGGACCGCGAGATCTGGAACCGGTATCGCTCTGTGTCCTTCCCGGAGTCCAACAACTCGAGGTCTTCGTTCTGGAACGTGGTGTCAAATGTGTCGTCCTGTTGACCGGAAGAAATCTTGTAAGACCCTGTGGAACCGCTGATATCCCAGTTCAAAATGGTGAGAGCTTTCTGTTGGTCATCGTAGTAGTTCGTGTTCGGCGGGCATGTCCAAGTGTCTGGGTCTGAGGTGCAGTCTGTTGTGACGGTATCGAGGAAGAGGACTAGGGACCAGCTTCCGACGGGAAAGTTCGAGGGGACAGCGGAGGGTGTGGAGGTGGTGACTGGAGATGGGGGATCGTCGTCGGTCGTTGAAGGAGAGTTGGAGTCGGGGTTGGAGGTGGGCTTGCTTTCGCTGCCTGCCGGTGTCGTTGAGCCGCCTGTGTTCGCTGCCGGTGCGCTGCTACGTGATTGTTAGCCCAGATTTCCTCGATGTTAGCATGACGCTGGCATACCTCTTTGAGTCCTTCTTTAATCCCATAGCGAGTCCAACGCCCAATGCCACGATCAGCGCAATGATCAGGGCGGCGACCACAGCGACCTTCTTCCATCCCCAAGCAGCAATCCCTCTCTGTCTCCGTTGTCGTACGTGTCCAAACTTCTCCTCATCCCGATCACTCCACACACTGACACTGAGGTTGCTCCCATTGTGCATGTCCTCGCTGCTTTCCCTTGGCGTCAATAATCTGCCACCCGTCAAGACTGATTGGATGAAGCCGGGCTTCTTCTCGACCCTGTGGTGTTGTACTGGTCCGACATGCTGATGCGATGGGTCGTTGCAGAACGTGCTTTCGGTAGTGACGCTGATTTCAGCTGTCTTGGACGCAGCCGACTTGCCTCGTTTGGCATCGAGGATTACAGAGAGACGCTGGCCAGCCGGTGTCGAAATGCGCTTTGCCGGCCGGTCGTCATTGATGGGGTAGTGTGCCTTTGCGCGCTTGGAGCGAATGAAGTTCATTGGATCGGAGGCTGGAGGGCTATATTGCTTGTGACTCGCGCTGTACTGCTGTTCTGTGTGTCAAAAGAAACTGTCCAAGTTCTCCTGACTACAGTCGCTATCGCTCGTGCGGGTGGCTTGCCGCTATATCGCGCGCTATAGCCTGGGAGCGTAGGGATGCTGATGACGGAGACGATGGGGGTAGGGAGGTGAGAAGAAGACAACAGGAGCTTCCCTCTCCACGGCTGTCAGGCGCGACGCACCCGCCTGAGCCATGACAGCGAGCGAAAGCTTGTACGGACGGAATCTTGTTGACATGATCCTACTCAGGCCTCGAGCGTATGGGGCCTGCGCTCTATCACGCGCTAGCGCCCGTTATAGTATCGAAGTAAACTGCAACAGGCTAGGGAGTCACCCCATTCTCCTGACCATCACTCATGGAGCTGGTTATCGGTGGAGCCGCACGGTGCTGCGTCGGGAACGGGTGCGCCATGCATGGGCAGATCATGAGAGCTTGACGGGAGCTTTTGTGCAGAGACAGGATGATGGCGTGCTTGACATCTGGGGTTGAGGAGGTATGCCATGGGCATGGGACAGTCCTGAAAGCTCTGCCGTCATTGCAAAGTGATGTCGCACGAGTGAAGTTTGTTGGTAGTCGCGTTGGTAGTCTCGTTTCGCGGGCGGTGTTTGTTTTGCTGAGTGATTAGGGGTCGTGTCGCTAAATTCGGAGCCTGTTCCTGCATTCGGCGCAGGGATCCGGGTCCGAGGGAATTTGCTGCCAAGCTTTGAGCTTCACCTCACTCGACGTTCTTTCACGTGCTTGCGTGCAGACAACGTGGCGAGCCTCACCATCCGGGCACACGTAAGATAGATAGTGTTGCGAGTTCTTGATGTCTGATGAGGACCGACGCTAGTCGTCGAACGCGCTTTCCTCGCGCGCTCTCGCTCTCACCGCGCGCTTCACCGACGCGTCACAATCTGCAAACGCGGCTGCCTCAATCATGCTCTCGCCTACCGTGACGTTTGCACACCTGCACGCACTTCACTCGAAAGACTCTTCACCCTTGAGCTTGCTGCACGTCTATTTTAGCATCAGTGTGCGACAGCTTCTTGATTCTCGAAGCCACTACTTAAGCTGTCCAGCAGTCTCACAAACCTCACTTGCAAGATGTCTCCTCGGGTAACAGTGCAACTCGTCCCAGGATGCTCTGATGGCGACCCATTACACGTCCCTCCACCAGGTATACACACCCAGGTAGACCCGCCTACTCTATACCTAGAGAAGATCGGCCAGGCGTGGATAGAGCATCGAGGCGAGGCCCGACCGGGAGTCACTTACATACTCGAAGCTTTGCCAGCAGGCTATACTATGTGGGAGCGTCCGAGACCATCAAACGCAAAGCATGTCGATAAATATCTATATGGTCATCCCAGAAAGAAGGCTTTCGACTCACCCAACCGCTACTTCCCTCACTTCGAGCATCTAATGAGCAACAATGGCAACAGCATAGGTTGTCCATGTACTCTCTGCAGTGGAAGTGCAGGCGTTCTTCCGAAAACCTCAGCCAACAGCTCTCAAGTGAGAAGTTCAAGCGCGGCGTCTTCGCGAAAGTCAAACTCCTCTGCGTCCGTGCACAGCCGGCCTTCTAGTTCTCATAGCGCCAAACAGCTGCCGGTCGCATCACTGCCTAGTCTGTCATTACAACACAAGGGCCGGCCCAAGAAGATCACTCCAGGTCTAGACACGACCAATGTCGATAGCGAAGGTACACCGGATGTGTACAGGAACCTGATCGACAAGCTTCGTCGACACCGCGACGTAGACGAGCCCATCGCTGAGCCCCTCAGTCCAGACTGGCGAGCGGAACAAGAACAACTTCCAAAGTTTCTCGAAGATGTCAAGGCACAAGACCAGTGGGTTCCCCGAACTGGAGACATTGTCCTGTATATACGCAACATGCCTGATACCGTTGAATTGGTTCGAGACAACACCACTGGCGAGCTTCAGATGTACGATGAGCGGCGCAAGCTGCATCTCGGTACTCCGCAATGGGCGGCAGGCCTGGTTACTGAGCCGGCTACTGGTACCACGGTCGTTGAGCTCGTAGCCTCTACTCAGGAGCGCAATGTTTCTAGCATAGGTGTACGCGTCGAACCGATCCCAAACCCAAACGAGTCGGACAAGTCGCTCTCTAAGAGACACAAGTACGTCTTGTTGCGACAGACAAGCCCGTTTATCATGTGGAGAGACCTCTTACGCCGCATCCCCCAAGAGGAATGGCACCACACTGTCAAGAACGCCCTCGCTCTGATGTCAACGCTCTCGCTCATGGGCAAGTATCGATTCCGAGGATCCTGGCCCAACGCGAGCATATATTGCCATGGTATCTACGTTGGTGCTGAGATGCTCGCAGTCGGTGACACAGTGTGTCTCCTTCCTAATAAGCAGTTTGGCCAGTCTGGCTGTACGGATGTCATGAGCATCAAATCGATTCGATTGAAGTGGACCAATCTGGACAAGGCCTCCGACAATGACTACGACGAGGGACGACCTTACAACTCCGAGATATGGATCTATGGCTCAGCTTATACTAGCGATGGTTCACGGTCGAACAAGCTGTGGGTTACCGAGCAAAACGTTGAGGCCCCGCGAGTTGCAAACGACTACGCAGACTGGTACCCATTGCATCCTGCCGATAAAGAACTGGCAATACCTTACTCACGCGTCCTCGGTCGTCTCCATGAGCGCGATGCCATGGCCTACTTCCTTAAGTCCGATGATGACAACCCTCCAGGACTCGATGTCGGCCGACAAGCTGTGGTGGAGGCGCGCGCCTTTGCACGAAAGCACGATAACCGAATCGCTCAAGGATCCGATGCTACATGGTACTGGGGAGACGATCGTGCTGACGCCTTGAACCTGCGCACCATCAACGGCCTTGATGTGTCCAGATACGACCTCGACCGAGGTGTGAAAGACCTTCGTCGCAAGTATCGGCAACTAGATTGTGTAGCCAGTGGCGACGCGAAGCCTACGGGCCAAGATATACTTGGTAGCAATGGACTCCTCAGTTTCATGGCACCGACTTTGCCACTCCACACGAGCGGCGCGAAGGCACCAAGCGATAATGGAAGCTCATCTATCGCAAGTGCCAGCCAAGCCTTCCGGAAGCGCACTCATATCGTTGATCTGGATGAGGAGGACGATATTGAGGAGGATGACATGGACGAAGAGATCAGAGCGCACACCAAGGTCGTGGCGGAAGACCGCCAATCTCCAAAGAAAAAAAAGGCGAAGGTAATGGTCGTAATCGACTGAGATCCGCAAGCGCATATCAATCCCGCCGGTCATAGTACAGCGGTAGGGCTCATGTAGAATCGATGAGTGGCTGGCTTATGCACGAGAAGAGACATGATGTATGAGCACTATGGCGATGAACGAGATGACAGTCGGGACAATTTCCAAGATGGCTTTGTACGGGAGGTTCGCTGTTGATACTTGATACCCATTTCCTGCGATATCACCGAAACACTGTATGTTTCTTTACTGTACTAGATCTGCACGACATTAGGGCAAATGCCAACACTGGCCTATTAGCGGCCACAATACCAACATACAATATGTATTGTCGCGTTCCTTCTACCTTGATCATGTGCTCACCTAGCGACCCAAAGCGCATACCTGACCCTGTCAACCTTTCTACCCCCTCACTCTCTCCAAGTTTTCAACGTCCGTCTTATCAAGTTCATCAAGCTCAAAATCGCTATTCATCCCCAACTCTCTGCCTTCTTCCGCTCCCAAACACGCCCCTTCAGTATGCTTCTTCGCCCCCATTTTCCCACTGTCCGACGTTACTTGTCACCGAAAGACATCGATTGCGAATACCAGACGTTCAAAACTCCAGAAGCTCTCGCGTATGAGATTGTGAGACACAACGTGGGCTCGAGCATCTAGTGGGACTGCGGTGTAGTAGGCAATATGTAAGGGGTAGTTGTAGGCAATAGTACTTGCTTTACACTACAAGAGAATAGTAAGGGACAGCTCTATATTCCTACGTTGATAAGGGTAGTTGTATGTAGGAGAAAGAGAATAATTCTTGTCCTTTTCTTTGCGGGCGGAGCGCAGGTTAAGAGCAAGTTTCTAGGCTAAGACCTAAGCGAGAGAAGCAAGCATATTATGTGACTGTTCTCTTCACTCCGCCTTCGCCATCTTATGTTACACAATAGGTAGTACAAAAGAGTCATGAATGTGAATCACTACGAAGGTGACTCATCAGAGCTTCAAAAGTCGAATAAAATGCTTTTCAGCAATTCCACTACACAATATGGGCGACAAAATCAAGATATTCGTGCTCGCTAGCGAATACGGTAGGCTCTTTCGAGAGGCCGTCCCGGAGGATAGACTACCTCCGGACATACAGGTGCCACTATCCAGAATGCTCTTATAGTGCTATAATGAATTCGAAATCTGGGCTGGATAGACAAGCGCATTTGAAGATGGGAGGTGGTCTCTAGACCGGGGAGTAGGATCCAATCCGGGCTTACGGAGAGATGTGATCCGATTGCTGGAACTCATCAGGATGCGCTTGAAAAGAGGCAAGGCATTATCTCGCATCGTTCGTGTTTTTCCGACTGACATGTGTAGGCTTTGTCTCCGCTTGCGACACTTACCAAGATAGTACGACCACGCACGACTCGCACCGAGCCAAGAAACATAAAGCGATGCTAGCGCACCTCCCGTGCCTGACACAAACATGCGTGATAGAAATAACTGAGGGCATCGAAAGACTGGATGGATCAATGGGATCTGTATACTTGAGAGATTCTTCCCTTTCGTCCTTCCCTTTGATGGCTTCCATGGGCGTCGTGTCTTGGCTGGACGCCCTTGTCACGTGACCGTGTCGTACAGCTCCGCAGCTCGTGCGATCCGTTAGCTGTCCTAGCCTTCTTTCGCCAACGAAGCCTCTGATCGTAAAATTTACCGTACAGTGACTGTACAGGTACTCCAGCGCGTCGGTCGCGTAGCATCGAACGAGGGACATTAAAAGTCCGACCAACTACTCTTACAGCCTTGATCTGGTTTCTATCAAGAGAGGAGATAGTAAGCAGCATATCGGCTTTAGAGGAGTATAAAAGAGGTTGTTAGGGTTGAGGCATGATTACTTTGAGCTTGAAAGGTGCGCAAAGTTGGTGGGATAGGCGGCTCGCTTGTAAAACACGTTAGTTTCTTAAGACGTTCCGTTTGGCTGTTTCTATCAGATCCTGACACCTTAACGCCACCTACAGGAAGTGTCGTTTGCATTTGACATCAAGTGCTGGAACACCGCGTCCTGTGTTGGCTTGTCGTACTTCCTCCGCTGGACCAATTGGGAGACATTTGACCCATAATTTCTAATTAGGAAGCGATGCGCATCCTGCAGCCCAGTCGCTTCCATTAGGCAGCCATTTGATCAAGAGCTGACTGAGCTGACGCAAATTGCAGTACCCAACATTTCAGGTTCATCCACGATCCGCACTACAAAGCCATGGTTTTCAACTATCTACCTATAGGCAATAGCGACCTCCGACTTCTGACTCCTGTCTCTATCCAATCAAACCGTCTTTCCTTCAGCATGACCCGCTTTGATCAAAAGTCAACACCTCGCTACACTGCGGTCTCATACACTTGGGGCAATGAAACTCCATCGGAGCACATATTTATTAATGACCAACCTTTCCCCGTCCGACTCAATCTCTGGTCATGTCTGCACTATCTAGCCCAAGACAAAATGGCAGGTTGGACACATCTCTGGGTGGACGCAATTTGTATCGACCAAAAGAACAACGCAGAACGTACCGCGCAAGTTCGGCGCATGGATACAATATATCGCAACGCGAGTGCCGTGTCTGTTTGGCTTGGTCTCCCACCATCTGTGGAGCAATATCAATCTCAGCACGAACCAATACGAACTTTTGAGGACTCGGGCTTCGAATTCTACGATCAGATGTCCCATCTAGCAAACCATTCGTATTGGACTCGCTTCTGGGTCATCCAGGAGTTTCTCCTCGGCCAGGATGTGAACGTGTACTGCGGAAACACGCGCATGAATTGGCTTGATTTCAAAGAAGCACTTGGATCACGTGCAGGTGTACTTGAGCACATCCACCAAGCGTCTATGCCGAAAGACTTTGACAGCAGGCTTTGGAAAGCTTTCCCTCTGATCACCGGACGCCACCCAGATCGCCATCCGACAATGCATCTCCCGCTCTCCCAGTTGCTCATCAATCACAGCACTTCGGAATGCAAAGACCCGCGAGATCGAGTGTTTGCTTTGTTAGGACTAGTGATGCCAAACGAACGGGTGCTTCTGGAGCGGTTTTTCCCAGATTATGATATGAGTGAAGACGATGTTGTACTAATTGCGCTTGCGCATGTGAGGCAGTGCAACTTCGAATATGATGGGGTTGATGATGATGCATTGTTTCAGGGGTTGGGAATCACAAATGCGAAGAAGAGAAAGATGCTTGAAAGACGCGTTGCGAACTATGACTATCTGGGAGATGGAGTACCTCGTCATTACCGGTTTTCCGATGACGATGATGCTGCAGAAAGGGAGGCGAGCTTTATTGAGGGTGATAATGGTCCAAATCACAGATGTATGAAGACTGCATATGCAGTCACTCTTTTCGTGTTCGCTCTGCTGTTTGTGGGTGGTTGGAAGCGGTATCGCTAGTTAATCTGATGAAGGAATGCAGAAAATTGTTATCGTCATTCTCTCCGATTGCACGTACTACAGCTCGTCTTGAATCCTAATCTAATGTCGTTGTTTATCCATCCGGAGGTTGAGTTTGCGACAAAAACCTCCTAGTTAGCTTTTTCCTCATAGATAAGCGCAGGCGGCAGCGAGCTTCCATCGCTGCAAACGCAAGTGATAAGATCAATTTCGTGGCGATGTGAAAAGCGTATAACCCACCACTCTGATGCCTCTTATTTTGCGACTGTGCTAGCGAAATCGGTTACGATGTGCTCGAAAAGTACGAGGACGTGGTGGGTCGGACGCGGGATCAACGGCGGGTCTATGGAGCTGTAGGGAGGCGCGATAGTGTATCTCTATAGCACGTAAGCTTTCGAGTTAGCTATAGTCGCCTATTGCACTGCATCTTGAAGTTGCACGATGGCTGTGTTAGAAGGGTTTGATGCTGGGTTTGTTTATTGACATGAGCTAAACCCTCGGTAGCCGAGTCATACCCTTACCCAAAACCACCCAGGTCGGTAGGAGGCGCCGCTCATTGCCGATGCAGTTGATGTTTTGATATTTTCGGAATTGAGAAGCTCTAGAATAAAGGCTGGTGGCCGTACGTTTGACCATGAAGCTATCGCGCGTCGTTGACATGTAAGCTTACAACATGCAAATCGCACTTCAACAACGATCTACAGCCTTACACATGCATCTCTGAAAAGTGTCAAAAGCCACCATTGTACTTTGCAAGCATGGACCAATGACAGAAACATATGATGAAGATACACAGTGTCGATTGGGCTGGACAGATGCACAGACGTCAAATTTGGTTCTGTGACCGGCATGGAAAGTTTGAGGAACTTCCAAGCGACGAAACACTGCGTAAGCATCTGGTTGCACACCAAAAATTCTGTCCTTACCCGACGACAATAGACGTCGAGTGCAGAAGACACTTCTATCATGAGTCTCGCGAGTCAGGGATCTGCTTATTCTGCGACTTCGACGCCGCCGCCAAAACAGGTCCAGAAGATGAACGTGAAGCAAGCAAGAATTCGAACTTCGGTGACGCTGGTGTTGAAGCGCGTGAGTCTGGAGAGCTTGTTCGAGTAAAGCTCTGGATGCACATCGGCCAGCATCTCAAGAGCCTAGTTTTCCTATCGCTAAGATGGCTCGAACATGACGAGGGAATTGCTGAAGAGGGTGGTGGAAAGGAGAATGCCGCGCAGAGGGAAGGATCTAGTGATGATGATGACGATCATGAAGCGGCATCAGTGGCGGGGTAGTCAGCTGTACTATCAATGCTATACCTTTTGAACAGCCTTCAATCTACTATACCTGAGAATGGAGCGAGAATGAGCCGCTTTGATGCCGACTGCGAGTGACAAGGTAAAGGAAGGTTGCGACAGACAGACAATTAGGCCGATACGTACGGTAGCGCGATTACTCAACTGTTCCGAGGTTCCGAGGGACGCGTCTTCCCCGCATCGAAGCGAATCATGCAACCAGCACCAGCCCTACAAGCTATGCACGACAAGCTTCCGGTAGTAGATAACCTACTACCTATTTCCACGACAAGATGTGAGGATAAGTGACGCGACATCGCACCCAATAGGCCGTCTCCTGACCCAACATCACCATCATGTCTAAGAACACCGCCAACAAACCTGTCATCGCCGTCGTAGGCGCAGGACCAGGCATCGGCGAAGCAGTAGCCCACCGCTTCGCATCCGAAGGTTTCGTCGTCGCATTGCTTGCGCGTACAGAAGAAGCTTTACAAACCATGGCCAAGAACATCAACAGCGACGTCGGCACGGGCACAGCGCACTACTACATCACGGATCTGCGCGTCGAAGATACAGTGATATCGTCCTTCAAACGCATTCGCGAAGAGCTCGGTCCTGTCAATGTACTTGTTTACAACGCCGGCGCGCGTCGCGTGAACGGACGTTCGCTCATCGACACGACGTCAGAGGAATTCGAAAACTTCACCAAGATCAACCTGTTCGGCGCATTCTGGGCGAGCAAGCTCGTCATTCCGGATATGCTCGCCGCGGGCAAAGGTACCATTCTCTTTACCAGTGCGACGGGCGCGTTGCGAGGCATGCCAGGCCTGGCGTCATTTTCACCCGGGAAGTTTGGGCTGCGCTCCTTGTGCCAGATCATTACGCGCGAGTATCAGGCGAAGGGTATTCATGCTGCGAACGTCATTATCGATGGGCCAGTGGAAGGGAAGCTGATCGGTGGTGTGATGAAGAGGCAATGGGAGCGGACCGGGCAGACGGACAAAGCGGCAGATGTAGAAAGTCATCTTGTTCAGCCGAGGGACTTGGCGCATACGTACTGGTTCTTGCATACGCAGCCGAGGAGTACGTGGACGCAGGAGTTGGATGTCAGGGCTATGAAGGAGACGTTGTTTACGAAGCTGTAGATGGATAGCAGATAGTATTAGTATCTATTAATGTACTTTGTCACAAACATATGGTGGTGTGTAAGATTGCGTCGCGATCTGATATTTTCATGGCCTACAAGCGAGCCTTCACCGTCCTCTCCCCTTCTTCCGACTTCGCTTGCTCAACAAGTACCCTCCGTAGTATCTTTCCCGCATTGCTCTTTGGTACCGCTTCCACAAAGCGGATACCGCCCCTCAACTTCTTGTGCGGCGACACTCGCTCATTGAACCAGTGATGTAGCTCTTCCTCCAGCTTCCCGTCGCCCTTGTACCCTGCCGCCACAACAATATACGCTCTTGGTAACTCTGTCACCCTCGACTCACTGTACACGCCAATAACGGCGACATCAGCGACCGCCGGGTGGCCAATAAAGAGAGCCTCGAGTTGCGCAGGCGCAACCTGGAAGCCATTGTACTTGATGAGTTCCTTGACGCGGTCGGTGATGTATAGATTCCCAAGCTCATCGAACTTTCCAACATCGCCGGTGTGATACCATCCTTCCGCGTCGAAAGCCGCAGCCGTGGCTTGGTGATTGTTGTAGTACCCTTTAAAGATGTTTGGTCCTTTCAGACACAGCTCACCTTCTTCACCTATCGCCATTTCATTCCCGTCGCTCACGACCTTGGCTGACATGTTGGGCAACAAGCGTCCAGAGGTGCCCAACGCCGTGCTCCAGCTTTCGATACGTTGCGAGCTCACGGCGGGTGCGGCTTCAGATAGACCGTAGACCTGAAGTATCTGAGCGCCGAGGCGCTTGTGTATCGCGGTGATGATCTCGACGGGTATTGGAGCAGCAGAGGAATGCAGGTCGCGCAGGGACTTGAGGTTATACTGGTCGACGATGGGGGCCTTAGCTAATGCGAGCGCGACAGGCGGAACAATGTAAGCGATGGTGACTTTCTCTTTGTCCACCGTCTCGCAGAACTTCTTGAGGTCAAATGTTTGCATTATGTGGGTGGTCACGCCGTAGAAGATGGGTGTTAGCAATAGTACAGCAATTCCTGCATCTATCAGCGCATGTTCGACCGTGAACTCTTTGAGCTTACCGTAGATGTGATACATGGGTAGGAAGCCAATACCGGTGTCTGTTTTCCAATTGGTCTTGTAGCCATTCGCTGTTGTAGCCTGAATACTGTTTGCCACAATGTTTTCGTGGGTCAGCATGACACCCTTTGGCTCCCCAGTGGTTCCAGAAGAGTACACCAGGTACGCCAGATCTTCTTTGGGATCAATTTCAACTCGCTTTATGCTGTCTGACGCGCTCTTCAGAGAAGAGAAGTGTTGAACGGGATTCGTAGGCATATTATTTCCAACTAGAAGTATCCGATCCAGGGGAAGGCCGAATTTCGATGCTGCCTTGCAAGCGACCTCGAGACATGCCACATTCGTCAGGAGTCCCTTGGCTTTCGAAGACGTCAACTGAGACACTAGTTCATCGACCGTGTACATGAAGTTCAGAGGACACACGACACCTCCTACAAGTAGCGCTCCAAAGGTAGCCGGCGCGACGTCAATATCATTTGGCGTCATGATAGCCAACACATCGCCTTTGCGCCATTGCCATCGCTCCTGAAGGGCGCTTCCAAATTGCTTCGCGCAGGACCGAAGCAGAGCATATGTGAGCTTTCTCCCGGTGGCAACGTCTACAAAGAGCACTGCGCCTATTAGCTGTCGCTCAATAGACGAGTTCGGATACATACCATGGTCCTCTGGGTACTCTCGATCCGGTCGCTCGAGGAAATACGTCCATACATCGACGGCAGGTATAGCAATGGGCGGGTATGACGACTCAATCGGCATCTTGAGCAGCGTAGTAGAAATGAACGGTTATGCTGCAGCATTCGGCTTGAGACGAATGTAATATCCCTCATCGATATGATCGTCATTGAAGTAGCGTGTCCGAACATTAGGGTTTGGTACTTTTATCGCTACGCGCGTAACACGGACGCGACAGCGCCGATCAATTGTGATTAGTCGTGGGTACCCAAGCAGACATCTCAGACCTCGGGACACACTACTGACATGGCTCCGCTGCTCAAGGGACGGGCAGAAATCTATCCGCTCATGTCCAGGCACCTAAAGACGGCGAGAGCATGATATGACGCGATAGCTGTAATCCTGAGCCCATAAGTTTATGTGCCGGCTCGGTTGAGCTCACACAAGCGCAATCGCGAGATTGGGCGTGAGGCAATCGACAACTTTTTGCGGGGGAGAGCCCATGTTGTACTTTGAGTTGAGAACGCTTATATCGGTGTGCTATGGTGATGATGAAGGCAATATTGCTCGGATTGGACCTCGCGAAGTTGGGAAAGCGCACCATCCGAAAACAGACTAGATCAACATCACGTGGCTACGACAAAATCCAGCGAACTCTAGATCGCACAAGCAACGCGGACAGACAGTTCGCTATGCTCATGCGTCAAACTCATCACATACGGCAACGGCAGGTCGTGAACGACTCTTCTTAGGTTTTCCTTACACATAGATTGTCTTTGCGACGTCCAGTAGGCGCAGACATCTTTGATGTTCTGTGACGCGTCGAGCTCCGCAATGGCTCAGCAGCCAGAACCCCAATCGCCAGACGATCGCAGAAAGCTATTATTCTTCCTGAACCCACCTCGTTTCCACCTCGCCTCGGGGATGCTGTCTTCAAGCCTTGCACCCATGTCTCTCATATCTGTCTGGCTCTCACCAATGACCCGTGTGCCATCGTCATCAGCCGCACACTCCAGCCTGCGCGAATCTTCTTTGCTGAGGCACCCTTATCGAGTTCCGTCTGTATGGCCTCCTTCCTCTTGTTTTCCTTGCGCTCGAGCGACGGTCCGCAGCCTTCTTCCGCCATGATGAGATCGCCGTCTTCTCCAATACCAACAGATGTTTCCTCGCTGTCGTCAACCGCGTTTTCCTCTCCTATGGCAGTACCAAGCTTAGCAATCGCCCCTAGCGCGATAGTAAGGTGGCCTAGAGTCATGTTATCGCATCCGACCGTGCTGTACACTGATCTATGGCCGGTATAGAGCATAATGAGCTGAAAGAACGCCTTCGTGATGAAGGCGAAGCCACTCACGCGTCCACTCTTCGCGAGGTTGCTGAAGACGCCCGTGCCCTTGAATACTTGTGCACCGTCCACGTACTTGTCCGAATCGCCGTTCTCGAGGGTGTAGTAGTGCAGGCCTTTGAACTTTCCTGTCGTCTTCGCGTTGATTTTGGTCAGCCACAGCTCGTTTTCTATCTCCCCAGTCGTTCTAGTGGTGGTGTAGCCGACCCTCAGAGCGAAGCGGCCGGGCGTGTGTTCTTTGATCTCGAAATCATCGTGAGCACGCCAGCGCGCTGTACAGATATGTGGAAAGAGGGGGAATTCGGTCCGTAGAGAGGACGCCGGCGATATGAAAGCGACAATGGGTGGCGAGCGGCATCGCTCCAAAGCACGCTAAGGAATAAAAGCGGGGGCGAAGTATCCATCTCGCTCCACGTTCCCACCGCGTCTTCACGTGCTGTCAGCTCCACGTGCCACAGCTCCTTGATCTATTGCGTGTCAATTGTGTATCATTTTTGAGAAGGAGTAATTAGCGATTGATAGACGCTGTGACACTCCACGAAAAGGCAACTGCAAGATTCGAGGTGTGGTCTATGTGCGATGAGCAGCTCCGAAACCCGCATCGTCGGCGCCCGCGTGAACACATGCGCCTTCTCATCATCTGTCCAGGCACTCTTCGCCCATGACGCTGACTCTTCGCCTGTTACGATCACCACCTCGCTGCATCGCGGTTGCCGTATGCCTTCCCTGCGTATCGAAGGATGTGCGGGGATAGACGATGGGAGGCCGGATGCGGGGAAGCTACACGCGTCTACCTCCCCACTTACGACGTAGCTCACAGTCGATAGCGATTACAAAAACGCGACTGCCGGATATGTATACTTGTAAGAGACGCCTGATTTTCGTTGATCCCATATAAATGGACGTTCTTTTCTGCACATATCTGGCGAGATAGCATAGTTCCATACTACATTTCAAGCATACACGCCGCCTTCAGCAATCACATCATGCAGAACCCATCTGTAGTCCTGTATGGGCCGAAGAACGCGAAGATCGAACATATCGCAGTGCCAGAAGTGATTGAACCTCACGACGTGATCGTTCGCATCAATTATGTGGGAGTTTGCGGAAGCGACGTAAGACTATCAGTTGTCATACAACCCCAACAAACGACTAATCGAACATCCAGGTCCATTTCTGGCACCACGGCGGCATTGGCAAGATGATCAATCCTTCCACCGGCATCGTGATGGGCCACGAAGCCTCAGGCACCATCCACTCCGTCGGCCCATCTGTCAAAAGCGTCAAACCGGGGGATCGCGTAGCTATAGAGCCAGGCGTACCATGTCGTATATGTAAAGTGTGTAAATCTGGGGTTTACAACATGTGTCGCGACATGCGTTTTGCCGCAGCACCCGGGCCGCCTGATACGCAAGGCACGCTATCGAAGTACTTTCGCAGCGCAGAAGATTTTGTCTACAAAATCCCCGATAAAATGGGCTTGGACGAAGCGGTGCTTGTTGAGCCCCTTGCGGTCGCCGTACATGCAGTCAAGCTGGCAGATGTGAAACCTGGCGAAACGGTCGTGGTGATGGGGAGCGGGACGATCGGGCTATTCTGCGCGGCCGTTGCACGTCAATTCGGTGCGCATCGCATCATCATCGTCGATATTCTGGAGAAGAAACTCGAATTCGCAGCAAGCTACTTGAAGTGTGAGACCTTCCGCTCGTCGACCGACGCCAGTCCAGAAGACGACGCCGAAGCACTACTCAAGAAGTTTGATCTCGTGGAGCACGGCATCGATACGACTGGCGGTCTTGTCGATACCGTCATCGAAGCTTCCGGTGCGACAACGAGTATCGATATGGGCATCAACCTTGTGCGCCCAGGCGGGAAGTATGTTCAGACCGGGCTTGGGAAGCCGAAGATCGAATTTCCGATCGTGGCTATGGGCCAGAAAGAGCTCATGGTGAGGGGATGCTTCCGATATGGTGCAGGTGATTACGAGCTTGCGGTAGGGTTCTTGGAGAAGGGATTGATCGATGTGAAGCCTTTAATCAGTTCAATAACGCCGTTTGAGAAGGCGACCGACGCGTGGGAAAAGACGTCGAGAGGAGAGGGTATCAAGAATTTGATTCAAGGGGTGCAGGATTGATTGCTGATACGGCTCAAAAGAATTGAACCCCCTTTTACTTCATCTCCAATAACATGATCTCAAGCAGAAACCTCTCCATCTCCCGCGCATTGTAGAGCCTGCTTCCTCCAGACAGGCTTTGCCCATTTCCGTAGGGTTCCCCATGTGTGGTACATGCATTGATTGTAACCTCTTATACAGCAAAAGGACTCTTTCGCTTTGACGCGGTGACGACGCACGATATCGTTGAAGAGGCTAGTCATGGTCCTTCCATCACGCTTGAAGTTCATTGAATCTGCATTGTTCCACCGAAATCCCTTCGGCGGTGCAACCAAATCGATAAGATTTGCATGTCCATCGATTCACAACTCCGGGCGTGCTGGTCCGTGAGTTCCATTACGTGGAAGTTGGTCGAGAACGTCCGTGAAGTACAAGAACATTTTCATCTTAAGCTCCGCAATTGTAGTGTAACTGGTTTCGCAACGTGAATTATCGTTCCCAGTCTGCTGAACTTCGACCCCAACACGAATATCGTCTTTCAATATCTTGTCGTAGGGGGTTTGAATGAAATTGACCAATTGATTGATGTTGATGTGAATGTGAGTGGGGTTGGTGGGGCGGGTAAGTACGACTTGGATCAAGATTGTCGGTCTCGCAGGTCCTGAGTGCACCCCGAGGCTCGCATTGGCGATTTTGCTCGCCAGGCTATCATCGTCCCCGAGATCGATCCTGGGGTCAAATCTTCGCAATGGATGCGCATCGCAGTCATCGTCAACTCTCTCCTTTGTCGCAAGCTCAATGACTACCGGCATATATTCGCCTACTGCTTTGACCAAAGACGGCCGTAGTCTCATAGAAACATCGAAAATGCTCCGGTCAAAATTGGGTATCCTGGCGTAGTCCCTGAAAAGTCGAAGGCTTTCTTCCTCGGTGATCACGTAAGCACAGACCATACCTTGCGCTTTGCGAGGAAGTTCAAGTAGACCGACCGGCCCCGCGGTGGCCCATCTAACCTCGCCGGACGCTTGATCGACTGTGAAGGAGCGGCAAACGCTTCGCGGTCCTGAGTAGTACTGCACCTGCCCAGTTTCTCCGTAATTGTAAATGCTGACGGACGAGAGAAGCAATTCTGAGTTGGAAAGGCGGCGAAGATCCAACGTTTCATCTCTTTCGAGAGCGACGAACGCCTTGTTCAATCGGGCAGCATTTTCGTCGATATCCTCCTCCTCATTGCTGGGATGGGAGCTTCCGGAACATTTGTTTGTGAGTCTAGAGTAGCGGGCGAAGGTAATGCTACAGCGTACCAGGTCTCCATTCCAAACTTTCCTTAGTAGCGGCAGTAGGTTTTGGTGCATCTCGGCGCTCCCACAATTCCAATCACAGACAGTCGAGATGTCGATGATTACCTTTCTCATCAACTTCATCTGAGCCAAGCGAGGCGAGCCACATTGGAGCATACTTGATTTGGTAGTAGTCGTTCCGATCGGTGACTCGACACCGCTTAATCTCTTCGCGGTCACACCTTGAGCCGACGCTGGAAACAATGAAGGTATTATCGGAGTACAAGAAGTTGACCGTTTCGTGATAAATTTGGCGACATGATTTTAGCAGCCCAAGCCCAAGTGCTGCCTTATTCCTGAAAATCCGCGCTTCTCTCTCAAGATAGTAATGCCTCTCCTCCCACTCTTCCATGCTGTTAGCAAAGTGCCTGGTCCGAGGACCCCAATCCATGTCTCTGTCATCCTCTGAGCTGTCATCGGGGAAGATTTTGTAAGGCTCATAAGACTTTCGGTCGTAGTAGAAGTCGGTATTATGGATGTGTATTGGTTCTGGCAGCACGAACACGTATTCACTGATGCTGTTTCGTACCTCCGCTGGCAACGTCAAGAAGGATGGCGCTAACGGGTCTGAAGGGGCCGAGCGGATTTTCGGAATCTCCATAGCAGTCTATAAAGAGAAGTGTGTGAAACGGTGTTGATAAGGACAATTGGAGTTGCGGGATGGAGCCGATAGCTGCCTAGGAATGGATGGGGCGGCATAGGTATCAAGCTAGGCTGTCATAGGTTAACGACGTCCGGGAACAACGGCATCGCGAAAATCACAAGTTCAACCCTGAATGGATGGCATGGCACACAAAGTTACTAGCATCGTTGATACTTTTCCTTGGCCATTGATCTCATGTCCAACCTACCTGTCTATTACTGCGTTCTCCGTTAGTTCATGCGTTCTTCCCCAGATTGATCTCACACCGAGAACATCGTGCTTCTCCGATGGCGCGCGCAGAGCTCCTAATGTCACCCTGCAGGTGAGGCGGAGCGACTTCAGGTCATCGTTATTGTAGTATACGGAGCCATCTACATCGTGCTTCAGGCCTAGGTATCGCAAAGTCTTGCTGATGATCTCCGTGGGTAGGGATAGCAGAGACATTCCGAGTCTATCGAGCTGGGGGAGTGCGGCTCAAGCCTACGGTGGTCCGAAATAGCGCAAAGATCGGGTTTGTGACTGATGTAGACTCCTGGTTGTGCAGACGAAAGCTTCGTTCAATCGGTCGAAAGGAATCGCGGGGTGATGACTGAGGCCCATGGTGGAGTAAAACGGCGAGAAGTTCGGGTTGTGTCGCTGACACAGACAGCTGACTGCGTGGGCAAGAGAAAAGACTGGTTGATTGAGAGATGTGGCGAGGTGAGAGAGTAGCGCAATTTGTAGTGGAAGGCGCGAGGGTCGACACCGCTAGTACACTTACAGTATTGCGCATAGGGAGTGGACGCAACACAGACCCATGGATTGCACGCGCATTTATTGATCATCATTCGTTAAACCAGTGTAACTCTTGACAGGGTCTTGCAGTAATCGCAAACTACTCTTCCGGCGGGTACACAACAATGCGGTCGATATCCGCACCCTTCACATCCTGTCCGTTATTCAGACCGCCAATAGTAATAGTGTTGTGGCTACCCTCCTCCAGGTTCAGCATAAGCGGTGTGCTCAAGACGATACCCTTGTGCGTATCCCTCTGGTACAGCGACTCCACCTGTTCCGTCTTGTTGTTGACGATCACGCTCGAGATACGGCGAAGCTGCCATGTACCATTGATACGATCGGGTGAACCTCCAGGCTGGTCGCCAAAGCCCATGTCGTCGGTATTTTGGTAGTAGAATGAGACCCACTGGGGCTTGCCAGTACCTTCGATGTTGGAGAAGGTGACTTTGCTGTCGTTGCCGTAGATTCCGGTGACGATGACGCCGTCGCTGCCGAATGTGGCTTCTTGGTGGTAGGCATCGCCAGTGGTGGTCGCATCTTTGCCGTAGTAGGTAGTGCCATTAATAGCTGTGACTTCTCCCGTTTTCACATCAAGGTCGTAGACGTCGTACCATTTGAGCTCGACTGACTTCTTTTCCTCATCGATCTCAAGCGGTAGCCAGATGTATCTGCTTTCCCAGAGACTGATGGAGTCCCATTGGTCACCCATGTACAGGTAAGTCGTCTTCTTGGTGCCATTGATCCGAAGGTTTAATCCAGATTGCGAGTTGAACGTACGGGTGTTGAGCGGTGCGATGATGAAAGGTTGGGACCAGGGGCCAGCAAGGGAGTCCGCGCGGAAAGCAACCACGTCTGGAAGCGGTCAGCATGTGATATAGATATACGTCTAGGGGAAAAACATACTGTTTGGGCGGTAGCCCGTCTTGTGCGACATGAGTGCAAAGTAGCTCTTATCGGTTTGCACGATCGTTGGTGCTTCGAGGTCGTACTTGTCGAAACGATGGACGACTTCATCAAGAGCAGTGATGTTCTCGTTGAAAGATGTCAAATATACGTCGCGTCCCTCCCTGCGGTCGCCATTGGAGTATAGCGAGTATGCACGACCGTCTTTCTGGTCTACGAACAGACCGAAATCTTGCGACCAGTTTCCAAGGGGTGCTGTAGCATCGACGAAGCTGTATGGCCCAGTGATGTTGTCCGAGACAGCAAGACCTTGAAGGAGCTCTCCATAGGTAGAGTTGTCGGCGTGCCACCACATCTATCAACCTTTAGCAAAGCTACAGTCATTGCTCAATACGGGTGCTTACATGGTATTGACCAGTACCTTGGCTGTATACAACCTTCGGCCGTTGAATGATGTCCTCAGGGGAGATGTAGGGATGACCCTCGATGGGCTCCAGGGCAAAACCGTGGGGCTCCCATGTCGCGAGATCATCGGAGCTGTACACACTAACACCACCACCCTCTTCCTGTCCCTCGATCTTGTACTCGCCGAACCAGAAGTACTTGCCCGTCTCTTGATCCACAGTGATACCACCCGCGTGCGCATTCACAAGCGTCTCATCGGTAGCTCTCCAACGCGCTCCTGGAACGATCCATTTGGCGGAGGCAGTCGCTGCAGCTAGCAAAAGCTGGCAAGAAAGCGTATTGAAACCCATCATGATGTGATGGGATGGCGGACTGGGGTGACAAACATTCTTGAGTACATGGCTACAGACTTCATATAGCCGGCTGCAGAAGCATGGGTGTTTACCAGCCAAGCGGCTCCGGATGCTTTTCACCCGAGCATTCAGGAACCTAAGCCCTGGATATCATCTTGCGGGGCTCCGCAGCTAATTGCGGAAGCGATCGTCGTATTTCTCCAGGTTTGGGGAGAGTCCGCTACCGCGATCTGGTTTGGTCATTTCGGATGTCGGAAAAACCAAGACTTCGCGCTGGGTGCCAACGATGAGGGGAGGCCGGCGCGTGCATTCATTACGGTAACGCTACTCCATTGAGAGTTCAGTCCGCATGTACATAGGTTGTCAGGCTTTCGGAGACATGGACCAAGAGCTGATGTCGAGGTATTTCGAGATGAGGAGAGCAGCTTCGGTGTAGCTGGAGATGGAGCTCGCTTGGGAAACTTGCTGACGTCACCATGCCCAAAGCTCACCTACCGTGCCGCCCGCAGCGAATCTGCTCCCATGTTACGCCTATGGTTGTGCCGATACTAAAGTTAAATCACGACTTTTTTTCAATTGTATCGTATATGATGACCGCAATGCAGGTGTATCCTCCAAACACCTCGAGCACTACTTAGGTCTCTACGTCGGCGCCAACTACCGCCCACTCGGTATTGCAAAGCATGTCAGTACCAGTAAATTTCTAGAACGAAATTTTCACGCGCTCACATGTACCCCAGCTGCTCTTGTACAACATCCTACTTATGGCAAATCGAATAGATCCACCATGTAATACTGCGGCAAAAGCCGCCGATGCCTACGCTCTTGAACACGACCAGGATCTTGTTGTACATATTCAGACGTCGAGAAGTACTTGATGAAAGCCTTCAGATATCGCTGAACATGCGCATGAGTCTTGAAAGACACGGTAATCGCTAACCCCCTTGTACGCTCTAGGTCGTCGGCGTGTGGTAGGAATTGCATTCGTTTTCTGACGAAGACGACCTCTGAGGAACAGCTGTTCAAGACTGGAGACCTTCTTGAGAACTCGCGCAACATTCTTCTAGGAACCGTCGGTCAAAGCTGTACTATCGATGTGAATGTTTTCGAGCGTATGAGTTTGCTGCTTGATGAAACGCTAGAGACGGCCACCGCTGATGTACATGCAGCGGATGTTGAGCATGGTGAGATGAGTAAACAGGGACCTTGGCGATGCTATAGGCAAAGAAGTCGTTGTAGGCGTTGCAAAAGCGTAGTCGGGGAAAGTCGTCACATCCGTTGAGCCACAAGCGCGGAACGCTTCTTAATCCGTGGAAAAAGCTTGCAATCTGTGGTTGGTTGAGTCGGTAGTCCTTGACATGGTAGCTTTGTTCGAGTGCTTTTCTGTTCTCGTTTGCTTTCCTGACCCTGCGTTCTTGTTCAGTCTCTTTTGTATCTTCGCTTTCGTCTGATTGTGTGTCTCTATCTGATTCTTCATCCTCATCTGTTTGTCAGCCTCGTCTTCACTATCTTCTTCCAGTCGATCGACCACAGCATCCCGGTGAGTTGGACCTCGATGGCACGAAATTGACGGAGTACCTTCTTCAAGGGAAGTCCACCTCAAATAGCGCGCAAATGAAGAAGATGACCGCCCAAACTCTCCATAGTCATGTTTCAGTAGCCGTTCTGGCTCGATCAAGACCTCAACATGGGGATTTGGAAACTGCACTAGGTCCAGTGCCGCCAGCAAGAGATGGTGGCAACTGAAAGAGTGGAGTTGTAGCAAGCTGAGATTTGGTGCGACAGCCAGATATCGCAAGCATTTTGCTAGAAGCTCGACGGCTTCACTTGAGTCAATGTACGCGTCTCGCTCTTCTTCTTCACGAATTACTCTCCGCGTTCTAGGTCGGGGTGGGAACTGGCCAGGTGTATAGAAGATTATACACCATACCATTTGCCGGAATGCTGGGTTCTTGACAAGGTGGAGAAGGAAACAGAGGGATTGGTGGTTGCACCAGATTTCAATTTCATGGAGCTTGTCTGCGTAGCGAATGACTGCGTCAACATTGGTCAGTTGGTAAATGCGTCGGCAGGTCAGGCGCAGGGACTGGGAGTCCTCATTGTCGAGGAGAGCACAAGATTCATCTAGCATTGCACTAAGTATGTTGTTAGGGTAAGCCAGAAGGGCCATGATCGTCGACGAAAGCTGTTGAAGTGTGTCCACTGTGGAGAGACGATTGCGAACTTGAACGTGAGCTGGCAATGTTTGTGTTGTGAGGCACGAGATCGCAACTGCTACGACAAGCAGCACATGCGCGATATCTACAAACCCATGTCCTCACCGTCTCAAAGCTTCGCGCAATACGTCTGCACTGGCACAATACCCCCACTCCTATCCGGCGGATCCCTCATCGCAACCTCTCTCGTCCTCGCCAAACTCTCCAACTCATCCAACCGGTTCAGCGTCGCTTTCAAATGCTCTTCAAAGCCCGGTTGCTGGACGACCTCCCGAAACGCATTCTGCATGGGCACAGAATCCGCTCGCACCATACCATGAGCATCGATATGAATCACGTTGATGTGATCGAACGGGTGGACGAAGTCGGCGCGCGTGATGATCTGACGGGCTTCGTGTAGCGGGATCTGAGGCAGAAAGAATTGCTCTGGATGAGATGTTTCTTGCTCGCGCAGGACGAGCGCGCGTGCTAGGACGATGGCGGCGGCGCAGTATTTTTGCTGTTCTTCTACGTCGTCGTCCATGGAGTCGCCCAGGATCCAGCAGTTGTTGAGAAACCACATTTTCTCTCTTCGGTTGATCTGCTTGCAGGTTTCTAGCATGTCTTTAGATTTGGCGACTTGGTTCAGAAAGATAAGTCGGCCACCGACTTTGGCGAAGACCTCGTCCAGGATGCTTTGGGGTACGTCTTCATTATGATAACGCGATCGGTACTGTTTGAGTGCAGTAGTCACTACATTCTTCCGTACGTCTCTGACGCTGATGACGTGCATATTGGTTGCGTGCGGCGTCAGGCGCTCCAGAGACCAGAATTCATCGGAGGTAAAGACAGTTGTGACCAGCTCGTTGCCGGCCCAAATTTCGGCGCGCTGCTGCAAGATCTCTAGTAAATGCTTTCCTGCTTCGTCGTCTTTGAACAGATGAATGTTGTTGATGATCATGAGGAGAGGCTTGCCGCGACGCTTTCGCAGCGACAGAGCTACCTTCTCCATCTGGTTGAGCGCTCTCTCGATGTCTAGCAGCGGCGAGCTGTCCCTAGGGCCACGAATGCTGAACAGCCCTCCGATGTAGTCTTCGTGGAATTCGTAGTCGATGGCCTTGCCGAGTCGCGTTCGAAATACTTCCAGATCGTTATGCGCTTCCAGCATAGCAATGCCATCGCCGTTGACCTTCCGCATAGCCTCTAGAAGTAGTGCTCGCTTGCCGGTACCTCGCTCGCCAATAACCAAGTAGTATCTTCCCCTAGCCTTCCCGCTGACGACGTTGTCAATGTCTTCCTGCTCCGCTCGCGGAACCCAGTATTCTCTCTCTACAATCTCTTGTATCTTATCTGGTTCCGTACCGTATGAGATGCGACCCAACGCAACCCGCTCTTGCGAGCTGTATCCTGTTGCGAAAGCATTCTCAATCTTCTTCGCAACCGTCCTCTTGTAAAACAGACTATAGGCATAGCCGCCAAGGCCCAGACCGAAGAGCGATATCAGAGCTACCGTGCTTCCTTCAAGCACGCTCCTTGCAAACTTACTCCGCGCTTGCTTGTCCCCACCATTTGGATCGTTGGTTCGTGACTTTTCTGACTGCGTATTGTTCGGAGGTTGCAAGAAGGAGGGCGTAGGCTGGAAGCGAGTGGGGTGTCTGCCGAGGGGTAGGACAAGCCATCCTGAGGTTGTTAGCTTTGTAATGACTTTGGGGTTATATGAAATAGCTTACCCTTTCTGGCGCGCTGTAGAGAGCGTCTCATTCGTCTAGTAGCAAAGGGAGCCGGTGGGCGTGTAATCGAGTAGATTGCCTAGGTACGCGTCATGTATGTGGATGCACGAGCACGCCTTGGCCAAGCGTTGGACACCTTGCCGTGTAGCCGGACATCTTCATGGAGAGCGGGGATGATAAATGAAAGCTGGTAATCCACGACTAGATCGAATGCCATTATCAGTATGTGGTGAGTCCCTTGGATGGAGTTCGATGGAAGACGTGACACCCTTGGAAAACGCGTCGTTCTGAGATTCAGGGTTCGCGCTAAGGACACGCTCACAACATCGACGTCGCCTAATATTCAACACCATCATTAGGAAACATAAAGATACCATAACCTAATACGGTTTCAGCAGTCTAGCCTTCTCATACTTCTAGTGGGTTGAAGATAAGAGCTGGTAATCAGTGATGGAGAGTGCCTGCAACCACAAGCAATATTACCATGGGTACCAGTCTAAGCATTCTCTCCAACCGCCTGCTCTGGATATACTCGGGACAAGCCTTGCTGATATTTCAACCACGCAAATGGCAAGACACCTGCGCACATCACATGTTCGGCAAGTGCAGAGTGGCTACGATGTTGGAGGTCTCCACCGACAGGAGGTCCTGGCATACCTAGGTACTCGATAAAACGACGAAGACCCAACTTTCCTTACACCCAGTATGTTCCACCGAACACGACAAGCCCGTCTCTACAATCTGATAGAAACATATTCTCATAAACACTCGGCCCTGCTTTTCATCAAATCTATCAACCCTCGCGACGCTAACCCAACACAGCCTAACACCTCACCAAGATCGACAGGGTCCACACGTGCAAACGCAATCCATGAGGTGACTCGGAAGGCCCAGACGTCCGTTTCCCACAGCACCGGGCACCCGTCTCATGACCATCACGGTAGTAGGCAGCTAAACCTTGCGACACGATATGTAGCTTCTTCTTCGCCATGGAGGCATTTTGCCTCTTTGCTTCTTCCTACTTACAGCCTTCGCGACGATATGACGAGCTCAAGGAGTTCGACGAGCGAGGCCAGCTCTCCTTCGGCCTCACCAACCCAACCTGTCTACCCCGCCCGATCAACACCATCGCCCACGCGACGATCACCCCGCCCCCTCCTCACTAAGTTGTACACCTCTCACATTCTGTCAACGTGGAATGCGCGCACCTTTGAATTCGGCGCTGTTATCTTCCTTGCAAAAATCTTCCCTGGGACGCTGTTCTTCGCATCATGCTATGCGCTTTTCCGGTCTCTTGCCGCTGCCGTCCTCGGATCATGGATTGGAGGGCTAGTCGACCGTAAAGATAGATTGTGGGTTGTTCGCCAAAGTATTGTGTGGCAAAGAGTTAGTGTCGCAGGGAGTTGTGCGGTGTTGGTGGCGATGTTGAGTTTAGGCGGAGAAAAGAAGGATATTGGGATAGTAACCTACGGCCTCTTCGTTATCAGCGTGGTGCTGGCATGCATCGAAAAACTCGCTTTCGTCGCCAACACCGTATCTGTGGAGCGCGACTGGATCGTCGTCGTATCCGAGAGTCTGGCTATCGATCGTCAAGAGCTGAACAGCGCGATGCGCAGGATAGATCTCATCTGCAAACTCATTGCGCCTGTAGGCATCGGACTCCTAGACGGATACTCGACTAAAACCGCCATCTGGGTTGTTTTCGCACAAAATGCGACAAGTGTGTTGGTGGAATACTTCGCCATCGCGAATGTATATGCCGCGGTACCGGAATTAAGTGTTGGAAAGGGAGTCGTGACGAAACAAGCGTCTGAAACGGATATTGCTACGGAACTGCAACAGCGAGCCTCATCGCCTAACCAGGATACCGTACCAAATACTGCTACGCGACGCTCCACCATCATCAAATCTATAACCACGCACCTCGCGCCGTATCGCGACTACATCACCAACCCCGCCTTCCTCGCCTCCTTCTCTCTCTCCCTCCTCTACCTCACCGTCCTTTCTTTCGCCTCGCAAATGACGACCTACCTCCTCACCCTCGGCTTCACCAGCACCCACGTCTCAGTCATGCGACTGGTATCTGTTATCCTCGAATTATCCGCCACCATCGCAGCGCCGTGGCTCATGAACAAAATCGGCGCCGTACGAGCAGGTCTCTGGTTCATCAACGAACAACTTCTCGCCATCGCCCTGGCAATCGGTTTATTCTACCTCTTCCCCACGACCACAGCACCGATGCTAGCCGGCGGCGCCCTCGTGATCGGTGTCTGTCTCTCCCGTCTCGGCTTATGGGGCTTCGATCTCAGCGTACAATACCTCGTTCAAGAAGACGCGCCGCCTGCCTCCCGAGGTTCCTTCTCCGCTATCGAGATGTCGTTACAAAACCTTTTCGAACTGCTCTCTTTTGCGACTACGATGATCTGGTACAAGCCGCAGGACTTCTTTATACCGATATATATCTCAGCAGGTGCGATCGCGTCGAGCGCAGCGTGTTTCGCGGGTTTTGTGAGGCAGAAGAGGGGGCATTTGTTGCATACGGATCGGTGCTTGAAGAGGATGGGAAAGGGGAAGAGGATGTATCAGGTTTTGCCTACGATTGAGGAGGAGGATATGGAGTTGGAGGTAAGGTGACATGAGTGAAGGGAAGAATTGTATTCATGGCGAGACCGAAATGAATGAGATTGATAACGCACTATTATTGAAATTCAGCGAATATTGGCGCAACGTATACTTACATTTTCCCTTTCGACGACAGGTATACATTGTTGTGTGGAGAAGAGCTGGAGCAGACCGTGGAGCGTAAACACGCAACGGTAACGCAAGTTCACGAGCGATTGCCGTGATGTTAGTAATCAAAATGTAGGCCATACCAAAACGCGCAGTAACAGCATGTGCCGCACTCCAACGTCACGCCAGACCCTTAAGCACCCACCCAAGAATCTTGGCTACTTTATAATGCCTGCACGTGGCATCTCTGATATAGCGGCACTTATCTGCTATTACTCTCCGAGCGGCTCCCTAGTGGGGGTTACTAGACGCTACGCGTCAATTGGCAATTGACTGGCATCGATCACTTCGCGCCTTCCAAGATGGGTTTCAGGGCTCACACCTGGGCACTCTATCCTTGACAACCTTTGTCTTGCTCCACTCATACGGACCACCAACACCAGGGAAATAAAGTGCATGTACTATAATCTTTTCTTATGTATATATCATGACATCAGAGGTTGGGAAGAGCTGAGGTTGTAGAAGAGGTTGGCAATCCTCCCGTTGCTCATATACTTCTTTACCTCAGGAAGCAGATGACCTAGGAGACTCTTTGCGGCATTCGCACATCAAACTCCGGAACACCTCGAAGCTCAACATACTGAAGAGCAACATCCAGTTCCAAAATAATGCACTCCACAATCTCCCTTGCCAACGCTCTGGCACTGGCAACATGTGCTCTAGCCCTATCACCACCCCACCTATCCACCCGCCAGCAGCCATTCAAGACAACACCCATCACGGAATTCGCCGAACCCTGGGCCTTCGCCTTCCTCCCCGACGCCCGCATCCTGGTCACGGAGCGAAAAGGCAACCTACTCCTCGTCGACCCAACCACCAAATCTAAGGGCACCATCACCGGCGTACCCGCCGTCGCATATGCCGGTCAAGGCGGTCTCCACGACGTCGCATTGCACCCCAACTACGCGAACAACAGTATTGCGTATATCAGCTATGCAGAAAGCGGCTCCGGCGGCGCAGGCTGCGCAGTCACACGAGCCAAACTAAGCCTCACCGCAACCAGCGGCGCACTCTCCGACCTCTCAGTCATCTGGCGGCACTCGCAGCGAGCTACAGGCGGTCTCCAATTTGCGTGTCGTTTGAAATTTAGCCCAGACAACGCACTATACATCTCCTCCGGCGAGATAAACCAAATGCATCCAGCCCAATCCATGACGTCCAACCTAGGCAAAATGATACGCCTCTACGACAACGGTACCGCCTACGCCGGAAACCCATTCGCATCCCAAGGCGCCCTTCAATCACAGTTCTACTCCCTCGGCCACCGCAACCCACTCGGCATCGACTTCGATGCCCAGGGCCGTCTGTGGGAAGTCGAAATGGGGCCGTTTGGCGGAGACGAATTGAATCTTGTTCAGCCGGGTAAGAACTATGGATGGCCGCTTGTGTCTGAGGGGAGACATTATAATGGCACGTTGATACCGAAGCATAGTACGAGGCCAGAATTTGCGGCGCCAAAGGCTAATTGGGTTCCGGTCATTTCACCCGCTGGTCTTATCATCTACAAAGGGAACCTTTTCTCCAGCTGGAAGGGCAATGCCATTATCACTGGTCTTAGTGCGCAAGGGCTTGTAAGGGTGAGTATCACTGGCGATACAGCGGCGGAAGTACAACGTATCGCAATGGGTAAGCGCATGCGCGGTATAAGGGAGGATAAGGACGGCGCTATCTGGGTGATTGAGGATGGGGCGGGTGGAAGGTTGTTGAAGCTTACTCCGAATTGAAATGCATTATACAGAATGAGAGGGGCTGGAGCTGTTGATATATAAGTCTAGCAAAATGCGTCTTCTAGATTGGCGCGAAGATGTGCAATCAGTACAAGTTCTGCTCTCTCAATCACTCTACCAGACAACACGTCACCCAACTCAGCGACCACGGTGAAGTTTTACCTACCCTGCCTCACCACTCACTTCCGTTGTAGGTATTCAAGTACGAAGAGACCTACACCACACCACACCACGCCATCTCCCATCACACCACCTCCCGTCAGCAACACAAAAACACAATCACTCAGTCCGCAACACTCCCAGACAAAGCCGCAGCAAATCCCAACACTCCCAACCTTGCCATGAACATGACGCCTAAGAAAGAGCTATAGCGGACGAGAAATCAGAGAGGTCGAAGTGGATGCCGTTGGTCATAGAATTCCCGCAACCTATAGCAATTTCAATCTGAAATCAAAGAGAGAATAGACCCCCACCACCCATCCAGGATATTAGTGGGAGGTAAATGGTGGCTGGTCTCAAGTGATGAGGCCGTACTGTTTCGACGATCGGAGTGATGGCTTCGAGGGAATAAGTTATTAGGGGTGTGAGAAGAATCGTGTGTTTCAGTGATTAATCTTGCTCTTCGTGAGTATAGAGGATACGTAGACAGGTACGCTAAGGTGGAGTTTTGAAGGAGTGCAATAAATAAACTCCATACACCAAACTTATCGAGCTTAAAGTCATCAGAATTCTTGTTCCTCGAGTTGAGGGTGTTCATGAGACATCAGCAACTCAGTTGAGCTTCGTCGGTGACGTGAAAGACTACACTGCTTGTCCATCCGCCTTTCCTTGCATGTGTTTGTAAACCCCGAGATTGACACCATCAAACCACGTACCCACCGCTTCTCTCCCACACAAGCCAGCTACTGACCCCAGCTGCAAGTCTTCTTGCACAACTTGCCATCGATATGAACGCCCTGGCAGATGATCTCGCACCGAGAAGTATGTTTGCAGCTCTGTCATTAACCATTAGCACACTTCTCTCAACCTAAACCAGCGTTGAAATAACCCCCCTTACCTAACTATCCGTAGTAAATGGGGAGAAGGGACTTACATTGGCGCAATCGATATAAGCGTCACTGCAGCGCTTGCAGAAGGTAGTCATAGTGTGGACGTCCTGGGTGGAGTCAACCTCGGCCCTGAAGTAAAGCAGGGATAGAGGGTGTGGGAGGGAGTGTGGACTTGTGTTGTCGGGGGAAGAGGTGGTGTCGTCGGAGATGACGCTGCACATGACGATAGTGGAGAGAGCGGCCGCGAAGGCGAGGGTGGTAGTGAGGGACTTCATCCTGTTGGAGAGTTGAGTTTGTTTGGTTGTTTAGAAATCGAGCGAGGACATTGAGTTTGTGATAAGTGGTATTTGGAAGCGTGAGTCGTTGAGGGGGTTGTGTATGGGAGTTGTTGGGGGTGGAGTTATACAAGACTTCGAAGGAAGGAGCCGAGTACGTTGGAAAGGTCCAGGCGCGGGTGGCGATAATCTCCACCGGACCCGGTTTGCAAGGTGAGTGCAGGAGCGGCAGCCTGAGCTAGGGCGTAAGTGATTCACGTTACGTGGTAGAAAAGGGTATCATCCTAATTGGCGCAAGCGTGTGAGGAAGTGACGATCAGAGACCATATGGGCAGTGGTAAAGAAATGACGATAGAAGCCACTGAAAGTAACGCGTGGGATACCGAGTCTTAACAGATATTAGAAAAGGCATGTTGAAGCCCAATCTCAAAACCGTCTAATCAGTTACAAGTAAAAAGACAAGGAGATTCTACAAACACCAGTGTGCCTTACCAGCTATCGCCCAACGCCGCCCCATGCCATGCTATGCGAAAAACCAACAAGACTCAGACCAGCAACAAAACTACCTCCTTGCCGTAGCCCTCGGCGTCGGACTCCTCTCCTTAACATCCAACGCCCTCATACGCTCTACATTCGTATCCACACCCGTATCCCCCCCACCCTCAATACTCGGAACAACATCCTGAATCACCGTTCTATCACCCTCCTCATCATCTGCATACTCTTCCTCTTCATCATACCTCCTCTCAACGTACTCCTCGCCCTCAAGATAATCACCCCCCTCCACACTCTCAATAATGCTATCCTCGAGACCCGCCTCATCCGCATCGACATCCAAGCTCTCCCTCGACATATAGCTTGCCTCGAGATCCTCGCCAATCTCCGAGCCTTCGTCTTCACTGCGTATACTAGCCGCCTCTGTCTGATCGTCGTCGTCCTCATCCTCGCTATCAGTGAAATCTTGGATATCGAGCGGTTGGTCGCGCCAGTAGTTGAAATCCGTGTACGCCTCTCCACCCGCCGGGACAAGAAGACCAACTGGCGGGAAGAAATGATCAACAATCTCGCGCATGCTCGCGTAACCCGTTTTGTAGCTATTGAGGGATAAGACGTCGAGACTGACTTCGGCGTTAGAGTTGATGGTGAAGATGCGTGTGGAAGGGATGTTGACACTGCGGTAGGACAGCGCATCAGTGAAGCGGTTGCCGAAACCGGCGTAAAAGGGTGTTTGGTGGGCGGGCTTATCGAAGAGCTGCATGATGTCGCGTAGACACGCCATTTTGAATACTTCGGGTTTGCGGAGGTAGATTTCGCGGCGGAGGGCTGCGATGGTGCGGTCGGGGCTCATTATGACAGGGCCTTTGGGGAGGCGGTAGTTATCTTGAACGACGCCGTTGAGGTACGCGCGTGTGGTGTCTGCTTGACCGACGGACCGACTTGTCAAGTAGAAGATGTTGTAGCCGTTGTTGACGATGTCGGTGTAGAGTTTTGCTACTCCTTGGTGTGTCCAGTCTCGGCCGATCATGTTGAGCACGTGGCCGAGGGCGTCGGACTTGGTGATGGTGCCGTCGATGTCAGAGATGACGATGGGCACGTCGTGCTTCCAGTAGAACATGTAGGCTTCGCATTTTGAGCGGTTCACGGTAAAGCTCATGGTGTTCGCACCGGGTTTTAGGTTGAGTGCTCGTAGCTGCTCGCTTGTGAGGCGCAGTGTCTTTGCATATGTCTTGTGCTCGGATTTCCTGGCTTCGGGCGAATGTGGCGCGGAGGAACCCAGGGCACTGTCTGAGTCTCTGCGTAGGGGGAACTGAGCAGTGTCATCGCTACGGCCACTGTCGCTCTGGTAGCCGGGGTCTGACAGTGCATCAGTCGATTGGAGAGCGGACTCGTTCAGTACGTTCATCGTGGTCTTTGCCATGGCCGCTGCCTTGGCCTCCTCACTGCTGTAGATCCAGAGGTTGCCGTTCTCATCAGCGCCTATGAGCGCGCCGATGTCGTAGTCTCCTGCGAGCTCATCCGACAGAATGCGCCTGGCTATGACCTCGGCGCGCAAGGCATCCTCTTCGCTGCTCTTGTATCCTGTCATGTCCAGTTCGAGGTCGCCAGTCTCGGTGACTTTGTTCGGGATGTTCGAGGTAAAGAGCTTCTTGGACAGCTTGATCGCGCGGGCAAGGGCTTCCGCAGAGGATACAGGCGGTGGACTCGCTGAGCGCGTCGACCTGTTCCAAGCCGTCGCATCCTCCTTGCTGATCTGTAGCGGCCCTCTCTCGGGCCCCTTGTCCTGTGATTCCTCACCGTCGAATGTCTTGGCAAACCCGTCCTTTACAGAAGGCACCGTCTCATCCGTGCTTGCCCTCTGCATGTGGAAGCCCGACCAATCTCCCGACTTTGGCCGTCCGAAGTCCGCCCCGGCATAGTCTGAGGCAGGCACCGACATGGACATGCGCCCTCGTCTCCTTGTAGCGCTACCGTCTAGGTCGAAAGGCTCAGGCTCGTCGAAGGCGCGCTCGGAGGGCAGCTCTATGGGCTTCTGCTCGGGGCTGGCGGCGGGCGATGCGATGGGCGACGTCTGCATCTCGGCGGGGATGGAGCGCGTCGTTTCGAAGACGAAGAAGGCCTCGCCGCCCTCGCCCAGCTTCATGGAATAGTCCTGCAGCTCGCCATTGACGCGGAACTCGACCTTCTTGTCCGAGGGGCGCAGGATCTGGTACTTGCCGAAGCGGACGTGGAAGGGCGAACATGCCAGGCTGCCGTCTTCGTGCTCCACGACGATGGTGTCAATGGCGCCGCTGAGGGTGGCGGGGTTGATCGAGTTCCAGCCCTTGGACACACTGCCCGTGATGGATCGCACGTAATTCATGGTTGCTGTCTATGGGCTCAGCGCCTCTTGCGCGGCCTAAGTGGTGCGAGTGGTTTGTATGGTTTGTAGCGAGCGTCGGGGATGTACGTCAGAAGTGTTTTACAGATCGAGGGCGGATGGAAATGTGTCAGAACGTGTTTGCATTCTTTCTTCACATGTCAGTGGGCTGCTTTCACCGAGGGAGGAGCGACCGGCCGAGCGTTGAGCGTGAAAGAAGGGATGTGCAGGAGTGAAAGTACTTTTGCGCTGACGTGCCTAGGCAAGTGGTGAGCTATGCGGTCACCGAGCTCGCGGGCGCATCACGGGCCCGAGGACGTCAGGCCGAGATCAAGTGATGCGCTGAGCCGGAGTGCGCGGCAAGAATTTCCAGAATGGTACATGTTGCGAGGGATTTCGTGCATACGGCATGGGCTAAGGTGCAGAATCGAGATGCTATCTTCACATGCTGGAACGGAGCAAGCACATTGGAGAACCATTCGCGTGCTGCTTATATGTTGGGCCAGCCACTGGCTCAACCACACTGCCGCGTAGGTGGTAGAATGTGGGCTATCTCATCACTTTGCTATCGGATATTCAATACTCAATGGAAGGTATCGCGATGATAATTTCAACAACACGATGCCTAACTCGACTTTTCGACAGCCACCCTGCCCCGCTAGCTGCTACGAGCAAGATGAATGCGGAGGAGGTGCAGGTGTGGAGCAGCCAAGACGTCGAAATGCCCTGTAGCTTCGGCCATTTGCGGCGGTTGTGGCTGCACATGACGCCGCCAGGCACCGCGCAAACTTCACCCACCCATCGAGATACGACAAGCAAGTGGGAGACGCCTGACACCTGTCACCATGTTCTCCGAACCCGCTTCGTCGCTGTACTGGCCGCCCGATGTCGCCCGCTATGACATGGAGGCCCTCTTGTTCTCGTCGTCGGGCTGGCTGCGCACGGCGTGCATAGTCTCGGCGCTCTTCTGGTAGGAAATGTAGAAAAGCAGAAATACACGCGCACACACTGACGGCGCATGCAGGGTCGCCTTCCGCGCCTACCAGGTCCTCACGCAGCCCGTCGAGAAGCTGGTGCAAGTCCTCGGCCTCGAAGTCCCCGTCGCGCCCCTCGTCTCGCTCGCTGGCATCAAGGCCGATGGCGTGTTGCTGCACTGGAAGCCGCCAGACCAGCGCACCTCTGTCCTCAAATACGTAATCCGCATCAACGGCATAGACATTGGCGACATCTCCCCCCAGGAATCCTCCATCACCATCGAGAACCTGCAGCCCGACCGCCACTACACCATCCGCATCGTCACGCTCAACTCGTCCAGCTTCCAAGCCCCCAGCGTGCCCATCCGCCTGCGCACCCTCCCCGCCGACTCCGATGACTTCTACAGCCCCCACCCGCCCAAAGATGCGCCCCTCGCCAGCGACGACAATGACTACACCCCCACGCCCGTCATCCGCCCGAACAAGACCCTCGCCGATGTCGTCACGTCCGTCGCTGCCCCGCCCATGACCCGCGAACACAGCAACAGCACCTCCCGCATGCGACGCCCAGATATCGGAAGGAAGATCTCGCCAGCATCGCAGACGCAGGATCAAGGAAGGGCAGCGCAAGAGGCAGAAGGCCCAGACTCTATCCGGCAATTGACCGAGAAGTTGGATGGCCTCAGACGCGAGTTGGACGACATGGAGCGCCAGATCCAGGACGAGGACCAGGATTTTGTCACTCAGAAGGCCATCTTGGTGGACAAGCGCGACGAGAAGAAGGCGGCATTGAAAGAGAAGGAAGACGCCAGTCGCGACCTGCGGAAGGAGGTGGCTAGTCTTGAGCGTCAGAATGCCGCGGCCCAGACTAGGCGCGCTCAGCAGGAGAGGGTGCTACGTCAAAAAGAAGCCGAGCGCAAGAAGCTGAAGGATGATGTTGCCAAGTGGACCAGGGAGGCTGGCGAACTCCGCGACACGGCTGAGAAGATCAAGAAGGAGCAGACCGAGTACCAGGCAGCCTCCGAAAAGCGCGTCCAGGACCTCAAAGACAAGTACACCGACGAGACCCAGGCGAACAAGGTTCTGGAGGACGCCATCCGCGAGAAGGGTATCCACATCAAGGCTCTGGAAGAGGAGAGGCAGAAGCTGGAAGAAGGTCAAGAAGGCGCCGAAGCCACAGACGGTCCCGACAATGCGGAGAAGGAAGAGGACAACCGCTGGAAGATGACTCTGGGTCTTTTACAACAGCAATATGCTCAGGCTTGGGCACTATACGCCGAGGCGGAGAGAGCCCATCAAGATGCCACGGGCAGATTGACCTACATGCAACAGCGTCGCCTGAGCCAGCCACAACTCTTCTCGGGACCGCCAGTTCCAGAGATGGGGCCTGTCAGGAGGAACAGTCAGCGTGCGCGACCGCTAAGCATGCGCGAAGGACTTCTGGCTCAAGCTACTGGTGGCTTTGTGCATACTTCTTCAGCACCGTTCAATAGTATTCCAACGACTTCATCACCTTCATTCGCTACCGCCACGCCCTATTTCAACCCAGTCAACGGTATGGCATTGCCTCCCCCTCGGAATTACAGCACATCCTTCTCGCAGGCCGACTTCGAGAGTTTGACCGGTGGTGCGCCAATGAGTCCGACAGCCGGCGCATTGCTTCCAGCGGGACTATTTGGGGATGATTTAGGCTTGACGGAAGACGAGGACGACGACCCAGGTCCACCCCAAGCTCCTTCGTTGGATCCTTCACCTAATATGAGGAACGTTCTACCTGGTCTTGGGGCCCCTGGAACCATGAATTATACGCAAAACTCCAGCTCACCAGCTTCCCCACAGAGTGGCTCGCCCAGTGCTCTAGCAAGTCCTCGAGACAGTGCCGGCGAACTAAACTTTTATCCCAGTAACGACAATAACATGGACAACGACAGGCGCTCCATTCACTCTACATCCAGTTCCTTCCAGATCAATCCCCAAGCCAGTCGTTTCGGTGGACTCTTTGGACTGAACAGAGCACGCGGCAAGACGTTCTCCGATGAGGGTCCAGCGTTGGGCTCTCTGAAACCGTCACAAAGTCAGTCACTACCTCGCCAGGACCATGGCATTGACGGTCTGGGAAACACTCGCCGCCGCGGTAGCCATTCCGAAGGCGCATGGTACGACACGTTCATACGCACCAAAACCCAGCCTGTTGAGTCACTCAGCAGCCCGAAGCACGTGGCTACACGCAAACGACCGTTCAATATGTTCAGCAGCGCAAAGGGTGGTGAAGATCCCTGGCTACGAAATATACTAGGCATGCAAAGGCCGGAATCCCCGCGTCAGGGCTCTACAAACTCGGGAGAGGGCATGGCTTTGCCGCGTCCATCGACTGAGAGCCAGACACGATTCGGCTGGAATGTGGACGCCTTTGGTGCTCGGGCAAGCCCTCTGGGGGTGGACTGGAGTGTGAACAACACCAACACCACTTCATGGTCACGGCTGGGATCTCGTCGACCCTCGATGCAACACACGTCGAGTGCGAACCTGATCAACGACGACATCCACGATGATGTTCTGGACTTTCCTTCGAACACACGCTCACCTACTCAAGCGCCAATCGGTACTCGACCGCAGTCATCTGCTTCCCACATGCCAGCACAGCCGTCGACTTCATCACTCCCACCTATTCCACCAACACCACCAAAGCAACTAAACCCCGCAGCAGCAAGCTTCACTATGTTCCAACTCGGCAAGAAGAACGAGGAAGAAAAAGCCAAGCGCGCCGCCGAGAAAGAAGCTCGGCGAGCCGAAAAGGCAGAGAAGAAAGAGGAAAAGGAAAAGAAGGTCAAGGCCGACAAAGCGGAAAAGGCAGCACGCAAAGACAAGCACGCCACACCCTCTGAAGCCGGCGACGCCCGAGACACAACCTCTCCCCACGACTCCCGCATGTCACGCGACACTCCTTCTATTATTTCTACGGCCGACGCCTCAGAAGCCTCCCCCCGCGAGTCCCTCGAACGAAGCATATCCCACACGGCCTCCGACGCTGCGGGTTCCATCGGCAAAGAATCCTTCATGCAAAAGCTCACTCGCAAAGGCAGCACCAACCAATTCCTCACGTTCGGCAAGAAGAACGCGCTTTTCTCCAAGTCTAGCAAATCTGATGTTCCTAGCACGCCCGATGAGCACGACGAGGAGGGTTCCACAAGTGGGTTTTTCGGCCTGGGCAAGAGTACGGAGAGTGTGGGCAATAGTCCTCAAATCGGCACGCCGAAGAGTGGGACGGGGGTTTGGGGGAGTATTAAGAAGATTGGGAGGAAGGATAAGACGCCGAGTTTGCATGAGAGTATTGCTAGTGAGGCGACGGGGGATGAGGAAGATGCGGTTGGGCTTGGGGTTGGTGAGGGGAGGATGTAGCTTTGCATTCAGCGTACTGTAGTAGTTAGCAAAACATATTGTTTTCTCATCATTTTGGTCTAGCACTTGGCCCGCGTGCTATGTTCATCCTGTCTAATCCTTTTCCACTCGTAATTGACTAGTGTGACCCGTGACGTTTCCCCAGATTCTACTCGAGCCGCATGCAGGTGCCAAGCCTTCGCGTCGGTCGCAACTTCAACGCGCGACCTTCACTCACTCACCTCCACGCAACTCTTTCCCCACACCAACAATACGTTATGGCGTCACCCGCCGCAGAGACCATGCAAAATGGCATCTCAACGCCCCCCGCGACCGCAAATGCGCCCACACTCAGTCCACCTACACAACAACCCTCACAGCCAACCGCGCAACCATCGCAACAATCCAACGGCGTATCCACAGCCGCACCCATGAACCCCGCCTTCCCACCAAATTCCCTCTCCGACCCAGGCACCTCGAAACGACCCCGCGACGCGCGCCTCATCCACCTCATCCTCGCCAACATGGGCGTGCACGCCTACACCGAGCGCGTCCCCCTCCAACTCCTCGACTTTGCTTACCGCTACACCTCGTCCATCCTATCCGATGCAATCAGTTACGAACCGCCTCTACCCACCACCTCCGGTAGCAAGAAACGCGGCGCGAACGCTGATGGAAGCGGTGAAGATGGTGTTTCGCTTAATGCGCTACGTACAGCTGTGGGAGCGCGCGCGGCTAGTGCGTTTAATACGTCTTTGGGCAAGGATTTCATGTCCGAAGTCGCACAGGAGCGGAATCGCATTGCGTTGCCGCGTGTAGAGCGGGAGTTTGGCATCAGATTACCGCCTGAGAGGTATTGTTTCACGGGCGTGGGATGGGGGGTTAAGGGTGCGTGGGAGGAGGAGATTGAAGATGCGGGTGAGGATGAGGATATGGAGGTTGATGGTGATGGATTTGGTGGGGGGCCTGTGGGCACGGTGAATGGTACGACCGCACCGAATGCTGCAGCTGAGACTGAAGCCAAGGATACGGATATGGGGGGTATGGATGAGGAGGATGAGGAGGTCGATGACGATGAGTTTGAGGAGGCTATGGGGATTAACCGGGAGAATAATGGTTGAGACAGACATGCTTCTGAGAGATGGACATGGAGATGGACAAGGCGTTTGGGGGGACTTGAGCATTTGTAACGGCGTCATGGACTGGGAGGTATACCAGAGCTGGAAAAAGCTTGAGCTTTACTTTGCGCAAAAGGCCGCGCTTCGTTGAAATGCGGGCGAGTATTTACACGTTATCATACAATATACATCCGCTCCATTCCCCATCCACGCAACAGGCCGACGAGCGCCGCCATACCAGTGGGCGTGTTCCGCTGGTGTCCCTCACCATGCCCCATGCACTCCTCATCTTGACCCATAAACCCCACCCCTAGTAACCCCCCTATCATCCACCCTATTCTCTTCCTTCCTTCTCAGCCCCGCCTCAGTGACCGTTTCCGCCTTCTTCCCCAGGGTCCGCCCACTCTCATCCAAATTCCACCATTCCTTATGTTTCTCCCTCGCATCCTCCAGTCTCCTCTGATGTTCTATCCTTGCTTGCCTCCTCTCTTCCGCCAGAGCAAACCATTCTAACCGCGCTTTGTCGAGCTCGTCTTGGTTCTGGTATTGTAGCATGCAGGAGTTCATGGCAAGGCGGGAGGGCCGGCACGCGTAAATCATGGTGAAGGTACGGCCGAGGGCGCATTGGGCGAATGCTAAGGTGGAGCGTTAGTCTGGGAGGCATTGGAGGGATGAGGGGAAGAAGGTAGATCAGTGGGTAGACGTACTTTCAATCTCCTTTGCGCATTTCGCGCGGACGTTCTTGTAGTATAGATCCTTGACTTGTTGTTCTTGGGGCGCGGATAACGGTGTCGGATTTGTGGGTGTGCGGTTTGTGCCGATTATCATGCGGTCTTCTTTGTCTGCCATCGTGGGCTATTTGGGACTGTCCTGCCCAATGGCCTGGGAAGTATGTGCTGGAGTGAGGTGGTGCCGATGCGATTGTGTGCGTGTACAGTAGCTTCGAATGAGGTGGTAGCGAGTGACGATGTAGGAAGCGTGTGGTTGGTGGGTGTTGCCGTAAATGGGTTGCGGACTCCCGGCGGTGATGTGGTTCGAGATTGGCAAGATTGATGTTATTCGGAGTGGGGCATGGTCTGGTGGTAGGGATATGGAGCGGGCATGTCGGAGGTTCTGGGCATGGTTTGCCGATCTGGGTGAGCCGAGGCATGAGTTTGGGGAATAGCTTTATTGGTTTGGACTTCACATGCGCTTTCAGTTGCGCTTCTACTTTACATCACATACGCATAAGCACAGCTAGAGACTTGACAGCCGCAACATTATATTCGTCTAGCTACCAAACCATCTGAACCCTCACCCTCCCATAAACAACCAAACAATGAAGGTCGCAGACCGCACCTTCCTCATAAGCGGCGGCGTCTCAGGCCTCGGTCTCGCAACCGCACGCGCGCTGCACTCCGCAGGCGCATACGTCTCACTGCTCGACCTCAACGCCTCCAACGGCAGCAAAATCGTGTCCGAGCTTGGCTCACGCGCGAAGTTCTTCGAGACCGACGTCACAGACACAGACGCCATCGCAGCAGCAGTCCAAGGCACAGTAGCCTGGGTTAGAGAAACAGGAAAGGACATTGGAGGCGTGGTAGCAGGAGCAGGAGTGGGAATGCCAGGCTTGATTATCGACAAGAAGAATGAGCCGCTTAGTATTGAGAGTATTGACTTTGTGCTCAATATTAATTTGAGGGGGACGTTGGATTTGATTAGGCAGGTGGTGCCGCATATGACGACGAACACGCCTTCAAGTCCCGATGGATCTCGCGGCGTTATCATCATGATTGCGTCTTCGGCTGCATTTGATGGACAGATGGGTCAGGTAGCGTATGCGGCGTCGAAAGGTGCTGTTGCGTCGCTTACCCTGCCACTGGCGCGCGACCTGTCAAAGTATGGTATTCGCGCTGTGACGATTGCGCCGAGTATGTTCGATAGCGCGATGACGCGCATGATGAGCGACAAGGTGAAGAAGAGTCTGGAGAACAGTATGGAGTTCCCCAAGCGGGCGGGGCTGCCGGAAGAGTTTGCGAGGTTGGTGGTGGAATGTGTGGGGAATGAGATGTTGAATGGGACGGTTTTGCGGTTGGATGGCGCGATGAGGATGCCGGCGAGGCTGTAGTGTATTTATTTGGGTATATGAATGAATGAGGTATCAGCGCTTGCGCTCTCTGACCTTGAACTTGACACCGTTCTTATTGACTCCACCGACGGTGTTGTTCATCTTTGCGCGCTGGAGTTCGAGCTCTTCTTCAGCAGCCACGAGTTCGCTCTCCCGCTTCTTGAGTGCGCGTAATCTTGTTATGTGGCGCTCTTGTGCTCGCTCTCTGTCCTTGCGGAACTTCCTCGCTTCTCGCCGTGCTTGTTCTTGTGCCTCTATCTGCTTCTTCGATAATGTGTTTGGCCGTTGGATGGGTGCTTCGTCATCGTCTTCCGATAGCTCGTCTTGTAGGTCTCCAAATGTAGGCGAGTCTTTGCGCGCAGGAATTTCCTCGCCGCGCCCGAACCAAGTGTCGGGTTCAAACTCCTCTTGTTCCTCCTCGTTGTCCACAAAGACTCTGTGCTTGCCCTGCTTCGTCCTCGCTGCATCCCTTACAGCACGCACTTCGCCCTGCTCCTCCATAATGAGCCTCTGCTCTACCTCCTCCCTCTCTTTGCGCGTCTGTTGCAGCATAGTGCGAATATATCCCGCATCCTGTGTCTTCAACAGCTTGACCACCTCCATGCTGAGCGCCTTGTTGCCCCGGTCCGCTACCCTCTTCCCCGACTTGTCCACCTTGGACGACATCATTTTGAAGGAGAATTCATCGGGGTTGCGGTCCTGGGCCTTTTGCTTCAGGATCTTGAGCTTCGCCTGCTTCTGCTTGTGGTCAGCTGCGCGCAACTTGTAGTCCTTGCGCTTCTCGAGGAGACCCCATTTTGCGCGCTCTTCGGGTTGCGCGCGCTCCTTGTGGTTGCGCCGCTGGACGGCATTTCGCATGGACGACATTTTGGGCGGTGGGCAGTGTAGCGCGTTGATTGTGTAGAGGTGTTGAATTGCTCGAGACTTTTCGGTGGGCCTCCGCTGCCAAGACTTCGGCCCACTTTACTCATCTGCTAGTCCCGATGGACATCCGTCTAGGTAATGCGTTCGCTTTCTGAATCTGGTCAACCGTTGGTGGTTTTTGATCACATTCACTCCATGGCATATCACCAATCTGTCTAGGATGACGAAGACACTCATTGCATGTCGTTCATCAGCATGGCAAGTCGCGCCGCCAAAGTTGACCTAGCGCCGCGATCTCCACGTGTTTACCGCATTCGATTCTGAAACACATCACAGGAACTATTCCGCACTTGCATTGCCTATTCAGGCTTATGCAATATGGATCTGTCCTTCGAATGGCGCCGGTTGGTGGAAGTACGGGACGGAGCCGTTACGGTGTGGTTAGTTTCCGTAGAACAGCACACCTGGGCATGGTCGGCGACAATGTCCGTCCTCAAAAGCCGTCGGATCGGGTACTTACTGCCAGCCGCCCCATCTAAGACGTTCTAGTGTTCTTGGATGGGTGCTTCCGCTGATAGGAGCCGTTCACTGATGAACAACTGCCAATCATCGGTGGGCAATTCCATCGTGGTTCTTCGCGGGAGTCGCGGGAACGGACCATGGAGATATGCAAGACCGGAAGTGTGGATTCGGAGGTATCCTGATATAAGCCTCGACCTTGTGCCTTTCGACAAAACCCTGAGTCCAGCGAAGGAAGATACGTGAGCGGTGAGAGATTGTGTTAACTCCTTCTTTTCGGCACGAAGGCATGACCAGGTCAACAGTACATCTTCGCCAAGGTGATCTGTTCTCAGAATGGAACGGAACATCTCGTGAGAGATTCGATCGTATCCAATACATACCAAGATCGACTCCAGAGCCTGAGTTGGTATTCCGCAAGATCCCTAGCCTATCTTCCTCTCGAAACGCCAAGTCATTGTCAACGCGACGCCCAGGAATCCTTCCAAACACCGCGGAAAATTCTCTACCGACATATGGCGCTGCACTAATGTACCCCAGGTCTTCCCCAATATACAGTAACGCCAAAACACCGTCACCTGTGTCATAGATACTGTTCGACATCACACAACTGTACTTTCTCGACTCATGGCGTACGGAAAAACGATTGAAAAAGAATTCCGCGAATCAAAAACGCTCCAGGGCGTATTTTGTTATGCAGTGTAGATCAAAATAGTGAGGTTGTGATGGTGGGCATGACCATTCTAGCCACCGGTAAGGGTACAACAACCTCAGCCCCTAGCCAAGCACAACTTTTCACGGCGGAAGACAATTCTCCACCATTCTCCACAAATACTACAGCGTCTTGGCTCTTCGGACTGGATCCACAGTCGAGGGTCTCATCCACCCCATAGCAATTTCACGACGTCCGTAGAGGGCTACATCGGTATCTAGATCTGGTAGGCGATGCAGCTATCGTGGAGAGGTGGGTATCGAACATGTGTATAAAGGCAGTGAGTATTCCGAGGGGTATGCCAGCAGCTCACTCATCTCTTCCCTGACTATTCAGCCCATCTGCGAAGTTCCACAAGACCTAGCAGCTCTTTCAGTTCAAGTTCAACTTACGCACGAACTTCTTGCCATCATGTTGTCACAAGTCGCACTTCTTTCCCTCGTCGCCAGCATGGCAGCTGCGCAGACCCTCAACATCCCAACTCGCTCGGGGAGCATCGTGTCGCTCCCTCAGCCCAGCACCATCACTGGCAGCGTCAACTTTGGCAACAAGGAGTTCGACCGCGGTCGGCCCTGCAACTCAGACGAGGACACTGGCAGCAGCAATGCCGTCTTCATCCTCCAAAACGGCGCGTCCATCTCCAACGTCATCATCGGTGCCAATGCGCTCGAGGGTGTCCACTGCCTGGGTATGTTCTACGTTCATATTGTAAACCTACGAAACTAAATCCAATAAACACAGGTTCCTGCACCCTAACCAACGTCTGGTTCCGCGACGTCTGCGAAGATGCTATCTCTATCCTCGGCACCGGCAACGCCCTCATCCAAGGCGGAGGCGCCGCCCAAGCCAGCGACAAAGTCATCCAACACAAGTACGTTTCCCCTCCCCCTTCCACCCACACACAACCCAGACTAACACCCCTCTCAGCGGCGCGGGCACAGTAACCATCAAAAACTACACCATTGTCAACGCAGGCAAACTCTACCGCTCCTGCGGCGACTGCACCGACAACAGCAAGAAGTCGCCACGCAAGGTCATCGTCGAGAACGTTCGCGCCTTTGGCCTTACCTCTGATTTGATCGGTATCAACTCCAACTTCGGTGATACAGCCTCCATCAGTGGGTCTTGCGGATCGACAAAGAAGGTCTGCCAGGAGTACAAGGGTGTTAACAAGGGCAGTGGAAGCAGCAGCAAGGTCGACACTAACTCTGCTTGCACTGGTGCTCAGGGCAAGCTGTCGGCGCTGCCGAGCTGTTAGGTGGTCGTCGTGGTGTAGGCTGGTGGAGCTTCGGGTGATGGGACATGTGGATCGAGGCTCTTGTATATATTGACATTGAGATTGTAAATAGCTTTCTATGCAGGGACGAGGACATGATGAATGCGATTGGATATTGTATGCGATTTGGTCTTCTTGAGGCGATTCTTGGTGTTGGTGGTGTTGCAAGTACACGTAGAAGAGGATATGCTTGAAGCATTCACGAGACACCGCAGCATGAGGACAAGCTCATCTTTCCTTGGTAGTACCCATCATAATCTCACCTACAGGCGCATACATGCATGCTGCTCATGCTCCTTTGTCCGCTTCGAGATACTTGTCCAAAGCTATCTCCACCCGTGAATGAGAATCGGATGTACACGCGTTGTGGTCAGGTAGAAGGAAAGTACGGGCCTCGTGCTGAACTAGGAGTTCACAGCCATCGGCCCCATAACCGTCGCCCACCTCGCTCTTGTCAGTGGTAAAGTATCTTAAGAACACGTCGAGCCAATGTGCGACATCCTTCTTATTACGCAGTATGATATCAATGTCTGCAGTATTGTTTCGCACCTTAGTTGAGCTTTCAAGGCTAGAGATATTGTATACCCTTGGCAGGCTGACTGCTAGAGGTGGTGCAGCGTGTTTCTGGCGAGAAGAGCCTATGTAGCGCTCCACGGTAGTATCCGGGCCCAGATTCAGATAGTCGAGGTTCGAACATTTCTGTTGGCCTTGCGCGATTGAGTGGCATGTACCGTCGGTCAGGAATACGAAGTCAAACTTGACATGTTGTAGCGTGCCAGCATGTTGCTTGATGAAGCCTCGAAGGCGGCTTCCGCTCACGTGGCCGTCGATCAACTCTAAGTGCGTGGGATGCGCATACGTGTTCCTCGCAAAGAGCCTGGCCCACATATCCTCGCATCCGTGACATAGTCGATGTCGCGGTAGAGTATTGCATCCGCGGAATGTGATCTTCTCCAAGCTCGAGAGCTTAGCGTCTAGGTTCGATAGTGAAGGAGTGACGGACTTGTAGCCGGAGTAGTGACGACCATTCTCATTGTGCACCACGTCCCATATTCTCAGTTCTGGCCCCCTGTCCCCGCGATATGCATGTGGAGTAGCTTCGTACTCGATGTACGAGACGAGATGCGGCGACTCAGCTATTGGGACTAGTGAACGATCGTCGCGGCGGCTGTCGTAAGTTGTCTAGCTCAGATACGATGTGTAGGATCTGGCGGGGGAACGACGCAAGTTTGAGTGCGGTAAGGATGGTGGTGTATGTTGTCTTTTCGTAGAGATGGACTACTAGCAATGAAGTTGAATTTGCTAAGTTTTTGAAGCTTTCTGTTAGGATGTTGATAGCTTCGGAAGAGTCCGCGAAGGCATCCAGATCCTCGACATGCAAGCTGTACGCATATTCTGCTTGAAGTGCTTTGCAACTCCCCCGCTATAGTCCATCGCGTATGGCCCATCGAATGTGATTTCGTGGAGTCGGTCTCGGAAATAAGGCGTGCTGCTGATCGGAAACAGGACGCTGAGGGATTTGTAGGTAAGATCCACCTCGAGGTGGTCTAGCATTCTTCCGTAGACAACCCCAGTGTTGAATAGCTTTTTCTGGTAGACAGACTTGCAAGAAAGTCGGAGCGACTTGAGATCTTGAGGAAGCGACCATTTAGATGGGTCATCTTCCGCGACGATGAAGCAACACATTCGCTGAGGATCTCCGGCGGTAGCGCAGATAGGATCATGCCTGCGGGTCTCCGGCAGCTTGGGTAGGGTTTGCGAAGGGATCACGAGATTGACTTGGCTGTAGACGATGTACATCCAAGAGCCACTGTCGAACAAACTGTGTTGTTATGTTGTGGGTGCGGCCAGGCGGTCAAGTATCGACCCGAGTATACAACACTTGCCCGATGCTTTACTACGAACGTCACCGCTAGCACGGACCCAGTTTCTAGCCGAAAGATATCGCTGCTTCAAGTAAACCAATTCTATGCTCTCGAACTTTAATGAACCGTCGCAAATTCCTCGACACCAGTCACTATACTTATTTGGGTATACCGTCAACGAGCGTGAATGCAAATGCAGATGCAGAAAGAAAGATTCATCTCCACCATCATCATAGCCGACTATCAACATTCCCATATTCAGCAAGCTCCACTTCATTCAAATGACTCTTCGCTCTCATACTGCTCCGCGCACTCTCCGTCTGAGCCAGACTTTGACGCATGAGCACCGCTCTCTTCGGATCCATTTTCGCGTTCGGCGATGCAGGTTTGAAGACTCGATTGCTTTCATGCCCGTAATACGAGTATCGAGCAGGACGCTTTCCTTTAGCAGCAGGTGATACTCCGTTCGCGTTAACACCCGAGTATGATCTCGTAGGACGCGTTAGGGCCGATATCGGCCAGTCGTCGGTGTCGGAGTTCTCGTACTTGACCGATGATTCGGGCGATTCATGGTGTAAGTCCCACTCTTCGTGCTCCCAGATGGGGTCGGAGTATGTTGACGAGGAACCCGATGGTTCATCGATGTATACCGACGAGAATGATGTTGTTGCTGATGTTCGTCTCGGCGCGTACGGGCGCGGATGCATCATCTTTTCCATCTGCGCATCGAACATGTGGCTTGACGCAGTATCACGTTGATGCAGTCGGGGCAAGCTACGACGAAGCGACAGCATGCGCGCTGGGTTTCTTGGAGGTGGTGTTCGCTTCTCCAGATCCAGCATCTCGTAGCAGGCTTTACCAATCCAGAGCATCTGCTCATGCTCGCGAAGGTAGCGCTCACCACCGAAAGACTTCTGGACAATGTTGCGAGCCATCATCCCCAGCTTTCGTCGATGTTCAGACTTCTCGTACATTCGGCGCGTGATGATCTCCACGTCTTTTGGTGTGGGTTTGTGAGGCAAGATTGGCGCCGCTACCCCAGGGCCATCATCGGCATATTGTGCCCACTCATCCAGCATAGCCAGCAGGTTGATCTGCGCACGTGCAAGACCATATGCATCGTTGGGTGCCACGACCTCGCTATAGCGTTTACCGTCGTCAGGATCGGTAAGCACGCGCAGCGACGCGCCAACGTCAGTACAGACGACTGGTGCTCCAGTAAGCGCCGCTTCTCCGAGCGCAAGCGGTAGTCCTTCCGAAACGGAGGAGTTGAGGAACAACCAAGTGTTGGCGAGGACCATCGCTGGATCTGCAGTGCCGCGCATCGCTACATTTTGTCCAAGGCCTTTGCAAGCTAAGATTTCTTGACATTCGGAAGAGTAGACGGGCGATTTATTGAGAGCTCCATAGATGTCGAGCTTGTAGTCCTTGAAGCCCCATTCGTTCGTGATGATGTCCGCGGCAAGTAAGGCCGTCTTGATGTCTTTCGCAAACCAAACATGGGACAGCATAGTCACTGTCGGCGTCTTTGTCTTAATCTCGGTCACTGGAGAGAACTTTGTCATATCGGTGATACCGTTGACAATGGGATCGACCTTCCGACGAAACACGTTGCGGTGGGTGAGCTGACCCTTTGCGCTACCGATCTCCACCTCCCAGCCGGGATTGAAGAAGTCTAGCATATCAAGTCAGTCACTTCGTTCGGATAGAAGACGCAATGTACCTACCTGCGCAGGGAAGAATTTGATCGGCGTGGTGCAAGATGAGACAAGATGTCAACTTCATCAGACCCAGTAGCGAGTTTCGGATAAAGGGTGGTAAAGTGCACATGGCGGATGAGAGGTAAAGATTCGTCTCACGCCAGGAGATTGCATGATCCCAAATTTGAAGTGTACAGTTGCGCTTCAGCTTGCAAACGATCCCGTATGACGCTGAGACGCTGTGGTGCGAGGCTTGAAAGACGTGGGGTATTTTCTCAGGGATGGGGATCGAGAAAATGAACAGATCTACTAAAGTCAGCCTAGTTGCGATCTACAAAAGGGTTTACTTGCATCGAAACCACAGCTCCAGTGCTGTATCGAAGTGATTAAGCGTTGGAAGCTCAGTACGGAACCATTCTGAAGGCGCTTGTGCATTTGGCATGTCATCGGCCAGCCACAGTCTCCTCCATGTATCTTTGACCACATCGCTTGTCCAGACTTCTTTCCAGTGACGTGAATCCTGGAAGTATGTGTTCAGATTGACCAAAGCACGCGTTGCTTGCTTGACGTCTGCTGATGTCATCGTAGTAGCTCGTGCGCCGCGAACGAGAGCAGTCAAAGTAGGAACGAAGTTCGTCTCGATATCGCTTATGGTGGCTGCTTTGACCAGATGGTCTACTTCGCTATCCAGCTTGTTGGTGAACATCCCATGGTTTGGATGCATGAAGTCCAGCCCCCACAACGGTATCACCTTGAGTGACTCAACATTCTCTTCGGTCTGGTGCTTTGGCAAGCCAAAGTCATTGGCTGATTCGACGACCATGTGCCATTTGATGGTGCGCAAGTTGTTGATGAGATCCCGACGACATGCCGAAACCCCACCGCCTTCGTTTGGCCAAGTACCAGTATCGACAGCGATGACATGTAGGTTGCGGTCAGTGTCGCGTTGTAATGCTTTGGTTCTTGTGAAGATAACGGCATCCCCACCTTGACCGAAGCTGAACAAATCACTCATTCGAATCGCAAGTGGCGTCCATGCGCTGATGTCGCTTGTGAGATCTGAGCTGGCCATGATAGCGTCGGCATGCAGCGCCAGATAGTCTTCGGCCTTCACGAGACTGCCGCGATCTCTCCGTCTCCAATATGGTCGGAGGAGAGCCTCTCTGCGGATCAACTCTTCATCTACCCATCGGATGACAACACCATCTAGATCGTTCCGCTTCTTCCAAGCTTTCCAGAGTTGAGACCGAGCTCTGGACGTGGAAATCTCTTGCTGTTTGATGTTTGTTCGCAGTATCCGACTGAAAAAGCTGGAAGACGGAGACTTGAAGGCCAGCAAGGGATTCTCATCGGCGAAGGTACATCGGGTGGGCTTCTTAAGTACGCCAAGCCAGTCGTGGCGAATCATATCTGGGGTGTCGACTGGCGCGCCGTTAAGCTTCGTGGTGATGGTTGGATGAAATTTGTGGTCATACAGCCAGGAGCATTCGTATACGTCGGCTCCTTGGACAAATGTCGCTTCATGAACGCGAGGAGTAGGTATCCAGCGCTCCATCTTCTCGGCATGGCG